CCCCCCCCGCCTCCGTTCCACTCAAGCTAACATCATCTCCCTAACCACAGATACACCATCCCCAAGAACTACCACGGCCTTACCCTCAACCAAGCCGCCAAGTACGGTGTCCTCGCCGCCGGTTTCGGCGGTGTAGCCGGCTTCTTCGCCCTCTTTTTCTTCGCCGAGGTACCCAAGGTACGCGACGACATCATGAAGAAGATTCCCGTTCTCGACAAGTTCTTCACCCACGAGATACCGCCCGAGGATAACCCTTTCTGAGCTTTCTTCTCTCTATCACTTGCTCGATATACTGGGCAAGGGGAATATGAGGAGAGAGGCAATGTTAAAGTCAGGAATTGTATAATTACATGGGCATTGCGAAAAAGAAAGGGGAATTTAGACCGCTTTTGTCTTTGTTCTAGGGTTGTTTCGCTGGTGCCCTTTATCATGATTTGAGACTGCTGTGATGGTGATGATTGCGTTTGTGACGAAAATTGATTTGCATGACAGTTTTGCCACTCGTAGGACCTGCGAACATGTTTGGTCATTGCTTCATTTTCACATCACCCAAGCCACATGGCTTAAGATGCTATCATATGCCCATCTACCGGACTTCCTTCAGCCGGGCCATCATCCATCTCTCAAGCTCCACTCCTGCGGCTATGCCCGCCCCTCTTCCATAGACCAAACTCAGACCTCTTGTCTAGTTCGTAGGCAGCCTTCCAACAACCTCGGCCATCTCCTCATCAGTGTAGATTCTGAATCCCTTGTCCTTGGTCACACTCGCCAACTGCACATTCTTGCTATCCAGCTTCTCCTCCATGACCTGCTTGAGCGTCTTGAGCGTAAGTACCTCGGCTTCAGGCAGGGTAAGCGACTTGTGGAATTCATTCTGGAGTTCGGCCTGCGCGCCCTCGGATCCGGAGCCAATGGCTTTGGCGTCGTAGCGGTAGAATGTGCCCGAGGGCTCGGCGTGGTAGCTGTGACTACTATTAGTTTCTTCCTTGTAGACAGCACAGTAGGAGTGGAAGTGTGTTTGTCAAGGCGGGGCAAATGTTGTGTGCGTGACATACAGACTCGGACCGTCCTCATCATATCCCGCAATCAAAAGCGCCACACCAAACGGCCTTGACATGATGCTCTCCTCGCCCTCGGCACCCTCACCAAACCTCAGCGCCAGATCACATATCGCCTGCGTGCAGCTCTCGACGCGCAGCGGCTCCGCGTAGTTGAAAGCGTGGTTCTGGGATTCCACACGCGCGTGCTCAATCATGCTGCGGGCATCGGCCTGCAGGCCCGACATGGCACAGCCAATGTGGCGGTCGATTTCGACAATCTTCTCCACGGAGGAGGTCTCGAGGAGGGTCGAGGTTACGCGCTTCTCTACGCCGAGGATTACGCCTTCGCCTGTTGCTACCTGTTGGGGATTGTGAGTTGGTTTTCGGGCTTAACGGCGGATTGTAGAGAGCAGGGTATGGATATGGGTATGGGTTTAGAAAAGACGCACGCCTATCGCTGTTGAGCCGAGCTTGATGGCTTCTAGCGAGTATTCGACTTGGAAGAGACGGCCTTCGGGCGAGAAGGTGCTGTGTGTTTGTGAGCGGGCGGGCTTGTCGTGGGAGACGAGGGGTGGACGAACTTGATACCACGGTCTGTCACACTTTGTTAGCACACGTCCTCTTGTTGAAAGCTGTTAGAGAGCTTACCATATTCGCTTCGTGCTATGAACTGGTCATGTTAGTACAAGAGCTCCAGCGGGGTTCAATCAAGCGTACCATGGCGGCGGTGTATGCGGAGAAGTCGAAGAAGGTTGCGGGTGGAGACTTGTGCTAAGTCGCAGGAAGAGGAATGTAAGTTGCAGGGGTGAAGGCGGTGGTGAGGTGTTGCCGACTTGTCGTTGGCGACTTGGATGTTTCTCTAGCTAGAGCTTCAGGCAACATGAGCCGCGAGGTCGCGCTAGGGCGGGATGCCAAGACCTTGAGCTGGTAATCCGAATGCGCGCTCCTCATCAACACCGTGATTCCCACTGCTGGCGATCTCATCTTGCCTTGCAATTGCTATGTCAAGTCGTCCGTTCAAAGTCATGATCAAACAGTCAAAGCAAATCTTTCAGCATTACCTTCAGGGCCTATTGTCGCTCTGCCAGGTACCTCACCACACCATCTATTGACAACAAGAGAAATTATGAGCCATGGCTTCCCACGGCTCTAGGTAATTGCTCACGACGTATCTTGATGGGAGCTCAACGTCCTGATATAATTGATGATTCCGTTGACCTGCTGGGTTTGCCGCCAAACTCCAACTGACGGTCAGTAGAATTGCCTTACAAATGAAGGGCTCAAGTATTTCGGAGCACTATATTGCAACCCTCATAATCGCATTACTGAGCTTGACAACGATGGTTGTGTCATTGCGCTGCCCTGAGGACTCATCCAGTGCTCCTCGTAACGTGTTTCTGTGCCAGATCACGCTTCGATGTGAGGTGGTACGATAATTTGGTGCATGTACGCAGGCAAGGTCGGCTGGCTCTTTGGGCATTTCGCGTAGCCTAGAGACGAGTCTCGGTAATGTCAGGCCCATGGCGTTCATAAAGGCGAACGGTCCATCCCTCATTACCGTGCCCGTGGCTGGACTCCCGGCGGAACAAAGGGGCATTTGCGAAGGATTTCACAGCCACGATACCCACCCGCTATCTTCCAGATTTCTACATGTCGCAGAGTGCTCCAAGTGCCCGTTTGATTGACCAAGCTTCCGTCTCCATACCAAACTTCTGGTAAGGGTAAAAGCTTAGCGCTACCGAATCGCGACATTGGCGCATATAGCGCCGGATCGAAACGCCAACCAAGAGACCAAACGGCTGGAGAAATGCTCCGCATCATACTCTCTCTTTCCAGCATCGACTACGCGTCCCAATGTTGACATGGAGTTTTCGCCTCACCATCCGCGGATCGAAAGCCGATGATGCGCGTCATAGCTCGGATCAAATATCCCTGGCGTCCGCACCGTTTCTCCTGAGTTCGGACCAGCAGCGCTATCCACGTCACCACATTCTGGAATCTCGGCCATGAATGAACGACAGCCCCGATGCCGTCCTGTCTACAACGAATCACCAACCATGGTAGTGCGCGACGTCAAGTGATGATGACACGAGGACATGTGTCGACTAGACACTCGTATGCTGCAGTCGCACTCGCTAGCAAGAAAACTATTGATCAGTACAGCCACTCAGACATCGACGTATTTCGATAACTCTTGCATGTGCCATGTTGCACGCAGGATAATCGAGATGTGCAGCTCATCTCCCGCAGCGGGGATGTTGTCGATTGCGAGTTATTTTTATCTGGATACGATGTTATACCGGGGGCTTGACGTCGCTGCTAGGCTGTTGAGTATTGCCGTCTCCACATGGACCAATGATTAGCGAGGCCGGGGCAAAACAGTCGTTCCTTGTCTTGCCGCATCAGGCTTCCTAGAATGCTTGGAAGGCTTCTTCAATCGACATCGCGCCATGAAAGCAGTATTGAACGATGGGATGTAAGGGGTGAACGCATGTAAGAAAAAGGATTGTCGTGGTGCATGCCAAGATTGCTTAACCAAGAACAAGTATGGGGATCACCGCCGGCATCCGCGTTCCTGCTTCTTCGAGATGGCACTAATTTGCTTTGACCGTGCGGCTAATGCACGTCCGATGAAAAGACCTACGACGGCAGCGACGTCTAGAAGCCGCAAGACGTCACTGGCAAATAAATACTTCGCCATGCCCACCTTAACATTTCTCACGCACGCCTTTCTCCCCAACCCTTCTCAAGACTTCATTCTACACTTTTAATATCGTCTTCTTGTACCTAATACTACAATCATGCGCGTCTCCTCTACCATCCTCGCCACAGCCGGCCTTCTCACCTCGGCCAACGCTGCCATCAAGGGTTTCAACTACGGCGCAAACTTCAACAACAACCAGGCCAAGACGCGCGTCGACTTTGAATATGAATTCAACGCCGCCAAGCAGCTTCCTGGCACCAGTGGGTGGAACAGCGCCCGTCTGTACACCATGATCCAGCACGGCACCCAGACCACTGTCATCGAGGCTATCCAGGCTGCTATAAACACCAAGACCAACCTCCTACTCGGCATGTGGGCCTCCGCCGGTCAAGCCAACTTCAACAACGAGATCACTGCTCTCAAGGCCGCCATCGCCCAGTACGGTACTGCCTTCACCGACCTGGTCGAGGGTATCTCCGTCGGCAGCGAGGACCTCTACCGTGTCACCCCAACTGGTATCGAGAACAAGTCCGGCGCCGGTGCTCAGCCCCAGGAGCTCGTCAACTATATCAAGCAAACCCGTGCTGCTATCAAGGGTACTCCTCTCGAGGGCAAGCCCATCGGCCACGTCGACACCTGGACCGTCTACGTCAACGCCACCAACAACCCCGTCATCGATGCTGTTGACTTCATCGGCATGGACGCCTACCCCTACTTCCAGACTACCATGAACAACAACGTCGGATCCGGCAGCCAGCTCTTCTTCGACGCCTACCACCAGGTTCAAGCCAAGGGTAAGCCCGTCTGGGTCACCGAGACCGGGTGGCCCGTTAGCGGCGAGACACTCAACCAGGGTGTCCCCAGTGCGGCTAATGCCCGCATCTACTGGGAGGATGTCACCTGCCAGCTCATCAAGGACAACGTTAACCTGTGGTACTACATCCTCCAGGATGTTCAGTACGGCAACCCCGTCCCCTCGTTCGGCATCAAGCCTGCGGGTGACCTCATGGCGGTCAAGCCTTTGTTCGACCTTTCTTGCCCTGCAACCTCCGGAGGCTCCACCCCGGCTCCTACCAAGAAGGTCTCTACTGATGGTACTTGTGGATCTCAGGGAGGTGCTACTTGCACTGGCTCGACATTCGGTAACTGCTGCTCGCAGTACGGATGGTGCGGAAACACTGCTGGACACTGCGGTACCGGTTGTGAGAGCGGATCTGGTACTTGCAACAAGCGCAAGTAGATGCCCCGACATCTCAGCCCACAATCGTCACCATCCCAGTAATTAGCTTTGATCGGTCAACCCCAATAATTCAGAGTTTAATCTCGATATCCTCGCCCGTCTCTTTCATACCTCTTCATCTTGACAGTCTTGAAAGTCTACCGCAACCAATATTTACCTCGCTCCAAGAATCATTCGAGTATCCGTACCAACTCATTCCTATCGACAAGGCGGACCCAACCAAAGTCATTGGCAACGGATATACCGTCCAGCTATCTTCAATACATCAGCAGTGTTCGTTTACGACATTCGTCCTGAATTCGCCGGCAAAGCTTGTACGCTAGCTTTATGCATGCCGCCACCCTTCACCATGCCAGAAATGGCACCTGTACATATTCGGTCTCCGGGGGGTGTCAGTGTATTGCGTCTTGCCAATCAGGTTGATCCTGTGGGTGGGTTCGAGGCGGATTGGTTCCAGATGGCTTATCCGGTCTTGAGGTTGTTCTTGCTGGTCAGGTAGATGAGCGGTGGATTTAGAGTTGTGGATGCCTGGGATTTCAACTGTATTATTACGTATGAAAAGTCCTAGAACCCTTTCAACGTAAATATTCGCACTATACAAACGATACGCTTGGAAAAATGTCTCTAGAATCCGTTGTTATAGACTAGAGCCCAGAAATTCTCGACGATATCTTAGTCGCGTACCCGAGCGCCCAGGTGACCACTATAAGCGTCTGAATAATGCTCAGACAACGCCCTATCTCTGATTAGTATCATTTAGGCTAGTGTTAAACAAGTAGCGACCTACTGGTATAAAGATATACGGAACTCTTTTTGTGTATTGCTCCCAAGCTTTGCCATACCTGTCATGGCATTTGGCATTGTCGCGTAATGCGCGGTGCATGATCATGATGGTGAAGAAAACAGGATAGAACCATGGAAATGGCGACGCAAAGCCTGTGATGAGACCCCAGTTGATAGCAAAGTAGATATCGCAAGAGTAATGGATCTTGCGCGCCTTGCCATCTGTCAACAATCAGCAAAGAGGCAGATAGATCTCATAATCGGAAAGTTTCTTACACCAGCCATCGCAGAGCAACTTTTTACCGTAACTTGTCTCGATCGTCCTCGGGTTCTGAATCTTTCCCTTTTTGAAATAGGGAAATGTGGTTCGTTCGTCTACTACACCGCGCTCCTCTTGCCGGAACTGATTCTTCTGACTGTTGCAAGTGTCCCAGACATAGTAAACGCCAAGATAAGGGATAAGCAAGGCAAGTACGAACCACCATGGCCAATGGTACTGGCTGGGTTTGTGGTTAGCTATGTAGAGGATAGCATGAGCGTACGAGAATGGCACGCCAGCCATTGTCCAGAAAAGGATCATAAAACCTGTCTTCTCGTAGTATATATCCCTGCAACAAGTCAGAAAAGAAAAACGACTAGAACGTTCTTGCAGTGATTGTTTTGGACATACCAGGTAGTAATAATCAAATGCTCTCCTTTGGCACACGCTCCAGCATAAAGATATTGCGCTATGAGCAGAAAGCACGCCTGTACAGACACGTATCCATATTCCTCGAACTGCTTGAGACATGTGCTCAACGCGAGGAAGAAGAGGATAAACCACGCAATGCGGACTTCAACCAACATCTTAAAGTCTAGGATGCCAAACATCCTCGGGTTCAATTCCGCACCCATGAAAAAGTCGACAATGTGATTGCCACTCATACGTAACGTTGCACCACGTGCAATAGCTGAGAAGTATGCAACAAAAGAGCATAGAAACCCAGAGATGATCGCTACACTCATCAGGGGTCCGTACTCGCCGATCAACACATCCAGCCTGAAGTAACCACTAAAGTGCAAGACAACACCAAGTGCGACGCTCGTATAAAAAGACCACATAGCCGAGCAGTAATAGTCCAACTGCTTCCCACCCAGATGCGGCAGGGGCTGGCCCTTACGATAAACACCAGGAAGTAGAGCGTAAAAGGCGAGTTGCGTGAACCCAAAGGACCAGTAGATGCACCAAGCCCTCTTATTAGGGTACGCTTCAGTCCTAATCAAGAACCAGAGGTGCTGGACGAAAGCGGCGAAAGACTCGTTCTGTGCTGGTCTCGGAATCTGCCCGTCGTAGAAGACAGCGCCTGCCCACATGAAGTACATGAGTAGAGGAAATCCAATCATCATGGCCAACATGCCCAGTGGACCACCAAACTCGCGAGCCGTGGATGCATCGGTAGGACTCCAGTTCTGCTGTCCCTTGGGTTCAGATGTTTCGCTCCCGGTGAATGAGCTGTTGGGGGTGCGGCTCTTGGGTCTGGTGGCTCGCGACATCGATCGCTGACCCGTTCTGCAAAGGTAGAGGTAGTATAAGAATATCGAGAGTCCACAGAGAGTATCTTTTGCTGATTTCAGCAGGGCGTGCGTGGACTTCTTCTTGGGGGACGAGGAATCTAGATTTAAAAGTGCTGTATGTTAGGTACGCTAAGACCCGGGGTTTCGGCTGCCGTAGAAGTCCGTATCTCCTGTAGCTAATCTCCGCAGATCTCAACCTCACTCCTCTCTCTATCGACAGTCGCGGCTTCGTGTAGACTAATTCTACTATATCTACCTGTTTAGCTGCTCAACACCAAGGCACCTATAGTTTAGGTACAACAATATGGTATACATTAAAACACTTTGATATCGTTAGACAGGTAGGTAAACAATTAGTAGTAAGTTACTATTGCGACAAACCCAGGTTAGGCGTTACATAACAGATGCTTTAGTCTAGTAGTGCTTCGTCCACGCTGAGGCCTTAGCGTTGCGTATCTCGTATTTCGTATTTCGTTCATATGCTACTACGGGTAATATTTCAACTTAGCACGTAGATCGATCCGGCACATGCCGTTTCTTAACGTCTATATAACCTTGAAGTACTGTTTGTACGGTTATGCTACGAACCTTTCGTGACCAGCTACTCTACTTAAACTTACACAATAACACCTTTGATTCGACCCGTACGATGCGCCTCTTCGCGCTTGGCCTAGCACTTAATGTGCTAGCTGGTTTGGATCCTTCATCTGCAGAGGGATTAGCCAGCGATGCAACAACTATCATCCTTGGTTCTAACGGTACCATCACACTGAAGGGCAACTCATCTACATCTGAAGTAATCCTCGACTATGGCGCCAACGTTGAAGGCTTCCCAACATTTGAGATTATTAGTGTTAGCGGCGACACGTCGGGGCTCCAAATTACTTATAGCGAATCTCTTGCTGTGTTGCTGAGTTCTCCTACTGTAAGCGTTCCAATAGCAAATACACGTGTACAATTAGCTGATTCTTGTAGAGCGATGGCCCGCTTGGACTGGCCGCTGCCATGGATACCTATCGGATTAACAACTACAACATTACCGAGCCAACGAACAAAACGAACAGACTCATCCAGGGAGGATTTCGCTACCAAAAGTTGGCACTCTTGACCCCAGGCGATATGGTGTTAGCCAAAGTAGGCGTGAAACCATCGATATCCACAACGCCCATCGCTTCGCTTCCTGGGTCTTTTCAGTGTTCCGACGACCGAATCAATCAGATTTGGAACGTGGGCGCAAGGACAGTCCAAATGAACGAGATTCCTGCACGTTCCATTCCTGATTTCTGGGAAGTGTCTTCTGAGGGATCGTTGGTGCACAGTTTAGCGCCGCAAAGCCTGTCCGGTGTCGTTGCGTCGTCGCTCATGGACTACGAGATCGAGTTCGACGTCAAACCTATCGCTGGTGGTTTCTCATTCTCTGCTCTCGCAAGTACTCTGAACGATGGTGTCTACATTTGGTGCAACATCGCCAATGGGTCGATCAGCGCAAACTCGGGGTCTTCAGAGAGTGCTGACTTCCTCGCATTTGCTACTCTGCCATCCAACATCACGGTCGGGAACTGGTACCATGTGAAGGCTGCTATCAGCGCTGAGTTGATCTCCATCTACTTCGGCTCGACCAAGGTGTTGGAATTTTCGCAGACCTACGCTTTTTTCGGTTCCTCTGGACTAGGCGCTGCTCTTGGTCAGTCTGCAATGTTCCGCAATTTTACCTTGGCTAGCCCAGCAGTCAATTTTGAATACTCGGCACAGCTGACGGACACCTCGTTCCTTCCGGACTTTCTCATGGGCACTAATCCTCTCGCCGCCGCTGTGGACGGTTCAAAACGCGACCGTATTTCCTACGCTGGAGATCTTGATGTCGCTGTTGGCTCTACCATGGTTAGCACAGTTGGTGTTGAGTATATCATGGGGACTCTAGAGCTGTTGGGCTCCTCGCAGATGACACCTGGTTTCTTCAGTCCGACCGCAAAAATCCAGCAGGAGCCATATTCTAAGCCCCTCGAGAGCAACATCACTGGACTTATCGGCTACTCCTTCAACATGGTCACAGCAGTCGCCAATTTCTACCAGTATACAGGAAACACGAGCATTGCGAAGGAGTGGGCACCCAAAGTTGTTCGCATGCTAGACTGGGCAGATTCTCAGGTCCTTCCTAGTAACGGGCTGTTTAACATCTCTAATCCTGCTTTCAGTGGCGACTGGAACTATTATGACCCTGCACAAAGCGGCGTTGTGACGAAGTTCAACATGGTTTACGCATATGCGCTCCAGTCATCTCTCACTATGTTAGATGATGCGGGTGTCAACACAACTACATATCGGTCTCGTTTGGATGCACTCCGCGTTGCAATCAACACCCATCTCTGGAATAGCGAACCTGGAGCCTTTTATATCTCTGAAGCACTAACAGATAGCTTTGGACAAGACAGCAACGCCCTTGCCATTCTTGCAGGAGTAACGAACTCAAATCACACTTCGTCGCAAGTGTTGAGCACTTTGTCAGAACTTTCCACACCAAGTGGACCTCTAGCATTCTCCAACGGTACCGTTGCTGCCGGTTTCCGAAAACTCATCAGCCCATATGCTTCAGCTTATCATCTCAGAGCAGCATTCGCTGCAGGAGACGCAACAGTAGCCAATGAGCTGCTCCATTCTCTGTGGTACCCGATGGCTGATCCCGCTGGTGCGAACTACACTGGATGTTTCTGGGAAACCCTCGACGCAAATGGCGGACCTGGATTAGGAGCAATCACCAGCCTGTGTCACGCATGGGCGTCCGGACCCACCGGTGAACTCAGTACCTACATACTGGGTGCGACAGCTACCAAACCTGGTTTTCGTGAGTGGCAGGTTTCGCCCATGACTCTAGGATTGTCTTGGGCAGCTGGCACAATCCCTGTGCCAGATGGCGGGGTCTACGTTGCGTGGAATGCGACAGAGGGACAAATCACCCACCTAGAGATCGAGAGCCCTGCTAATACCAAGGGTGTTGTTTCTCTACCTGTCTGCGGTGACGGCTCGACCTGGAAATTGAATGGACAAGCTATTAGCACTAGTAACGGCACTTTTACCGTTAACGGTGGGCAAAATCTTGTATTTTCGCTTTCTTAAGGATAATTTTAAAGTCCTAAATGTTTTCACTAGATGGTAAAGTCGCACGTGACTATAGCACAGCGCTAGATGTCTCTGTCATTTTAATTGTAATTAGATAAAAACCACGAATTAAAAGTCTAGAAATTGAAAGCCTCATTAGAATTCCAAGTGCACTATTATGTATGAAAAGCCCTAGGACTCTTTCGAAGCGGTTTCTGCACCTTGGATGGCACTTGAGCGCATTTGATAAGTGGTGCGATGTGATGGTGAATATGATCAATGAGAATACAGAACGCGGCAAAAGCATTGTTTTTCCGTTACATGGCTACACAGCAGTCTTTCAGGTCTAATTCTTTGATCGCATAAACCCTTTCTGTTGTTCGTTCTTGGCTCCTCATGCCTGCTCTCCTCAGTTTCAGGCTTTTCCTCTATTTCTCCAATTCCAATCCTTCGTTGTCGTATACGTAGGCTTTTTTCGCGACCGTAAGCCGCAGTCGAGAGCATGCAACCTACGAGAAGCACAGCGACAAGGTAGCATAGTGCGAAATGGATGGCGTGCCAGTGCGTCATGGTCGTGAAGAAATGTGACGTCTGGATTTCTGCTGATAACGTGACTGTATTGCGGAAAGCGGCGATGGTAGTCGAATGGAAAGGCGATGGCCGCGATTTTTGGGCTTTAAGTTTTGGCTTCTCTTTGCGGGATTGTTGAGATGGACGTTGTGTGTGGTTGGAAAGCGATAAATAAGATGTCGCTGAGCTCGACCTCAATGTTTGGATGATGGATGATGCAGTATGTGCGCTTTAAGAGAGTGTGAGACAGAGCAATCATGCCCAAGCTGGTGTCTGGTGTTCAAGTCAAATTCTGCGCAGTCCAAACCGGTGTAGAATGGAGAAATGTTTGACAGGTGGTGTCATGGTGGGGTTGGGTACGCAAGGGGTTTCCTTCGACTTCACCCCGCCCTTCCCATCACCCTCGTAAGCCTGATGACTTGCGCTATTGTTTCCTCGATGGAAAGTCTGTTAAAGTGTCGCCGGAAGTAGACGGCGCGGTCTTGACCTTCTTGCTCGAGCCCCGGGCAGCCATATTGTCAGCGTGTCAAGATGCTCTTCGCCCATTCTACCCATAGTCGTAGAGCATTCTCATCTCCCTTGGAATGCGGCATTTTAGACCAGACACAGTGTGCGCATCTTCCAGTCGCCTTCTCGCTTGATACGATTGAGCCAGGCGAGAGTGTTTTCCCAGTGCGAAACTCTCTTACGAGGGCATCGAAGCACACCGATCCGGCGCCATGTCGAATCGTCGACCTTCTCTACTACCAGCAATACTGCATCCTTATATTCCCTATCATTGGGCCTTCCCAATGACTGGTTGCTTCCAAGGTATATCGCGGCCAGGCTGTCACTCGGTGGAGTCTCTGAATGATCTAACATGATATCGTCTCCCATCTTGAAACTCCAGGTCAAAGCCCGGTCGTCGTGAACACTGCTATTCTGATACGGTTCCGTGTTCCATAAGACTACCCAGCTCTTGATAGAGATCTTTGGCGCAAGTAATCTATCGTCTTCTTGGTCCCACGTCTTGATGTATTCGTCTAACTCTAAACTCCTTCCGCTCTCATTGTTAATCCAAACTTGCAAACTTTCTTCGCAGGAAAAGTCTACTAGTGAAGTTTCCCAGGTAAAATTGCATTCGTAGATTGGATCGTAATGGTTTTTGCAGCTAGCCCAGCTCCACGATGGGAAAAGAGTATCCGTGACAACACTATACTCTGTGTCAAAGGGCGGCGATATAGTCCAGATTAGACTATGTGCGAAGGTTGAAGTTGGTGTGAAAACTGTAGGGCTACATTTCTTTTCTGATGGCAAGCAGAAAGTAGGCGACGTCTGGCTGTAGAATATTGGCAAGCCAAATAATTGAGTGGCACGTATTCGATCTGTACCTTGTCCCAATTCGAAGGAATTTATGATGCCAGTGACAGCTTTGACGATGTCTTCGTGGAATGATAGGTTCCTGTGATAATATTCCTCGATCTGCCGATAGATTGTTTGTACTGTGGAACCAATATTTAGATTGGGAAATGCTATGAGATTATCGTGACTTATTCCTGCATCCATGGAAGGATCAGGGCTGGATGAAGCCGGGTGCCGTGGAGGCAGATTCTCCAAGCGATGCATGTTGTTGCATTGGAAGTACATCTGTGATCTTGTGAAGACTAACCGACGTCTTGAGAGTACCAGCTCTTGGAACGTCCATCCACGAGTATTCCAGACCGAATCTTCTATGTCCTGTTTCGGTACCTCAAGGCCGATGATCTGTTGGCCTGATGTCCCTACTGTATGACTGTACTGCTGACGTCGAGGTGTTCCATTGATACCAGGAAGGCCACTATGGGGACTGTCCCCTGCTGCAGCGATAATTGTGAGCTTCGCTCCTCTATACACGGCGCCCATATACATGATAAGGTAATGCTTTTCAGCATCGTTTTGTTGATCGATGCAATATCGATCGATCCATATATATGAATACCCTAGTTGTAACGTGACCCATATTGAATCCTCTATGGTCTTGGGCAAGCATCCCGAAAGGGTCGAAGAGATCTCATGAGCGACAGAAGTGTTACCCCAGACATAGCTCAAGCAGACATATGGAGTTCCAGGAGCAATCTCGCATAGCTTTCGTGAAGCACAATCTATCACCTTCAATGGGAAACCAGAAGAACCGTCTTGACCACAATGTCCCTCGTGCGATTGTAGGCATTCGAGTATCCAGCTCTTCGCAAGCATGATATCACGCAACTTTGCTGGCACGGACCGTAGAATACTGCTTTGAGCAAAATATACGGTCTTTGTCGAGGTTAAGATCGCGAAGCATGGAAGTTTCGTTCCCTGAGACTCCAAAGATGACCAATAGCTGCTTATACGCTTCTTTCTAGAAGATGACCCACACATGCTTATACGCTTTTTTCTAGATTTTGTGAAATCACCTGCGTCATCTTCAGACCCGCTAGAGGACCCGAAGTAAGCAATCAGACTGTCGCATAAAGCACATCCCTTTCCAACCTCATTCCAAGTGCCACGAAACAACAACTCACTACCTCCAGATCGCATGTCGTGGAGCGATGCTCCAGATTCGAAAAAAGATGAGGTGGGGATGCTTTGGCATTCCCAACAAATACCTGTGTCTCGAGGAGGCGAGTGAGGGATAGAGTCAACCATGACGAATAAGATGGGATAGAAGCGTGAGGACAATCTTAGGGATCTGTGATCTTAGAAGACTGGCGCAGTAGCTTTATGTTTTATCATCTAGGCTGCCGTACTGAGGCTGAGCAAAATGCGCTAGCACATGCTACGTAAACTTGCATATGCAGTATAGCTGCAAGGCTGTGGCCTGCAGTCCTATCAGTCGCGCGAGGCGCGGAAGGCTAGAAGGCGCCATGGGGGCCTAATGTTAGCAGGATTCAACACCTACCCGCCAATAGCGGGAACGTCTTGTCTCACTCATTAAAAGGCTTTGCATGTTTTGAATCCTACTAATGTCATCGCTCAACTTGGCGCCTTCCCTGTCTGGCCTTTCGTGCTAGTCAATACCTTGGTGCACTCCTCCACCAAAACATACAACCAGCTCGCTTTGACAGCCTACCATTAACACCTTGATTCACCCAATTCTCAACTGCACCCGTGATGGCTGATCCGGCTCCAGCCTGCTTGTCCAGCCTCCCAGTGGAGATACAGACCAGCATTTTCGCCTTCGTACGCGAGAAGACCACCCAGGCAGCCATATGTCTGACCAATCGCCAATGCCGAGACGTCATGGCGCCTATCTTCTTCGAGAACTTCAAACTTCAAAATCACAAAATCACCATGCAGACGATAGGCACACTCTTGAATCCTAAAAACGGTATCACACCTTACGTTCGCAATCTTTTCATCGTCAATGGATGCTGGCAAAAAGAAGAGTGTTGGAAAAATGGTGTCATTGTAGATCCCATGCTCCAGCTGGTGGTCGGCGCATTTCCCCAAGATCGTCTGCGCGCTTTGGTTGGTGACGATGAGATAGTGCTTGATACGACTTTGCTGGTATCCTTGCTTCAGCACCAATCACGACTAAAGCGCTTAGCTGTATATCATCGAATGCGACCTGGTGGACATGTCATCGACCTTGAGGACAAGAATTTAGTGTCATGGGCAGCGTCTCGATGCGCGGATGTCGAATCTCTTACAGTTTTCTTGCGGACTGATTATGTCGACACTTACACGCCAGCTGGGTTCTTGGTTCGAAGCGCCCCAAACATCAAGGACCTTAGAATTAAGGACCATGGGAACGAAACAACTCCGGCACTACCTCTTTTGCGTCCCTTGGGAACGTGGGGAAAAGTGGGTTACAACGCTTTTGGAGGACTGGCTGGAGAGGATGAAGATTGACGTGCTAAACTCGAGTTGTCTCAGATGAGCTTAGAACAGGTGGCGTTAGACTCAAGGTCACTTGAGTCGATTCGAAAGCACGTCGAATTGTCGAAGCTTGAGAGTGTTGAATTGCTGCGATGTCCGGAAGCTCATCTTCTCCTGACGGCACTTCAACCGGGTTGTAATCTCACCAAGCTAATCTTCGAACAGGCTAACGCCCATATCCGTACATTTATGGATAAACATCGGATCGAGGGACTTTTGAACTCGTTCAGTGGCCTTCGAGTGCATTCGCTCAGTCTTTATGATCGGATGGTTGATGTCTCCTGCATCATCCACCACGGCTCTTCTCTCCGACAACTCGGTATACACTGTTACTCAACACGCCTATCCGTAGATGGTTTGGAAGAACTTCTTCAATCGAGTCCTCATCTTGAAGGTCTCGGCGTGGACTTCTGTGAAGTACGCTTAGGTGAGGTAGAACACGCCATCTCAAACTTCAAGCTAGCACAAATACATGGAGAAGCTCACGCAGCATCTGAACTGGAGACATACTTGGTGAGCAATTCCTTGCATCATTCATGCATTAGTGCAGACACTAAGAGTTACGCTTCAGACTGTCATCTCAGCCCACCCCACACTGAAATGCGTTCGCATCTATACCCCTCCTGTTATAGAACTCTACGACGAGTGACGCCACGCGCCCGGTACCGGACACCAACTGGCCGACGAGTGCGTCGAGGTAATGCGGACTATTATGCAGCACTTCGCTACAGAGACACTGTCCTATATGAGCGCCTTGGGCTCGAAAGTAAAATTCTGGGGTATGATGCCGAATGCCATGGATGAGAATGAGAATGAGTCAAGTGTGGACGCGAACGGGCACCAATGGCCGAGGTACTACTATGTGCGCAGGCGAGTCAGTATCGATGAAATGTTAGAAGGCGAGGAGATCACAAAAGTAGTTGCCGCGCCGACGACGCAAGATGATGGTCTCATGGAGGATACCGTGTTTACGCAGGTGTTCGATACCACTTGGAGCAGTGCCTGCGGGCAGGAACGCCGGTTCTTAGGTCACACGCGGAGCAAAGAACCACCCCCTACAAGATACGATGGTGAGGAGCAAACGTCGGCTGCTAGAGGTCGTACGCAGCGAACATAACATCAGTAGTAAACGCCTATTGATATGATGAACGTGCTGGTGATAAGACGCAGGCACAACGCTGTTGACCTACACTGTATCGTATCGCAGTAGAAATGTGTTCCCAAACACTCATTTGGCTTCACTGTATGCAGCTGTATATGTAGTAAACACCTATAAGCAAATGACACCAACAAAACTGCAACGAAAAGCGTCCCTTTCATTGGTAAAATATTGTCCGCACAGCGTACATATATACAAGAAATCAGCTATCAAAATATTTACACTTGAAGCCGTTAAAACCCCCTTTTCTCCATCCTCATTTATATATCCCTGGATTTAATTTTCCAAAATCCTGAAGATCATATCTCCTTCTAGCCATACACCTATAATACACTCACTCTCCATCGCTTAGAACTTGAGGGTGACACCAGCAGTGCCAACAACAGCAGCCTTGACAGCAGCCGCCTCAAGGAGCTCAGGAACCTCGTACGGGACCTTGGACAGGGAGCCCTTGGGAGCAGTGTTCTCGCTGTCACCAAAGTCGTTGCCCTCGGCAACAGCGTTACCACCGTCGGTGCTGTAGAGCGCCTTCTTGGCCTTGACCCAGACGTTGTTCTGGACGAGGAGCTGGGCACCCTGGCGCGTGTTGATGCCATCGGAGACGTTCTCGTAGTAGTTGTTGTAGAGGTGGCCAGTTCCGAAGCGGAAGGAAGGGCCGCGAGAGTTGATGTTGAGCCAGTAGTTGTTGTTGTAGGTGACGGTCAAGTGGCCCTTGTCTTCGCTGCCGTTGCTGTCAGAGTGGCCGACTAGGGAGCACTTCCAGTGGTCGTGCATGAAGCTGTTGGAGATGGTGACATAGTCAGCGGCGTGTGTGACGTCGAGGAGACCGTCGTAGTAGTCCTTGTCGTGGTCGAGGTCGGAGGAGAGGTCGACGTGGTCAACCCAGACGTTCTGGGCTTCCTGGATGGCAATGGCATCGCCGCCGACGACCTTCTCCACGGCGAAGTTGCGGAGGATGACGTTCTTGACTGCCTTGACTGTGAGGGTGAAGTCGGTCAGGACGACGGAAGAGTCCTTTCCGATGACGGACTTGTTGCTGCCAATCTTGACGTTCTCTCCGCTTCCCTTGATGGGAGCGGTGATGAGAACGATAGCGGCATCCTCACCCTTGACAGCAGACTCCAACTCGCTGAGGGAGCTGACCTCGATGGTCTTGCCTCCCTTTCCTCCAGAGGTACCTCCGTTCTGGGTAGCGAAACCGGTAGTGGCGACATCCTCCAGGGATGCGGCGCGCTTGGTGAGACCGTCACGCTTGGGTGCGATCTGAGATGGCATAGGTGCTGCCAGAGCAGAGACGGCCATGAGGCCGAGAGACATGATTGAGAACTTCATTGTCGAAAAAAAGCTTGTTGGTGGAGTTGGAAAATGAATGTGAAGGGAAAAAGTGAAGGACTGGAGTTGTTGGTGTAGAAAAGAATGGAAGAGCTTTGCTGCCAAAAGCTTCAAGGGAAGGTTACACAAGACCTTATATACAACTCAGCGTCCGTCCCCCCGCCGCCGTGGTCAAGCCTTTGCCGGCGTCCGAAGGCATACGCGCTGGGGGCACATTGTTTCAAGCTTTTCGCACCAATCCTCTCCGCTGGGCGACCCACCACAGCGGAAGACATGGGCTGTCACTCACGATCTTGGGTGAGCACTCTTCCCTAGCCAGGTACCGTCTGGCGGGCGAACGTCGTGAACATGTCAAGAGTTCTTGGCAATCATGCGGAAGGATTCTGTTTGAAACGACTAACCAGAACGGGTTTGAAACGGCGGCGGATAACTCCACTTCTCGAGCTGTAAAATTGCAAAGGATGTCGTTCGAAACAAGTCCGTACTCGGGCATCATAACTGTGCACCCGCAGGAATGTCTTGGCTATAGGATCTGTGGAGACATGGCGGGCGCTTGCTGCTATCGTGACCGATCGACTGGTGGAGGGGGCGGCTTGAGTCGTGAATGATCAGTAAACAACATGTATGAAATGTACGGAGATGTTCCTAATGCATATATTCAATTTTGATAATATGGATCTGGTGTACCACACCATTCGATATGGCGTGGGTTGCCGGATGCGGATGCAGGGCTGACCGATGTGAAAGGCAGGCGTCTGACAACATGCGATCCTTTGAATCGTAGGAACACTGGGTCGTTTTATCGAGACGTGGGTAGTTGTGTGCACAACTTTTCCTTTCTTTTCCTCCTTGAGATTATAGAAAATCTCTGTCCTTACAGAAGCGTCTGGACTTGTTGATCGTTATCCCGATCGGCCCTTTGCTTGTTCCAGCTCCTGAACACGACGTTGCAGACAATGATGCTGCTGCCCGATGCCGTGGTAATGAATAGAGACAACTTGAAAATTCCCTGCAGCATGAAAGGAAAGGATCGAGGAAGGGACGAAACGGATGCGAAGCTTTTCTTGGATTTCTCGGCGATGTTTTGACTGCGCCGAACAACCGTTCTCTGGAGCGCGGCACAGCCACATATCGATTGAATGGGATAAAGGAGAAGTAGGAAAGAGGTATGATTAAAATCATACCAGATTGCGTGATCTCTCTCTCATATAGATGAAGCCCAGGAGAGCCAAGTGTCAGCATATACAGCTTGTTGTCAGGTTGTACACATGCCAAAATCATAGTGTAAGACAAGCGCAAAGAACCCATAGCTCGACCGGCCAGATCGGTCCCAAGTGTATCACATTGAAGAAGACGGTGTTAAGTGATATTGAAAGCCTGGCTGCAGACGTCTAAAGAAGGTTTCATGGTTGGAAGAACCTAATAAGGTTTCACGTGCCAGAGTGACATCATCGCCCAAAGCAGTAACCACCTCCAACAGCTGAACCAAAGAGCACGCCAGAGAGAGGATAGCAGAACATAGCACAAGGCAGCAACAAACAACTCCCACAACGTGTTCACAAGTCTAAACTAGCTACTCAACAAACTCCCCCACAAGTCATCGTCTCGTCGCCACGAATTACTACACCGTCATACTCACTCATTCTAACACACAGCGTACGTTTCTACTTGAGAGAGCAAAAGCCGACACCAACTCTCTCTCTACCAGCAAATCTACAAAAGCGAGCCCAAACATGCCCCCAATCCCCATCCACAAAAACGCCCCAATCGCACCTACCTCCTCAACGACCGCCGCCAAAGCAGACGGTATAACCCCTTCGACAGCCTCAAACGACAACACCTCTCACAACCCGCCACCCACACGCACAACACCCGCCTACGCCCCAGCAACAACAACACAACATGTCTCCTCTCAGCCACCTGCTCCTCAGCCCGGCGCCCGCCCCGCCGCACCAACAGGCACAGGAATGAGCGAGAACTACCGCAACGGCAGCACACCAGCAGCGCCCCAACCAGGTGCGACTGCCATGCCGACAGCAACAGTCATCACAACGGAGACGCGACAAGCTCCACCACCACTACCACAATTCAGTCATCCCCCTCCTTCAGATTCCATGCTAGCCGGCCGCTCAACTACAACCTCGACCACTCCTTGGGCGTCGGCGGCGGCCAGTAAACCGGGCCCTACGGTCCTCAACTACGGTCCGGCGGCGAGCCCGTTCCAGACAGCTGATACAGCGCAGGCACAACCTACAAGGACGAGCTTGGAACATCCACCGGGTTATGTTCAGGCGCCGGATAATGCGCCGTACACGGCTGGAGGAGGCATTGGTGGTCCGAGTGGAGCCGGAGGGGATGGCGAGGGTGAGGGTGTTGGGGCGCAGGCGTGGAGTATGTTGAATAAAGCGGGTGAGGCGCTGAAGAAGGGCGAGGAGAGTGTGTGGAGGGCGGTCAAGGGGAAGAATGGTGGGGGATTCTGAGCGTGTGCTTGGGTAGATGGGGGGCGGCACAAGCAGGGGCAGCAGATGGAGCAGTGCGGCACTGCTCCTATATCACAACTCGTATTGAATGTCACTCGATAGTGGAGATAGGTTTTGCGTACAAAGAAACCCATGACTTTCTATAGACCACTATTTTCCCCATTGCACCAAGCGATGAAAAGAGGAAGTACAGGCAAGAGACAAAAGCATTGCAAGCCGGATATGACGTGTGAATGTATAAAGTACAAGAGTGTTTTACCACCCCGGGATCGTGCTTTTCGTTACCAAGAACAACCTTCCGCCCGCAGGGCTTCTTGTCGTTCTCATACACGTACACCCCATCCCCATCTCTCACGTCGCGATTAGCTGCTTCCACCACATAAACGCAGGTTGGGGGTATCGAAGAGGGAAGAAAGGCGCTTAACCAGATCCACCCTTGAACTTCTTGCCGAAGAGGATGAGCTGGGCCTGGTCGTAGATGGACAGGACACCGGCACCGGCAACACCACGGAGAATGTTGGCACCAGCACCCTTGAAGAGAGACTTGACACCCTCAGCGGCGACAATCTGGCGGGCGGCATCCATGGTACCCTTGTACTTGACGGCCTCACCGGAGGTCATCATCATGCGGCGACGGATGGTGTCAAGGGGGTAAGAGGCGATACCGGCACCAGTGGTGACGGCCCAACCAAGAGCGAAAGAGGCCAAGAAGTTACCCTCGAGGGAACCGGTGAGGAGGACAGGCTTGATCGAGTCGTACATACCGAAGTACAGACCACGGTAGACAACGATACCAGCAACGGAGGGCATGAAACCACGGTAGAGACCACCGATACCGTCGGAAGCCAGGGTCTTCTTGTAGACGTCTACGAGACCGTTGAACTGGCGCTCACCACCCTTCTTGGCGGACTTGGCGTCGTTGGCAAGACGGGTACGGGCGTAGTCGAGGGAGTAGACGAAGAGGAGGGAAGTGGCACCGGCAGCCTGTTGTTGTTAGATTGTGTGCTGACAAGCATTGAACGAGTATACTTACACCACCGGAGGCCAAGTTACCGGCCATCCACTTGGCGTAACCGTCACGCTCCTTCTTGTAGGCGAACATGGACTTGTAGGTGTCGCGGAAAGCGAAGTTGAGCGCCTGGGTGGGGAAGTAACGGATGACGTTGGCGGTGTTACCACGCCAGAGGGAGAGGACACCCTCGTTCTTAGCGGTACGGCTGAAGCACTCGCCAATGCCGTCGTACTTGCGGTCGAGACGACCGGACTTAAGCATCTCATCCTGCGGGGTGGATTAGAGATTGTTGATGTGCGGGGTCCCGTTGGAAGAACCTACCTGGTTCTGGATGAGGAGCTTAACACGCTCGATGGGAGCGGCGGCGGTCTTCGAGACGGCGGCGGAAACACCACCCACTGATAAGCTGTTAGTATCTGTCACGGACGCAGAAAATTGTCGATGGTGCTCGCATCATGCCCGAATGCCAATGGCACTCATGCTGATGGAGTTGTCGATGGTGATGGAACGTACTCAGGAAGTCGACCACGAAGCCCTGATTTGATCGTTAGCCCAAGTTCCAAGTAATTGACGCACTCCAACCACACAGCCCAGCCAACGCGCGCAGAGCCAGCAAAGTTGAGTCCATCTCATGACATTGCCAATCCGCTGGAGAAAACCCCATTGATGCAATTGAGATAGATCTGCAACTATTGCTGGCTCCACGGTTGTCGAACTGAACAGCTGGCCGAGTCCGAGGGCGGGTTACGTACGGGCATCCCCATGATGCTCTTGTCTTGCTGCTTTCCCGACATCTTGAAGACGTGTAGAGGGGAGATTGGTTGAAAAAGGTGAGGTTGCAGATGCTGGTGCTGCGTTGAGGGAGGAAAGGTGTATTTGTAGCGAAGCTGCGACAAATTCTGCCAGCTGCGCTAAGTCGCACTAGACCCATCACGTGCTAGTTCCCTTGCCCGCTATCCCGAGCGCTCCCTCATCAACACCTCGGAAACGCGGAGTGTGGGAGAAAGTGAATACGATAAGGTCGTCATGATGAGTTTTGTGATTCACTTGATTCTGAACATGTTCTGATCGCTGCCGGTAGAACTGCCTGACAATAACAACAATGTATCTACCTCTCTCATGTTTCCCAACGCACACCCACAAGCGTTGCCGTAGCAGCCACAAAATGAATAGTCTTTGACGGAACCGCGTCTACTGGCAGCCCGCAGCCGTCAATTCAACATGGAAAATCCACTGTGGGGATGTACAAGTGTTCACATGCCTCTTCCAGCCCAAGTCTCCCACGCCTCTCCTTTCTGCGAGCCACCATTGTCAGGGTCCGCCATTTTTAGGTCGGGTAATCTCGGGGACGGAACCTGGCTCGGGCCAACAACTAGCGGCGAGGGCTTCAACGAGCGTGGGGCCCGGACTCCAGAGCGGCGAATTTTCCATCGCCCTGCCCGCTATTGGAAGACGTGCCGTAGTTCGCGAAGCCTCGATGGCTTCTAGGGCTGTCGAGAGCTGGATGCGTGACGTTGGTGTTGCAGTCTTGTTCGGACCGCTTCGTGAAGCTGTGTAACATCGCACGTCGCGTGTCGGTTGTCGCTGTTTGACACACTTCCAGTACCCCTCCGATAACAACCGTCAGGCTGACCGCCACTACAAGTTACCCGATCATGTCGGGTTGGCTCATTGTCGTTTCGCCAGCGAACGGATACCAAGTCAAGACTTCAATCACAGTCGTCAACGCGGGGATATCTCATCTTCTCACCGCAGCCAGATTGCGTCATGTCTGGTGGTCATGGTCCAGCGAAACCGGTGAGCTCAATATGAGGCCAAATGCATCTTATGATTTTTCGGTCGACAATTTCACCCACCGGGTATCAACGTATACTGAAAAAGAAAGTCACATACCGATCCTGTGAGATGGTGGGTTGCTAAAATTCATTCACCAGCCATGTCCCACATTAGCATCGTTTGCATCTCGTTTCTGATTTACAATAACCATATATAACTTCACTTCTTTCACCTAATCTCCCTTTACACTTCGATCATACTGGCGAAGGGGGGTGATGCGGAGGCGCTGGAGGCGGACTTTATGGCATACTATAATACTCCAAGGAAGTCTTCGGCCGCCACAAAAGTGAATACTAACCGTCAATCAGAAGCCAATATCGATTTGCTGGACAAAGGACTTATCCAAGTCTAGATTGTGCGACAGACTGTTGTTGCTGAACTATCAGGTCAAACTCTCCTACTGAACGGTTATAGTTTAAACATTGCTAAGAGCATACAGTAAAAGGTTGGGCCGGACATAAGAAGAGAAAGAGGTACAATATCATTAAACAAAAGCGTGAAGCCACCAACGAGAGTGGTGCAAAAGTATACCACATCCAGCACCTTCAAAAGACTCTTCAAATCTTCGCCGGTCGCCGCTTTGGAAAATCTCGACGCATTGAAAAATCTCAATGCGTTCCCTTGCGAATGGCTGATATCTTCGAGCAGCATGGAAACCATGATGAACATCCAGATGACTAGGGTGATATAAACGGGAAGGTATGTAATCCAAAGGGTGTAGGTAGGAATCAAGAGCTGGACCAACTTCATGTTGGCCGAACCGCTAAGCACTAGAACTTCCATTGTGAGGCCGACAGCGAAGTAAACCATGACGACGACCAACGAGTCGGCCCATCTGGAATTATGGTAGAAGTCACAATCAGGGTGATCGCGTGCCTGAGGCGGCGCACTCGTCGATGCGTTACCATGACCGGATTGAGAATTGGCGGTGTTGGACTGCACAAGCGCTATCGGAAGCGTACCGCTGGGTTGTTTGGCTAGAATTATCAAAATGGTGTCTTCTCCTCGTCAAGGGTTAGGACGTACCTTCGAAGAAAGATTCAAAGATGGTTAGCAAAGGAGCTCCAACAAGGACGATAGAGATGACCTGACCGAAAGACCAATCACTAGAACCACGATCGTCTATTTGGAGTGTTTGTGTTAATCTGATGAGACCCCAAGTAAAGCTTCCTACCATCCAAAGGATCTGTTTCCTAAATCAGCATCGATCATATCAAGTCAGATGCTTCATACCTCCATGAACATGGAATTCCAAAGGTCCAGCAACGCCCGACCCGTGAAAAACAGGGCCAGGATTGGGCGATAAAACAGAAAGCGATTCAATGTCAAGCCCGAAGTTTCCATGCCCGACTTTGTGTATATTCGACGAAGGACATAACGGGCCTTTTCACTGCAGAACTCCCTTGCACGGCCAACGATGGTTACCGACAGTGATTCGTGCATCCTGATGACTCGGTAGATGAAGCCTAGAGCCAATAGAATGACAGAGATCACCATCGTCGCAAAGGTCAACTGGTCATCGTTTCCATCGGGTCGTAAGTAGCAGATCGCATAGTCGCTAGGCGCAGGAGTTGGATAACCATCACCACTGTAGTAGAAATCCGTCCAGTTGTAAGCACCCGTGGGTATCATAGCGACGAGCAACATTACCAGCATCAGAAACATTGCTACCAGCCTCCATGCCCGTTCCGCAGGCCGATTATACAGATAGTTACGCAGGAAAGTCAGACAAGAAAGGTGAGTTATGCTCGAGAACCAAGCCAGAAAGACGATGATTTGCCAATGGAAAGCCGAAAGGCCGCAATGCAACTGGACATAACCGCTGATGAGAATGGATGTACCCGTGAGGATCTGGAGGTCGCTCATAGACTGGACACACTATGTCTCCTTAGCGCAAGTATGAAGTGGGGTGAGATACTCGACCAACCTTGATGAACACTGCTTCCACACGAGGGTACTCCTTCGCTTCCGGTAGATTTAGCCTTGGTCTTAGCCTTGCTAGGGTCTTAGAAAGAAGGCTAAGATATGCAACGTCAATTGGATTTGGTCGTGGATTCGTTCGTGAATTCGGTTGTGGAATGAGGTGAAAATTATGAGATGTAGTCGCGCCTGGAACGATCTTCTTTTCAAATGGGTTCTTTGTTGGGTCATATGCAATGTGATAATGGCACACTAAAATCAACACGACTATCCCAGCAGTAGCGGTATATCCAACCAAGACCTAAATATCGTTAGCATGATCGTTCTGAGCTTTTGCTCTTGCATATACTAACACCAGTTCCAGAGATATCAGGGTAAGGAGTTAGCTGACCGGGGGGCTGTGAACAGTCAACGTGACAACTATTGTTGTCCGCCATGCTTGTCGAAACTTCATGTCTGAATGTGGGGACAAGACCAAGACTCATATACTTCGAAGCATCGCAAAGCAAAGCGGGGATGTGCAAGGCTGAGAATCGCTTTGAGTCATGGTTATCATTGTATCTTCAGCCGCGCTTGAGGAGCTAGTATACCCATTGGTTCCAACTCTTTGAGGCGCTGGCCAGGCGCTGGCGAATGATTCTCAGCAAGTAAAAAGACCACAAGCTTGCTGCATGGCGTTCCGCATCCACGGCACAAGTAAGGATCTCGAGCATGCCGTGGTGCAGTGGTATGGCTCGGCCTGGTGAAGCGCACAAGGGCTTGTGTTTTGGCTGAAAAAAGTTCTAGAGGCGCAAGAAGCTGAATGAAGCGCATGAACGGCGTAGACTTAGGAACTTCGAGGATTGGTTCATCGATACCAGCCCTCAATTCTTGCTCTGCACGCAACAGAGCGGCGGCCAGCATTAGTTACGCTTGAGGTAATGCCACCTCCACGAGATGGGAGAGGAACGCACATCCCGCACAAAACCTCTACTACCTAGAGACAGGCAGCCGTGGCGTCACGAGACTCACACTCAGTGTTACACTGCGCTCGCTAAAAACATTGGGAAAAACAAGCACTGAGCCCTTATACTCGACAAACTCAGGAAGGACGTGTTGGATCACGTTGTCTTGTCCATTTCACGTGTCTTCGTGCCCAAGCGTCGCGCCTTCCCGCGCTCTCGTCGCGACTGCCCCACATACGTCATTCACCACGAAACACCATCAACATACAGCCATGTACACACAATGGCTACGCCATCATCAGTCCTACCCACAAGCCGTACTTTCATAACCCAACTCTTCGACTCGCTATCAACATCAAGTGACCAAGCTGCCGCTGCTACCAACAATAATGCCAAAACCAACACCAACCCGCTGAACAACTTATCCGACGCGACGAGGAAACAGTTGCTGAGCTTCCAAGTAGTTTTCCCGACTGAATTCATACCAGCGTTGGATTTGTTAGATCGGCGTCTTGTAACGCGTTTCCATATCCGCAATGAGGAGCAAATGGCCGAGCTGAAGACGGGCGTTGATGCGGGAGACCAACAGCAAGATGTGCAGATGATGCAAGACACAACAGCAGAGTCGGAAGCACCACCACAAAAACAGCAGCAGCAGCAGCAGCAGCAGCAGCAAGAAGATAACCATGCACGCACAACCCCAGCCACCACCAGGGAAGCAAACCCGACGGACAAAGACAAGATAAATGACTTGAACAATAACACGATATACTACGTCCGCTCCGCGCAACAACAACGCTCCTCACGCTTCGCCACATCCTACGACACAACAACATACTACCAAGTCCGCCTCCGCGCCTGGAACTGCTCTTGTCCCGCATTTGCCTTTTCCGCTTTCCCTGCTACTACTGTCACGACGAGGCATGTTGGGAATGAAGAAGAAGCAGCAGAAGTAGCAGTCCACACCTCATTACACCACAGCAATTCAATAACAAACCAGGAGGTAAATAATAAAAAGGATAGCAACAACAACAATGCCGATAACAAGTGGGTATTCGGAGGTATTAGTCTCATCGGGAAAGAAACGACGCAACCGCCGCCCGTGTGTAAACACCTCCTTGCATGCGTGTTTGTGGAAAGATGCAAGGGGTTATTTGGGGGGTTTGTAGAGGACAGGGAGGTTGGTGTTGAGGAGGCGGCGGGATGGGCTGCTGGGTGGGGTGATTGATTGATTGATTGATTGATTGATCGGTATTCTGGCTTGAAAACAGTATAATCCATGCTCTGTAGCTACCATATGACGGACGGTCACACACACACACACACACACACACACACAGAGACTGTTGATACTCTCGGTATTTGCATTACAGCACAAAGGCAAAAAGAAGACGGGACATGCCGTTCATAATTCGATACGCCGAAAAGCTAGGTTGCATCAACAGCTTAGAATAAACGGCAAGAGAAAGAAGAAGAAAATAATATGAAAAAGGATCGAGCTCATATCATGCTTCTTGAGTCATATCATTTCCATCATGCTATTATGTCGTAACATAACACGGGACCCAGGTCAAGCAGAACAAGCCTGCTTCAAACCATGGGTATTCTAACGTGGAGCGGCTCCAAGAGTCTGGGGGTTCTGTATATAATACACATACCTATGCGCCAAACGGCATCATGGGGCAAACTATCCTCGGCTCTCCAGCTCTCCCGCGTCATCATCATCATCATCATCCACCTACCTCGCTTTATTTCTTCGGCTCATCCTTCTTCTCTTTACTCTTGTCCCCCTCCTTGACTTCACCATTTGTCGTCTTGTCACCGCCCTCCTTTTTGTCACCCTCTTTGCCCTCGTCCTTGGCCTTCTCCTTGTCCTCTGCCTGCTGCTTGTTCTGTATCTTATTCTCAATCAAATCGTGGAACGCAGTAATCGCCCTAATCAGACTAGACAGGTAAATTGTCATGAGCTGGTCATTTGTCTTGACACTCATCGCGCGCGCAAGTTCGCCGTTGTCACCGCCATCTGCACCGTTTGTTGCTGCCGTGCCACCAATGGGCGTCGGCTTGGGTGTAGAGAGGTTGGGAAGTAAGTTGAAGACGTCTTGGAGGTTGCCGAGGATGGCGTGGTTGACGGGGAGGTCTTCGTCGAGGACTTTTTGGAGGTATTGGCCAATGTCTCGTAACCGTAGGTGGAGGCCTTGGAGGGACTGGAGTTGTGAGGTTATGCGTGTGGAGAGGGTGCCGACAGCGACGTCGCGAATATCGCGGAGGAGATGTTCGACTCCAATCTCCTCGGCCTCTTCGGCTTCGATTATTGAGGGCGTGTGGACAAAGGTCTTGGAGGTGGTTGTGCCGTCCTGGGTAACCGTGTTAGCATCCACCCTGAGAAGCAACATGGTAGATGTTGCAATGTTGACTTACATCCTTGATCTCCTCCACCGCAAAGTATGCATCCGTCGGTACACCAACCTCCTTTGGCTGTACGTCGATGATGACGAGTAGCGGATTCGGCGTGTACCGCTTGAACAGCTCGTTGACCTCTAGATCCGATGCCCGCAGCTTAGGCCCTGTGTGATACCAGCCGATGAGCTTCTCCCGCGCGTTGACCTTCTTGAACATGTCGTTCATCGACTCGACATAGTTGTGATCCAGAAACCATACCGACGGGTCCTTTTCATCTTCCTCGAATGGTACTGTGCGTGTGTCAGTCAGGCGGCAAACTGGACAATGGCGGGGCGGAGGGACTACATACCCGCAAAGCTGTTGGATACTCGCACGTTCTTGCCGTCGTTCTGTCCGAGAAGAACACCGACTACTCTCCTCTTTGTTCCTTTTGCTTGGCGGCCGTAGTGGTCTGCTGCGGAGAGGAGGACGAGCGGCGCGACGGAGACGTTGCGGGTCACGAGCGACAGCGTCTCGGCTGTTGTGGCGGGCATCTTGGTGATGTGAACTCGGTATCGCCGGGAAAGAGGTGTTGAGAGGGTGACGGCGACGTTGGTCGAGTTCGTTGGGGAAGGGCCGTGGTCGTGGTTGTTGATGCGGCTCTGCGGTGTCCAAAAGCTTCGGAACTGCTATGGTGATAGTGGGTCAGAGCTCCGCGCTAGTCATTCAGCAGTGCGTCAGTGAGCGGCATGGATGGACTCTCGTTTGTTCAGCGCGTCTGACTACAGTACATGACACATGTCATTCAGAACTCCGCGTGTCAGGAAAGAAGTTGAATATTTGGTATCTGAAGAAAGGATAATGTACACAAAATGCTCAATGTAAATGACAGAACCCAACTCCCCGATCAATCCAGCGATCTTAGATCATCCCATAGTCGAGATCAAACATTATCGCATCAGTTCAGAAAGTGCGTGATTAGGGTAGTATCATAGCGTGGCTGTCGGGAAGTAGTACTGATCCCACAGGAACTCATAGTCTTCAATAACACCGCCAACCATATCGAGCAGAGGCTTGCCCTTCAATTTTCCAGTGATGCTGTGGATCCAAGCCCTATCCGTTGTTAGTCGCCAATTGAAGCAGATAGGCACCAGACTTACTTGGTGATGTTCTCGTAGAAAGCGCCGCGCATTGCCCACCATCCCAGGGACCAGCCCCGCTTGCGCAACTCTTCCTTCTCCAGTCCAGTCAAGCCCCTCAGACCTCCGGCTAGTCGCTCTTGAAAGTCTTTCTTGGCGAGTTGCCTGGCGCCGTACTCCATGCTGACACCGATCAACCACGGCCTCCAGCTCTTTCTGTCGCCGCTGAAGTGTTGCATCGCCAGCGCGTACACAACCGGTCGGAGAATGTACAGTGCTTCGGCCAGCTCGCCCTTCCCGCTGACTCGATGGAGCAGTGCCTTTGGGGGCTTGATGTCGTCTGCAGTCAGTACCTTGGAGAGAAGGTAGCTTGAAATATCCGAGGAGTCTGGTAGGCTCGGCATGGACAGGCCAGTTCTAGGCATGGCCCAGTTCTCTGCCTCGACCGAACGCTCGCTCGGTGGTGTATCCATGCCGTCTGCCGATGCCGACGACTCTTCGAGTGAGCTTGGGTCAATCTCTCGTTGTGGGAGTGGCGGCGACAGGAGTGGGCGCGAGTTGGTCAACCGAAGCAGCAACAACCTGCATACTGCTTTGACAATCTCCAACAACACCACGACGCGCCATCGCACCTTCTCGCCCTTGCGCTTCGCCGCCATCTCCCATAGCAGTTCTGTATATTGAATCATCTGGAGCACCAGCGCGATGCGCTTGTATGTGGGCGAGTTCTGCGTCCAGAACTTGGTATAGCGATGATGCGGGGTGAGGGGCTGCCGTCGCGTTCCGGACATTTGTGCCATGGCTTTTGAGAGGAGCGAATCATGGTATAGGGAGAGCACTTGGACGCCGCTGTGTACTGTGGCTTTGTTAGTCGTCGTGACGGACGCGCGACGGCCGGACGCAACCTACTAGATTCGGATGCGACTTCAGACTCTCGGAAGCGGCCTATGCATAATCAGCAAGATGCATACGTGTGCACGTCGAGATACTCTACCGGGGATAATGTATGTCAGTGACCGCAGCGCTGACTCTATCTGCGTCACGGCGCTGCTGTTCTTGGTGATGAAGTCCGAGTACATGCCCAGCCACTGCGACGGCATGGACAGCACCTCGCCCGTCTTCTGCGTCGCTTGCTTGTACATGTCTTGCAGTCGCACTCAGCAAAACGCGCCGAGTTGGAGCGATTGCGCGACGTCGATGTGGTGGATGTGGAGGTATGCACGTGTAGATAGGAGTGATGGGCGAGGGTGAAGTCATGGATTCATTATCGCGTGCGCTACTGAGTACCGAGGCAGGTGCGGCTCAGCTACCCCGGATGTTCCTCTCCACTCCCAACGAGCACGCTGCTCCCCTTTTCCATCTACTCGTAGCACCTGACGCATGCCATGGCCCCCCGATAACGTCTGTCTTGAGTTGTGCTATGCTAGTGTTGCGAGACGTGTCTATAGCCCTTGATGGCGTAGAAAAGGGCGCTACCTGGTCCTAAAAGGAAGGTTGTCAAACATGTGACTCCGCGTACGCAGAAAAACGCGTTACACGTCCACCAACAATTCTTTCTCAGATACACAAACATTCCTCCTTGAAGTATCACAAAATCAATCCTGTTACTGGGTTCTCTTTAGTTCAAACTGCGCCTCCTGACCCTCATCTTCATTATCCCCAATACGTATTTAGAAGAGCTTGCAGCATGGAGGACAAGACATCAGACCGTCTTCCCGTGCCACAACTTCCCGTCAGAGAAAACGAGCAACCACTCTTCGCCTCGATCAACGCTTTCGTCCACAACTACATGTCAAAGTACGACAACTCCCACGACTACAACCACATCCTGCGCGTCCTTTCCAACGCCCATTACATTCAAACGTATGAACGCGTTAGCAACCCTTCAGTCAAGTATGACACAACAGCCCTCTACCTAGCCGCCCTTCTGCACGATGTTGGCGACCACAAATACGCAAAGCCAGGCGAAGATGTCGAGAATCAGATCAGAGACACCCTTCTAGCCCACGGCGCAAACCCCGAGCTGGCCGACAAGGTTCAGACGATTGTAAAGCACGTCTCGTACACACATGAAGTTCGCAACCCTGATGCCGTCAAGGAAGTACTCAAGGTACATCCTGAGCTAGGCGTCGTACAGGATGCAGATCGAATCGATGCTATCGGCGCAGTGGGTATAGGCCGGTGTTTCTCGTTTGGAGCAGCCAAGATGCCAGATCAGCCTATGGAGAGGGCGGTGAGCCATTTTGAGGAGAAATTGTTCAAATTGGTGGGGATGATGAAGACGAAAAAAGGGAAGGAGATGGCACGAGAGAGGCATGAGGTGCTAGAAGGGTTTGCCAAGCAGTGGAAAGAAGAGACGCGGCTAACTTTCAAGATGGAGTGAGTAGGAATAGGATGCTGGGGTGACCGGGAACATGTGTGTAGGATGATTGGGGATCTATGTTTGTTTTGGTCAAGACACGGTGAGTATCTGGATGGGGGTTTCAATGCGCATCTCGAAAGGACTTCTACGTCATCTTCGTAGATACTACCGCGTTTCCTGAGAAGTTCGACATAGTTTTGAGAAGCCACAGCATCAAGTCATACTGCATCATGGGTACGAAAGGTCGAGTAGCATCAATTGAAAGAGGAACAACGTCTTTTTTCGGTTTCGTTCTCGGTTCTGGTCATGCAGAAATTGAGAACGTTTCGGGATGGACACCCATGGAAAGCGGTCAGTCGCCAAGTTTGTGAATGATTGCTTTATATGTCTGCGTGGTGTGAAGGGATGCCAGGGTATGTTTTATCAGCGCTGAACCCGAACGTAACAACTGTATACGGCTGTGAGAACAGGGCTTTGGATCAATGTACCAGGATATTCTTGGGGTCTCGTGGACAGAGTGAAGTATCGGTAGCCACAAGGATGCGGGTTCAAGTACCGAATGTACGACTTGCAGCGAAGAGACGTTGAACAGATAAGTCCCTGAAATATGACGACATCCACCAGAGAAATGTAGGATAGTGTTTTTCCAGGATCTCCTCAACATACCATGCGAGTCACATCTGAGTGCGATCACCGGTGCCTCTAGAGGCACTGGGTATATTGTGACTGGACGGTCTTTTTTGACCGAGGACCACGCTTAAATACACGGATCGAATAAAGCCGCGTCCGGTCCATACGTACCGCATAAGTGGAATGCAACGTAACGTCCAAATGTCTTTACCCTGCTATTTGGTGCTCAATCGATTTCCTGTGCGACTAGCATCGAGATATAGCGAGCCCATCGTTTGTAGATCCGACTCACAACCTCGAATCTATCGAATATGTCATGAAAGAGCGTCCGCGGCATCAACAAACAATGATGGCGGTACTGAGGCGTATCAGAGAGATGTAGATCAGGGTCTTCGGAACGAACCCCCAGCTAATAGGTGTCTTGCAACGTGCATCTGCAAGCCCACTAACTTCCATCTAGAGCGCGTGTACGTATGTGCTTCTGTTGCCAGACCGTCCTACCGTTCGCCGCACACTCCATCTATCCCGTATGGTTATCCACTACAACTAATCGAACTGTGTGTGCATGGTTATGCCAGTGCAGCCAATTTCCTCATCGGTAGCATATCTACGTCAAGTAACCTGTCCGACACACACCGATAATGCCACTAACGCACACCCCATTCAAACGTTGGAAGCTGGAATACCCGGAGTAAGTAGTCCGAGAGAGCCACGTTCATACAACCTGATCAAATGCTTCCGAGAAGCCGCGGAGACGGCAAGGGGCCGTTTCGATTGTGGAAACATTTGTATATTCTGCTCATATAGATTGAGCCGCAAAAATTTCGATGCGGCTGACCGCGATCACCGCCATGCTTGAGAAACAGCAGTTGGACCACTACTATTGCAAGAAGTGGAATGGCGATCTGGCACCCGATACGCCATCGGAGTCAGTTCGTCGTGTGGAATTCCCATCCCATTCGTCGGCGCCAAATCCCATCTTGTGCCGCCTCCCATTGTGGGTATAATGCAGACGCTGCAAAGGGAAGACACGAGGCGCAAGCAATTCCAGAGACGATAATTGAAGATTGCGACATGCAATGAGAAAGTTCTTCGTGCTCTGTTTCACATAAGACACAGCGCTGGAGGGGGATGCGCGCAGCAAAAGACGAACCGCGTGTGGGTCTCTGATTGGCGGGCGAATTCACCGCATCCCAATGAACATCGAGATCTTCTAGCGCTGGTCTTGCTACCATCGATATTCTAGAACCCCATCTTAAAAGATCGATGTGCACCCGAGTACTTTTGGATCCTCGAAAAGAAAAGAAAATTAAATACCCATGCCCATAAATTCTCCCCCCTTCGCGGTGCTTCGTGTACCAAACAACCTCTGGGATCCCTGCTTCTTTTCTTTTTCTTTTTCTGCAAGAAATGACAGACATGGCTCGTCCCCTCAGACCACTCCGTCCTGCTGCCATTCGTCCGCGCAACGAGCCGCTCCCTCCCCAACCCCGTGATCGTGTCGCCTCCGCATGCGACCAATGCCGCACACGGAAGATAAAATGCAACGGCGAAAGACCTACATGCCTTGAATGTACCAAGCGCTCCACCGCATGCCACTACGCCACGCAGTCAGCGGAAACACAGAACCAGGCCCTAAAGCGCAAGTTCAAATTGTTGCAAGCCGAGAACGAGGCATACACTGAGTTCTTCGAGTTGATGAAGACTAGTTCGGATAGTGAGAATCGGGAGTTGATGAGGAGGGTCAAGATGGGGGGTGAGATTGAGGATGTGTTGAATAGAATTAAAGAGGCGGATTTACTTGTTCAGTTGAATCCGAGAGTGGAAGATGGGAGCAGAGTGCAGTATACATTACCGAGTTTGGCGAGCGTGGTGCCGAAAAAGGGCATGTTCATGCCCGATAATCCTTATTTCGCTTCGTCGTCGGGGTCTCAGGCAAAGTCTTATCATAGGAAAGGTTCTGAGTCCGGCGATACAGCGGCGCAGTATCCAAGTCCACCCATGTAGTCGCTGTGTGGCGATGATTTGGACCGAGATAATTCCAGAGAATCGGGACAGTTGAGTGAGCGTCAGGCGTCCACAACAAGCCCGAACACCGAATCTCTCCGGACATATCCGTTCAACCCCCGGAAGTGGTTATTCCACGTACCGCATGTTGCGAACGTCTAGCCGCTCGACATTACCAGCCAAAAGCAGACTGCCTGGTAAAATTGTCGTAAAACAACGGGATAGCCACTCGTTCCGTAGCTCTTGTTGTCTTCAGTGTTGGATCGACTAACATTTTCAGCACACTTACAAGAAGTAGAGCCGCTGGGCGAGCGTGTAGTTTTGTACCGGGATCCAGCCTCATATACTGAAGAGTATCCTTGCGTATGATACGTTATTCCTAGCTGATATAAGCTTGTCCTGAAAAGGCTATGGGAAGACTGGAGAAATGGAAGGATATCTCATTGTTGATGACCGAATCATGACTTCGCAATTGAGGGCTACGAACGCAGAATCCGACAAAGAGCTATTAGTCCCTGTTATGCTATAGGGAATACATCTTCACCATGTAGCCTTGTCTTACTGGCCTTCGCTCGTATCGCGCGTCTCCGCTGCTCAATCGATTACTCGACTCTTTCGCCGTTTCCCCCACGCGTTGTAGGATCCATGCCAGCATCAAGACAGCAGTCGAAGCAGACTGAAAATTCGCCAGAGGAACGTTATTGAAATAGTGCGTATGATTGGGGATCCTAGTGGTATGGAAGACATGGGGACATCTCTATCCGCTCAGGACATCTAGGCGACATCCAAACTTGGTTGCGCGGCATTGTCCATGGCAGTAGAACTTGACATTCCTTCCAGCACGATCATGGAGTCTCCTTTACCTTCTCTCCTCCATCGTCGTTCTTCCAGGTTCCTGCATAATGATGCGTCACTAGTTGCGGCGGCAGCAGTTTCTCTTCCTCCGGCTGATACGTGTTCGCAGACGCCGCAAACGACCTCCCCGGCATCACCAAGACATCCCCTACCAATCTTGGCCGCACAAGCTCCTTCATATCATATGCATCGACGGTTCTGTTGAGCAAGCTTCCCAAACTCGTATACACACTGCGTGTCAGACGCCGCGGACCGGTGAAGTCGACCGTATCGCCCATCATATCCATTGTGATGTTATTGACCGAGACGTCAAATTCTGCAGTCTTCTCCTGCAGTGTCTGGAGGATATCCTCGATGACTTGCATCATGTGTGGCGAGCGCGGTTTGGCCATTATAGTCCAGCTCTCGAATTGCCGCTCATATCTGCCCGGCCAACCCTGGTCAAACTCCCATCCTACCACGAGCGCAGCCTTGTCCTTGTAAATCTCCGGTACCCACTCATCAATTCGCACATCTTCTTCGCACGAGACGTCTAGGTCGGACCAGACTCCGCCTTCGTTCCAAAGCAGGACATAGCGCAGAAAGTCGGCTTTGTAAATGGGTATGGGTAATGCGAGGTAGGTGTCGACGATATCTGGGCGGGATTCTACAAACGTCTTGCGGATGTAATCATCGCCGTCGTCCTCCGTTAAGAAGCGCGCTTCATAGTCGGGATTGTTCTTGACGCAGCTGTCGGTCCACGCTTGTGTCTCTTCAGAAAGACCGTTGGGGCCTAACTTGTACCAAATAAGTTTGGGGATGCTGTTAGGTTGTGGCTGCTGCGCGATCGCGGGCGCTCCCGGCGCACGGATGATGAAGCGAGCCTGGACGAAAAGGAAATAGTAGACCAATACTATTGTACATATCGCGATGAACAGGTAGTAATTGAGCGCCTTGGGTAGCTGTAGTGACCGCGATAGCATGATAGAGGCTTAAATGAAGGACTAGAGAAAAGAAAAGGAGACAGTGAATCTGGAGAACGAATGTAAGACGTTTGCTTACCTTTCTCCAGTAAAGGGAGATCCTTATAAGACCGATAGCGAAGCGCCGCAATATCTCCGACACGGCGGTACCTGCATCTTTCGCTCACTTTGGATGCAGTCGTTCTATTAATTCCCCGTTGGTGGCGCTTAGGTGTTCGCATCGCCCTTCGCTAGATGTGGCACGGCGCCATGAACCAGGGTCGACAAGATAACCCTGAATTACGGCTAGTTCCGGGAAATCGTTCACCGGCTGTATTTGGTGAGTGGGCTCTCGGACTCCGAACGCGCTTCTCTTCCCATTTCCATCATTGAATTGACGATGCTTCAACCCAACAGCTCTTGAATGTTTCTTCCTAATAGAGAATGTGGACTGATTGCCGACCTTACAAAAAGCCTACCCATAATCTCGAGAGCAGAAAAGGCCAATACTAAAAGCCAGTGGCAGAAGTACGAGCTCTGGGTGAGGCGGATTTGATCTTTTCCATCTAGTTGACTTGCGGGTTCATGGCCGCAATAGGTATACCCTGAGGTTTCGGCCAGCGATACGAAAAGTACAAAGAAGTTCCGTTTCACAAGTCAGGTCATTGGAATGTGCTACAACCCCTTCTTGATCTGTTCCGCTGTCGAATGAACTAGCATGAGCGGACATTCAAGTGCATTCACCCGTACCCAAAGTCACTTTCTCTCACAGCTTCAGGCTCGTGGTTTTACTAGATGTCTTCTCTTCTTGGCCGGCTATTCATCATTTTCTGTTACGTTTGAGTACCTTCACCCTGATCTCTAAGCCAATCTGTTCTGCTATGGCTCGCCCAGCCGCATATGCTTTGCTCGCAACGGTTTTTGCACGTGCGATTAGTGCCAGTTTGGAATTCACCAACCCACTACCTTACAATACAGACGGCAACGTTAGCAACTATCAAACATACAAGAAAGGTCACAGTCTGCTTGTTTTATGGAGTGGGGGCGACCCATCGGAGAATGTCTCGATATTACTGGTTCAACAAGACTTTCATAGCTTAGTGTATTCAGAATCGCTGCGGGGTATAAAACTGCTCAGCTCAATGATAAATGGAACACCAGCTGACTTTTCGTATCAAAGAACTTGGCAGGTGTGACAGGATTTGAATGGCTCGTAGACACGGCAAGAAATCTTACAGATTCGAACCTGTTCTCACTCGCTATTACTCAAGGAAGCACCCAAAGCTCAGCCAGCCAATACTTGTTCATCGAGGAGGATTTCGGTGAAGGGAGCGATTCTGACTTGTCATCGTCTTCGGCGATATCTCCTACAGCAACGTCAAACGGCGCATCAACTGTAACAAGGACAGCAGCCTCACACTCGGCATTCAAGTCAACATTAGAATCGACATGGATTTCAACACGACACGAAACAGTGTCGACATTACACAAAACACAATCCTCGACGAGAATTGCAATATCAACAAGCTCAAATTTGCCGACCATTAAAACAAACGTACCTAACCTCTCCACCGAATGGATCATAAACGACGGCTTCCCGCTAGGAGCGAAGCTTAGTCTCGGCGTAGGGATACCCGTAGCTATTGTCCTCGGGCTTTTAGCTGGATGGCTGACCTTCCGTCGTCAGAAGAGAGATATTGCGGCGCACAAGCTACCCACCAGCGTGAATGAACAACTTGAGCCCGAAAGAGGTCGTCACAATCGTAGCATAGACAGGCATGAAGCGCCAGACCAAGGTCTTCACGAAGCGGCAGTTAATCATGTCCACGAAGTACCCCCAAACCAACGCCTGGAGATAGGACAGTCAGAGGAGCAGGGTTTATCGAAACGGAGAGGCGAGGTAGACAATAATTCTACGCTTGAGTCGGTACGGTATGAGATGGACGCCGGCTCTCCCATGCAAGCTTACAACCAAACTGTCAAGTGAGGCGGATAGTTTACTAAGACTGATGTCTGACGTAACAATCTCGTGAGAACAAGCATTGGAAGCGATCAATGTAGTCTTCGAGTACACACCACGTTCATAACATAACGCTTCACTTCTTCTCGTCACAAGTGCCCATCCCGAATCAACTCGGTCATCATACTTTGAATAGTAACGGCCACGATCCTCCCGAAGTTCTTTTGCTTTGAGAGTCTCTCTTTATTCCAGAAAGTGTCCAAGTCAATTATGGCCAGACTTGGCATCGAAAGTATGACTTTCCTTAGGAGATGCCACACGTCCGCTCATGGAATCATACCGGAGCAGTGGATCATATGTCAAATCCCACCTCCAAGATAATCACGCATAGGGCACAGACTCCGTTTCCGTTACTATCTGCATTACAACGATCTCTAGTTTAGTTAGACCTGAGGAGGGAGTATGCGTCGCGCGCACATTACTTCTTCTGAGTATATATTGGAGAGCCTCAAATCCCGTATCTCCGAAGTGTATTCTCCGATTCCCTACGCTAGGAGGCCCACCTCGACCGACACAGAGGGGTGCGGTTGGTGCTGACTGAGCCCCACCGACACGTGACGTCCGCGCATTTTTTGCAAAAAACCAAATTCCTCACTCAACACCACCACAATCGCGACACTCACGACGACCTGTGCAACAGCAAAAATGCATCGGCCGGGAATCGAACCCGGGGCTAGCCGAAACTGTCCTGTGAAGGATGGCAACGGCTAATTTTACCACTAAACCACCGATGCGAGAGATACTAGGCGTGATGGAAATCTTGGCCTAGCCAGGGGTATACATACCCTTGACGCATTACATAATTACCAACATTCGTGTCGTGCCGAATGCAGCCTATATCCACAAGGAGGAGAGGAGGCACCACCAATGGGCGAGGAAAATTGATCCCATCGTGCTCTGGGTGACTGGCATGTCGCATGATATCGGCGACACAAAATATCAGACTAATGAAGAATAGCGGAGTCAACACCACCCGTTGATCCAGTTCCTCAGTCCTCTAGTTTGCCAATCTTATATCTGACGACAGGATACATATCTCGTTTACCAAGGAGATGATCAATGAAGCATATACCAAGGCCTTCGCGGATCACGTCCTGCCTTGCGCATCGTACAGGACGTAGATCGTCTCGACGATCATGGGGCTGTGGATGTGAGTCGCCTGTTCGTCTATGGAGCTGTAGATCAAATCCGGAGGAACAGTTCCATCGCCAGCGGTGTCAAGCTTATCGAGGCGAGGTTCAGCGAGTATTAGAGGCTGATGAAGACGAAGACTGCGAGAGAGGTTGCAAAGAAGCAGTACAAGTGGATGAAGGAGCACGTCATCCGTAGGTGGACGGTAGAGGCTGATACGGGTACTGCTTAGGTGGCCGGTATGAGCATGAACGATTGCGTTCAGGACAAACTCGTGCGACTTGAAGACAGACATGTACACTGGAAGAGGCTGCACTACTGCTCTTTTAACGGAGCGAGGCATTCCCGACTTTCTGTAATGTTCAGCGGTTCCTGCGCTTTCAACTGTCCAGATGGCCTACGCTTGATCAACCGCATAGCCTGCTCGAACAAACCTAACTTCTTTTCTTTCTTTCCCCTACGCTTGAATGTGCCTTTCGGCGTCGCACCGTGTAACTCAAGTAGCCTTGTCACCTCCTTTTTATGTCCAGGCGTTACTAACGTATCTTCCAAATGCTCAACAGCATCCAATGCTGGGACAGACAACCACCTTCCCTCATCAGCCTCATGACCCAGCTCCTCCAAACAAAACCTCAGCAACGCCACATCACCGTACACCGCAGCGATGCCTACTACATTTCCGGTATGGTTGCAGTCCCAATGTTTGGTTTGCGGAAAATGCTCTACGAAGGTTTTGAACACTGGGAGGCCAGATATGGCGGCCTTGTCGTGTGGGTACGCGAGGTCTCGTTCGTTGGGAGGCCAATCAGGGTTAGAGCGTAGGATGCGAGTGAGTTCTGCATCGTTTTTGTTAAGGATAGCAGATATGATGGTGTCGTCTATAGAAGGCTGTTCGATCTGGTGTGGGGGTGTTGTCATACTGCGTGCTTAGATGAGAGAGAGGGTGGTTGAGTGTGTGTTTGTGGTGCAGCCAACATTCCTAGTCTGATCTGTATGTCCGGATGAGCGCTGTACTACACCAGAGTACTGCCTGGCGTTGTTGAGTGAGTACTTCACGTGAGTAGTTTTGCGTGCTTTCAGCTGCTAAAATAACGCCAGTCGGCGTTCCGAGCTACGTTCTCACAGCGAGATCAATGCCAATGACACCTGGGCAAGCCTCATCTGTGTCAGACCCCGCACTTTGTCGAGGATAATCTAACGATATAGCGTACACGATTTTGCAGAGGTACTGCAACACGAATGGGATCACCCTGAGGGCGTCTGGGACAATAGCAGACGGAGTCTACCGGTGCACTACAACGTTGTCAGCAACACATTGGGTTGTCGGGTTCATCGCATTTGCCTTACTCGGATCTCGCGTTGTGCCAAAAATAGGCGTGTAGGGGTTATGATCGCTTCCAGCCGATAGGGCGACCATGCTAACTCCTCTAGGCCTACGGGACTCCACATCAAATGACAGTAGATTCATGCCTGGAAGGCCTAACCCAGCGCACGACTTGCAAAATTACCGGAAACGCGCTCGTATCATTAGCAGCTAATGAGTAGTGCCGTAGAAGCTAGGGATGGAGATGGACGAGATACGAAAGTGACAGGCACACAGACGTCATTTCCCCGTGCCAACGAAGAAGCTTCAGGCTGCCCTTCCGACGCCACTAGAACGCCGTCGAGTTTTCCACTGCAACTTCCCCACCAGGCCTTCCATCGGCGTCTGCATTTACCATGTAACGCTATCGTGCACCAGGGTGCTCGCACGAGAATTGATCGTCGGCACGTTAGCAGGAGATGGAGATTTGCTTTTCGTCGCGAGCGCAAGGGTTACCAGTCTTTTGCATGGTAAGCTCGTGTTAGGACCAGAGTGGCACACCAGCAGAGGATCGACACAGGGTGTCCTGCCCCGAATCCCGGGTGGATCTAGGGCAGATGAGTTTTCGTTCGTGTTGAGTGGATCGAGGGAGTATTTATGTGTAGGACGTGCGGCTGATGCAGGTACGGGAGTGATGGGTGCAGCCAGGGAGGCAAATGTCTCGTATTGGTCGTGGTCTTAAGAAGATAATCTTCCCTGTGTACGATATTTATCTACCTACCTTAGCAAGTCTTTGATCGTTCCTGCCGTTCAGTCAGCAGGCGCTATTACGTCCGGTCGTTGCCTATCTACGACCACCTCCCCTGGTCAACTTGAGACGGAAGTGACATCTCACTCTATACACTCACCATGAAGTTTCTCGTTTCCCTCACAGCAGGTTTGCTGTCCATCGGCCTGGCCTCCGCCTCACCAGCTGCACCGCTCAACAAGAGAGCTGTGTCGACTGACGGAAGCTGCGGAGGAACAAAAGGCTTCACTTGCAAGGGTTCTTCGTTCGGAAACTGCTGTTCGCAGTACGGATGGTGCGGAAGTTCGGTCGACCACTGCGGTGCCAGCTGTAACTCAGCATTTGGCACATGTACTGGCAGTACTACATCAAAAGCAACTTCAGTAACAGTCAAGCCCTCTTCGACAAAGGTTGCTCCAGCTCCTTCCTCCGCACCCACCAAGAAGGTATCACCAGATGCAACATGTGGTGGCGCCAATGGCTACACATGTCTGGGTTTCGCTGAAGGCAACTGCTGCAGTGCGAACGGATGGTGTGGTTCGACATCTGCATACGTGAGTATTTGAAACGCACATCCTGACTGGACGTATACTGACTCTGACAGTGTGGAAGCGGTTGCCAGTCCGGCTTTGGAAACTGCGGCAGCAACACCGGCTCAGGATCCAGCACCATCAAAAGCAGTGCTAGCAAGACTTCCTCAACAATCCCATCGTCAACAGCATCTGGGTCTGCTCTCCAATGCTTGAACGGAAAGAATGTCCCTTACAAGATGACCTCAGATGCTGAGTACTCTGAGCTTTCAGAGCCTTACAATTTGCGCGTTCCTTTCAAGCCGGCTGTCATTGTCCTTCCAACCACCAACCAGCACGTTCAGGATGCAGTTGTATGCGGTGCCCAAGCCGGTCTCAAGATCCAGGCCAAGTCAGGTGGACACTCTTATGCAAGCTTTAGCTCTGGTGGCAAGGATGGTGCTATGCAGATCAACCTCCAGTCTTTCCAGACTATCGAGCTTGACAAGAGCTCCGGCGTTGCTACAGTTGGCGGAGGAGTCCGTCTCGGCAACCTCGGTGACGGTATCTACACCCAAGGCAATGCTGCTGTAGCCCAGGGTACCTGCCCCGGTGTTGGCATTGGAGGCCACTACACACACGGAGGTTACGGCCATACATCGCGCAATTGGGGATTGGCCATGGACCAGGTCATTGGAGCCGACATCGTTCTCGCCAACGGAACCCTCATCAAAGCCTCGTCAACACAATCCCCCGACATTTTCTGGGCTATCAAGGGCGCAGCAGAATCCTTTGGCGTCGTGACAAAGTTCTACCTCCAGACACGCGCCGCGCCCGCCAGCATCACATACTTCCAGTTTGCCTTCACTGGAATCCATGACTCTAAGAGCGTCTGGACCAACACCTTCTTGCACATCCAGGACGTCGCGAAGAATGCTTCCGTCGTCGACAACCGCGTCTCCTTCGGCATCTACCTCGACAACTACGGCTCCTACAGCTTGTCCGGCGCCTTCTTCGGATCGGTCTCGGAATTCAACACCAAGGTCAGACCTGAGCTGCTCCGCACCCTGCCTACCGCCGAAGCAACCGTCGAGTCCATGGGCTGGTACGACTACATGGTCAAAGTGTCTGGCAAAACCAGTATCAAAGAACCCCTCACCGGCTACGACGAGCACGAAGACTTCTTCGCCAAGTCAGTCACGGTCCCTGAATCTAGCGGGCTGACATCAAACGCCCTCAACGCTCTGTACGATTACCTCAAGACAGCCGGCTCAACAGAATACTACATCATCATCAACCTATACGGCGGTCCCGGATCAGCGATTAACAGCAAAAACACTGAGTTCGCGGCTTACGTCGACCGTGATAGTCTGTGGGTGCTACAGAACTACGGTTATGGAGGCGCGTCGATGAACTTCATCAACGGCATCAACAGTGCTATTATCAATGCGCAGCCGCAGACGAGCTTTGGCGCGTACTTGAACTATGTAGACCCGAGTTACGATGCCGCGACTGCGCATAAATTGTACTATGGCGATGCGGTGTACAGCAGGTTGGCCGCGTTGAAGCAAAAGGTTGATCCGGCACAAGTGTTCTGGAACCCGCAGGCTATTGGTGCGTAAAGATTGGTTAGTTGGGCTTGTCAATGGTGTTTATGGGCGTTTTGTTTTGGACAGTAGTTGGAAGAGCTCCTCTTGTACATGTCGGATGATTTACAACTACTTTACTGTAGTAACTATAATGATACCTCTTGTTTCGACAGATTGAAGAACAGTGGGTTACTAGACATTTTGTGATTCGAGTGTAGTGGCTGAAGTACTGGAAGCAGGTATCAAACGCATGAACTAATGTGGCGCTCAGAATTGGTTTCATACAATAGTTCTGTGACTGAGTTTGTGTTGTATCCTATATCTGACATGTGCAATGTACGTGCGAGTGGATGCTATTGACACGGCATTCAATAACCATTCCAGATGGGTGTCGTATCCACACATAGCCGCCTGTCACTTTGGCTACTGGGCCTCGAGGTTTGACCACCTCAAGGTCTGCAACTTGCATGCCCAGCCGAGCAGTGATATCTCTACCACGGCTCCGCGTCTCCCCGCGCATAGCCTGCGAAGGGTATATATCCTCTTCCACACTGATACACTCGTCGCGACCTGGACTCTTGGCACGATGCTGTGCTCTTCGTGGTTTGTATAACAAATCGTGAACAGAACACATGGTCACCCACCCGCCGTCTTACTCCTCTCCTCACCTTCGACCAGCTCTTCCTCTCCCCGCAATTCTGCCCCCACTTCGCTACCACCCACACCCACACCCACACCCTCCACGCCTTCCTCTTCTCCCTCCTCTCCCTCTTTCCCCTCTGCAAGCTTCCTATACTTCCTCCTCGCCTTCTTAGCACTACTAGCCTTCTTCTTACTCTTCTCCCTCGCCTTGACCCTCGTTCGCGCACCCTCGCCCAACTCCATCTCCTCAATCCGATCCTGCAGTATCCTCCTCGCCATCTTCCTGTTGACCTCTCTGGACCGTGTGTCCTGGTATTTGACTACGATGCCAGTGGGTATGTGTTTGAGTTGCACAGCAGAAGAGGTCTTGTTGATCTTTTGGCCGCCGGGGCCTGAGCCTTTGAGGAAGTTTTCAATGAGGTCGGTGTCGAGGAGGGGGGTGCGTGGGGGTAGGGATTTGCCGCCGTTGAGGAGAATGGTGGTGGTGGAGAGGTAGGCGCATTGGATGGGAATGGTGGTGCTGGGGAGAGGTGTGGCGGTGGTGAGGCGGGCGAGGGACGTGATGGAGAGGAGGCGCATCGTGGAGTTTGGTTAAACTAGGGTTGCAGACGATTTGGGTGCTGCGCCATTCGCGATGGAATTAGCATTGAGATTGTCCGTTGGTACAAAGTGGGTTGTTGGAAACTTCGAGTAGTGTTTCGCTGGTTATCGATTCGCGCGTCATAAGGCTCTCGTCTGGAGCAATGCGATCAATTGCAATCCCTGCTCCGAATCCACCGGTCCCTGAACTCCTCATCTCCCCGGCATCATCTACACCGCGCGCACGCCCAAATCATCATTACACGACTCTACAGCTGCGATACCCTCATACAAGCTTTTTTTTTTTGCGCACACAAAGCATTCCTCTACGGATTCGCAAGTCTATGCTTGATACTACAGTCCTCTTGGCCGCTTTCCTCTTAGCCAGCGCATTCACGCTCCTCCTCGCCGCAATGCTTTACCCATCCGCCCTCCTCCGCTGGTTCCAGCGCAAGAGGTACCAATACGAAGTCACATTCTCACTATACATGTTGACTTCGACCGAGAAGTTCATCTTCAGTACGTTGGCCCCATTGACTTGTCGTCGCATGCAAAACCGCATCTTGTCTTGTTTTCTCGAATGCGGAGATTCACCGCCCCTATCCTCTCTCTCTCTCTCTCTCTCTCTCTGTGAACGCCACACTGCCTCTGCACACACACACACACACACACATACTCTGCCTCTAGTACATGCTTGCAGATTTGAAAAACTAACAATTTCGACAGACTCGGTACTCTTTCTCCTCCTCTCCCTTCTCATAATCGCCGCGTCGCTGTACCTCCCCGAACACCTGACTATTATCGCGAACCGCATGTCTTACTATCTTTCTGGCAACCGCGACGCGCTTGCCAATTCCACACCGAAAGATGTCGGGATGCCGAATGCGCCGTTGGGCGCGGGTGCCATGGGGAATGGGAGGGGCATGATGGAGTTGTAAGGATGGAATGTCAACAGGGGGATGGTAGGGCAGAGATATGGGCTTGAGACATCGATTCTCGAACGTTGAGCATATGTGCATAGTGACGGGGCGCAAAGAGGCGTTATATCTGCTTTTCCGTCGGACGAGCCAGGGCATGAATTATAGACGTACTAGAAGTATAGTAATGTTAATAACTACATCACAAGGTTGCTTCTCATTCTTCGTAACCCCCCATGTGTCGCAGCCATGTCTCGTCATTCTGACAGGCCTATACGGAGGCATGCGCATTAACAATATGAGTACGTTGTTGAAAGTATCGAGGCGTGTATGCAATGACCGTCTCACGTGGGCGATGCGGTATGCACTGTGATATGCATGACGCACGACGCATTGCGCACCTGGGAGCACACATCACAATCATGTCACGCTCTGACTGCATGATTCGCATGGTACATGGGCGGCTAGCGTTTGAACAGTGAGGTTGGACGATGCCTGTGAGTCATGTTTCTGGCCTCCAGGCCCAAGGTTCTTTGGAGTGGTGTGAAGCTGTGTTGAGACTGAATAGTAGTAAGGGTGTCTCATAAGTCTGCAGGTGTAGCGATGTCTGCAGTTGATGCTGGATTGGACGTAAGCTGGTACGTACGCGATTGGAGTAAGACAGAAGTCCACCATCAAAATCCTCGTTGCGTTGAGAAGTGATATCTATAAGTGAAATGAGATCCGACAGGGAAACAGTACACCACGCCGTTTGCAACGCGAATATGATATAAAGTGATCAAGGACCAGCGCCGAGAAGATGAAAGAATGTCAATGTATGTTCCACCCAGTAGTCATGGTATCTTGCGAAGCTGAAGGTAAACACCCGCCAGATAAAAGGATTGTCCCTCTCAGATCGTGTTCTTTCAATCAGACGCGGACGTATGCACGGTTGTCGCAGTATAAATGTTGGCTGTGGATTGGTATAGTGCCAGGGCAGTGATACCGTTCAGTTGCCAAACAGAACGCGTACCGCATTCATGAGCGCCACAGTAGTATAATCGCTGACCGCAACGACAGCGGGAAAGCTATCCACCGCATTGACATATCCTTGGGCAGTAGCGTCATCATCAACGAGAAGCAAGATAGTCGGAATATTGGCTATAGTATTGTTGTGTACTATCTTCTTCGACGTGTCTAGTGCGAATTTTAGTTGCCGTTCAAAGGCCTGTCCATGGTGGTTGATCACGTTGGTAGTGGCGCAGATGACAATTACTACCGCTCCGCTGGCTGACAGAAAGTCGACATGCATTTCTGTCATGCCGTAGTCGAAGCGGTATGGAACGTGTCGTACTTGTCGTGGCAGGGCTCGGCCCAGAGGCTCGAAAGGATCTACGTCCTTCGCCAGTGTTGTCGATGGGGGATGAGGTACAAATGGGGTGAAGAGCGTGATGATTTCTGCTTCATTCAGGTGTCGCAGCCGCTCGATAGTTTCCGTGGGACAGCGTACGATCCTGGCGGCGTTGGTAGATGAGATTTGTGTTGTCTTCGATGCGCAAGAGGTGGATGAGGCCATTTTGAGCGGTGTGTTCTGGTTTTCGCCAATGACTGTTCGACTGTCTCCAGGCTGGTTGAAGACAAGAAGACGATACTGAGAGTTGTAGGTGGCCCGGGCGAGACAGAAGACGGTGAGTTATGCAAGCATGCTCTACGACAGCTTAGCCCTGAACTTTTGTCTACTCAGCCTTTAGCTCTCATGGTGAATCAAGTATTGTCCCGAGTGGGAAAAAGCACCGCAATGACGCTATACCCGTTGACGTACCAGTCCGAAGCGAGCAGCCAACATGCGTTGGGTGCTATACTCGATAGCGAAGTAGAACGCTCAGGATGTAAAACCCAGGCGTAAAACAAAGCAGCTATCCAAGGTTGCATGTAGCCATCTCAGAAGCCCTCTGATGAAGTAGCAATGTTGTGTGGTCATCGATCGCCGAGTGGATTGCAACCTTGCTGATTGTGCCTGACGATGCGAACACCCTGTCTAACTAAGGACAAGCTTCTGATGTTAGATATCAGCACTATTGGCAGCAATAATGGGGTGGTACCAGAAAGAAGATGAAGAATGTAGTACAAGACCTCGGCCATGCTGTCTCCGCGTGTAGATAGAGCAGTGCATCCCCAACCATAATAGGTGCGAATCTTGCTGATTGGATTACGTTATCGAGTTCGTAGCCTTGAACGGAACGACAGAAGCGTTGCCGAGGCGTGTTGGTGTATATCAGTGAGGAGCACAACGGGCGTATGATTGCATGGCGACGGTTGCGTCGGGTAGTAGCGGAATCGTGTGTACCGAGAATAGAAGACGCCACATCTGAACGTCGATCCAGGATCCAGCAACAGTAATCTTGTGAGTTTACTGACCTGAAGAGGTTGAAGGGCGATCCTAAAGGCCAATCGGCCGGCCTGATGGAGAATGACAAAGATCCAAGGGAAGCCGTCCCGCTCGACATGGAGCGAGCGCCAACAACCAGGTCGACAACATAGTTCAACATCCGTTGCGTATAGACCACAGGTCAAGGGAAGTGTAGCATGAGGGGGCAGTACGATTCGTGTCAAGGTTGCAGAAGGCGTGCTTAGGTTGATCGTTGACCTGCAAGGCGACCATCCTTTTTTGACCAGTAGGAGCCGCGCGGGCCGCTTTCATTACACCTAATGCTTCTTGTGTAACACAACAGGTCGGTTCTGATGTGACAGCGGGCGACAACTGCGATGCATGCTCCAGTGATGGCTCGGACATGCGGGTGATATCTGCACGATTAATTGAATCAAGCACAAGTAGCGTGAACGAGCTGCGGATAGCTAGACCGGCTTCCGCGCTGTTGTGTGCCCAGACTAGAATACTAGCGATGAACACCAGGTCTGCAATACACCAGCTGGAGGTTTGAGTCAATGCTGATGGAAGAAATGTGGGTGGAAGACGGGTGAGATGCGCGGCGGTCGTTAGTGGGGCTTGCTCGCTTGATCGGAAGTGGGAAGGCGCGATCAGGGTGTCAACAACCATCGCGACAACGCGCCCACGTAATCACCAACGGCGCATACAACAGGCTGACCACTGTCTTAGCATATGCATGTTGCACTGACAATGTAATGCTATCCGTCACCTGTAACTTCACATCGACTTCGCTCCAGGCCCGCTACTGATGGACTCTGCAGAAGAGCAGCCGACGCTGCATGAGACGCTAAACCTACTGCATCAAGGTAAGTGTCGGTATGCGGCTATGGATTCCATTCAGGAACAGTGCTTACACAGGCCTGCAGCATCTAGAACGACAGCAAAGCAACGTACAATCAAGGTATCTAGTATAGTCGATGTCATCTGCCGTTACGCCTCAGAGAATGGTCTTGACCAGGATGCTCTCCGAGACATTGTTCAGCTCGCGTCGGTGAAGACATCACTAGACCAAACAACCATCACGACCTTGATCAAGAACCTGTATCCATCTCAAAAGGTCCCAAGCGATGTTGTCATCACCATCATTGGTGCTCTTGGTCAGGGCAAGGGCAAACCGTCACCAGGTACACAAGACAGCCTTGTAAAGTGGCTCATTATCATCCACGAGATTATCGAAAGCCCGACAGTGCTGTCTCGCTTGTACGGCGTGCTGTTTGGCATGCTCGATATGATCAGCATAAGGTGTGCCGCTCCAAGCAGATACTACACCAATCCGTGCTAATTTAGAAGGACTTCCGTGTGCCATCTACTCTCCCTCATCACTCGCAGAAAGCACGTAAAGCCATTCCGGATACAGCAACTGTACGCATGACACTACTAGCAGGAAGAGAATTTCGACAGCGACGACTAACGCTACTACAGGCTCGAGCTATCTCGCGGCCTCGGTAATGAACCAGCGCTCCAAGGTCTTCTCCGTGTTTATAAGGATTACTATCCAGATATCATTCTCGGTAGCACATCCACGAGCCGAAAGTCGTTCGCTCCGGTGAGTACCCGTCCCTCGTGTCACCATAGATGTTACCTTGGATCCTCCACACCATTCCCCCGCAATGCACCGTCACACTGCTGAACGCGGGCTAACTTGATAGCGACCGGATTCCGAATGGCAAGCCAGAATCCTCGCAATCCAAGAGGCCAGCGTGGCGGAAGATGACTCAAACGCGGATAGGCAGCACGGGTTCAAGGTGCTGCGAAGGAGACTCAAAGGTAGCAAAGAATCGGTGATTCCAGACGTGCATACCTATCATGCGACAGAGGTACGTGAAAACGTGCTCTTTTCACCATGAAAGCATTGACGTTGTATGACAGAACTCGGTAACCCTCGAGGGTATTGATGGTGTGGACGACTTTGTCGAAAAGCTCGACAGGATAGAGCCACCGGGTCAGCTGGTAGCGGTCCTCACGGACCCATTATTACAGAAATACATCGCCCTCAAGCCATCGCCGATCAACACCGCTCGACTGAGAACGTGGCTCGCAGCATGTCTAGAAGAACAATTCGAGGAATACCGACAAGGCACTGGGAACGCTCAACACCTATCTGAGATCCTCGATGGGCTACTGAGGTACGCTCGATTCACGAAGAAACTACATCGTCCAGCACGAGCCTTTCTCCTCAAATATCTGCCGGTATGGAACGGACAGCAAGACCGTGCTACTGTGTTGGGACTTGTCTCCTACCTCCAGGTTTATGACTTCAATGCGGACTATAGATCCTATTTCAAGCATATTGAATCTGCCCTAGCAACCCAGGGAATCTCAGCATACGCGACGCTAGTCGACTTCTACACAGCCCTACTGGTAAATCAGATCAACATGACTTCCACGGGTTCCGAAGACATACGAGAAGCGGGCCAGGAAGTATTGGAAGACATGATGGAGCATGTGAGGGACTTGTTCACCTCGGCTCTTCTATCCGTCCCACCAGGTTCTGGCATCGACCTCACATCATCCATCCTCTCCTTCTACGAACACCTCAGCGCCTCCTCGAACCCACACGTCATCCCGATCCATTTACCGCCTATGCATCTTGTCTACCTGCTCGCCCAAGACACGTCCGCGACGACTCTTTCCCGCATATGCGGCATCATCGGCACGTACAAGTCAGCCTTTGACGCGCATCCCAAGCCAGTCAAGGTATATTACTCACCAGAAGTTACCGATACGTTCAACCAGTGTCTGCGCGACTTGTACAACCTCGTATGGGTATCTCGCGGCCTTGTTGCGCAAAAAGACAAGTCAAAGGGCTTGTACTGCCATGACGGACTTCGCTCCACACTCGACAACTACCTAAAAACTGTGGACCGAAACTATGCTATTGCAGGTGCGTTTACCTTGTCATTCAATCCGTGCTTGACGTCGCTCTCTGCTGCGGCGTGGCGTGCGATGGAGAGGCGGGAAATTGGCAAGGTGGGCGAGGAAATGATCAACAAGTATCACACTGGACCTGTTGGTGAGAAGAGCCTGGCATTGCTTAAGAAGGAGGGTGGTGTGGGCGTGGACTGGGAGGGTGCAAATGGGTACAAGGTCTTTGTGTTGCAGTGGTTGAATGAGAGAGGGTTGGGTGGGATCAAGAGTTTGATGTTTGCTACTGTTACCAACTTGAAGAATACGGCTTCTGAGTAGCCGTCGAAAATCTATCGAACAGTTGCATAATGCAGTCTTGTTAAGTTTGCTCTTGGATCTGCGGAATAAACAGTATGGTCTCGGAGAGGGATAGATCCAAAGTTACTACCGCTATGATTTTGAGGAAGGTGACTTGCACGATCGCGAACTCAAGATGTATCCGCCGCTCCTTGTCCAGATCGACAATCGGCTTAGGCGACTGTGCCGCGCAGTTGTTAGGGCTGATAGGTATTTTTGGCCTGGGCTGTTGGATCCAGCTGGTCATCTATTGGTAAAGTCGATCTCTATTCGTGTGAGCAATGTAGGGGAGATACTGAAGGTGTTGCAGCAGAGCCGTAATGCTTGGATGGAGACAAAGGGTAATGTTAGTGTCGAGGACGGACTGAGGCTCAGCTGTGTTTCGGGCCGTAAGGAAGAGGGTCGCGCCAGTGGCTGCTAGAGCATGAGTGGTTTCGATACGCATGCCGTTCTCATCAGGGGGCTTTACTGAAAACAACATGTTGCTTAACGTGATGTAAAGCAGCATCCTTTCTTAGCAGGGTGCTTTACTAACATAACATGTTTACCTAACGTTATGTAGAGCGGCATCCGTTGAAGATCTACAACTAGCGTAGCTGTCGTTTTCTCCTATTCTAGCCTAGTGCGTCTCAGCTCCAGGGCGTCCCTCGTTACACTTAGAGGTGGCTCGACAACAAGCCGCTGAGGAGCGTCACGAAGCGAAGAAAGCGCACAGAGCTGGCTGCGCAACGAGTGCTCAAGAAGCAGCAACGCGACGCTGCGACTGCACCGAGAAGTTACGATGCATACGATAAAAGTAAGCGGGAAGCCTTCCTTACACAAGACTAGTTGAAATCCTAGAAAGTGTCGTTGTGTTGTTGTTACAACAAGTGGTGTCGACACTGGTCTTCTGGCTGCGTCTCCCCTACCTAAAGTTTCCAAAAGCGGCTGTACAAGCAAGATACCAGCGAGGTTGAGATAGTAAAAAAGCTGCACAAGTTTCTATATAGTGATATACTAGAGATTCTCGCGATAATAGCTTTTGCGCAGTGCTATACAGTATCATCTTTCTAGTTGTCCCACATCGGTGGGATGGCTTACATGGCGTACGGGCACTGTAGCGCCAAGTTCATTCCAGGGCGATTGGGACCCCGAATCGCGCCTCATACTGAACAAGGCGGTCATAAGGGCTGGGAGGGGTGCGATTTTGGCTTGAGACTCATTTGCGCGCGCTCTATCTGAACTGACGCAGTCAGCTCTGGAATAATATGGTCGACCGTGTTCGAGAGAAGGCTACAATTGAGCGTATGGCGGTACGTGATGAATGCAGTGTCGAGCAGTTCAAGGCCTCTATCTCGTCGAAAGTGTTGTTCAAGATACGAACACACACTCGCCGGAAATATAACTCAGGGAAGATGCAGAGTGTTATGAAAAAGACGAAGTGTTTTGAAAATCAGTGAGAACTAATGGTCATAAGTCCAGACTCGTGTAGTTGAGTGAAGATCAACGGAAGATTCGTGAAGTATCAACTGGGTGTGAAGGCGAGGTTGAAATAGCCACCTCAAGAATCTGGGGATCCGTTTCAGCTTGGAGAAAGACGGGTGGGGCCAGAGACCCACTTTGCGCAGTTAGCCGTTAGCTTCGGTGCATTACCTGTCCGATTATTCATCGTCCAGGGATCTTATAGATGAATGCACAGACCTGAATAGACTAGACACGCAAATCAGACGATCTGTATAGGGTAACTACTGTTGAACAAACCTCAATCTATGTGCCAAAATGATTCATTCGTACCATATGAGGCCCCGTAAGAGACGATCTCGGACACTTAGCATTGCGGGACGCACCGTACGACTGCTTGGGTCCTAGGATACTTTTAACGCTCCGGACGAATCGCTAGAGGTACGTATGTGTGACAATCATATGATTATACTCCTTGAAAGTACATGTGGACACTAGAGCAGCTGTTGTGGGGTCTGCTCTGCACCCAAACCTAAGTACACGATAAGGAAACGCATAATGGCATACTTGAATGTTTGCTTTTGATGTAATGAATTGAGGAAAAGGTTTTTTGAGACATCGACTACTATATCTCGCTGGAATACTGCCATTCTGTTCTGTGTAGTTGTCATTCACAGCATGTGGTACTGAGCCTTGGCTGCGTCTGTGTTTCTGATATACCCTGTCAAGACTTGCCTAGGGAACCCATAATCTTCCGGGTACATTCGAAAATAGCAAAAGGTTTTACACTTAGCAATTTACGCTACAGGGTCGACTGCATGGTGACGCAAAAGATTTCGTCTTGTATCACCGAGCCAAATCCCCGCGGGTTCTTGACTATAAGAAGCGCCAGACTTTTGCTATCTAGGGAGCACTCTCATCAACGTTTTGATCAACACCTCTATTCGCAGATATGACGAACCCCAAGCCCTCATTTGTTCCTATGTTGGAATCGCCATCCTTGGATATGACCACGATGTCGATGCCAATCATTACTACAGTATCACTTGGTGTTGTAGCTCTGATTTCGCTCGTCATTATCGCCTCCAACAAATCGAAAATCCCTCTCGCGAATCCCCCAGACCGCTTCAAGACAGCGTTTTCTCGTCAACTTGAATTCATAACACACGGGCTCGAGGTCGTGGAAAATGCCAGAAAGCGATACGGCAAGCAGCCTTACAGACTAATCACCAATGTTGGAGAGATGCTTGTCCTCCCGCCTTCGTACGCTCAAATGATCCGTAATGAGAAAGCTTTACACTTCGGCACAACTTTTGCACAAGTAAGGTACACAGACCTATTTGGCGGATAGTTTTATACTTACTCATGCTGTAGGATTTCCACGGCTATCTGACTGGCTTTGAACCTTTTGCTACCCTTGGCGATAAGAGGGATCTTGTACAGAAAGTAATCAAGAAACAACTCACTAAACAATTGAGTTCGTGGAGACTATATCAAGTAAAGCGCAGCACTAACTGTGCCGCAGATTTTACATCGAAGCCACTCTCTGATGAAACCTCTTTCGCCCTCAATGTCGTCTTTGGCGATTCTTCAGGTACGAGTAAAATCACCTACGCTATACACAGCTAACGATCTGCTAGAGTGGAAAGAGACTAATATCACCAACGACATACTCAATGTTGTGTCTCGCCTGTCATCAAAGATATTCCTTGGAGACAAACTTTGCCGTGATGAAAACTGGATCAGATTATCTAAAGAATACGTCGTCACTGCTGTCGAATCCACGAAAAGTTTTCTTTCATGGCCTAAGTACTTGCACTTCATGATCCCATGGATTTCAAAAGATGCCAAGCTAGTCATTCGGCAGCTCGATGGCATCCGCGCTATCCTTAAACCGATTTTGGAGGAGAGGAAGCTGATGAAGGCTGAAGCCAGGAAGATGGGTACGCCAGTTCCGGTCTTCGAAGACACACTGGAGTGGCTTCAGCAAGAGAGCCAGGGAGCTGCATATGACCCTGCTGCATATCAAATGGTTCTTACAGTCGCCGCCATCCACACGACTTCTGACTTGCTTTGTCAGGTTCTTATGCGTCTTGGAAACGAGCCGCATCTTATCGATGACTTGAGGGCGGAGATTGTATCAGTTCTCGGCGCTGAGGGGTTTTCCAAAGCTTCGATCGCTAATTTGAAGCTCATGGATAGTGCGCTCAAGGAAACACAGCGAATGAAGCCGTTACAGATGCGTAAGTGATGTTCAACCTTCAATCTTGTTGGAACCTTAGCATCTGGTTTACTGACTGTTGCAAACTAGTCGCCATGAAAAGAATTGCAGAGAAGAAGGTTGTTCTCTCCAACGGTCTTACTATCAACAAGGGCGATCGTCTTGCTGTGGATGCACACGCAATGCTTGATCCAGAGGTCTACCCAAATCCAGAAAAGTTCGATATTTATCGATACCTTCGGATGCGCGAAGACACTAGTAATTCTACAAAGGCGCTCCTTGTTACTACTAGCCCCGAAAACCTCACCTTTGGCCACGGAATTCACGCATGCCCTGGACGTTTCTTTGCTGCTCTGGAGGTAAAGATTGCGCTTTGCCACATTCTAACAAAGTACGACTGGGAGCTTCTACTGGGATCAAACTTGGAGCCGTTTGTCCAGACTGGGGACCAGACGTGCCTTGATCCTAGGAATATGGTGCGCTTTAGGCGTCGCAAAGAGGATATTGACTTTGATTCTCTATCCTACAAATAAGCGTTATATACTTGCAAGCATTAGGTATCGCTTTTTAGGGTCTGGGTACCGTTGGAAACATACAGTGTTCCGAAAACTTACCTTTATAGAAATGTTATACTTGGTTGTTCAATCGCATTGTGCTGTCCTGCATTGACATCACCACTCCTTCACTGTGATGCAGGTTGTTAAGATAGTCTCTCTGTAAAGACTGCGCTATCCCGATGACTTGCCTGTCGATTAAAAAGAAAACCTAGACCATCTCCAAGACATGTTGGTTTTTAAAGACTACCCGCACCGCAGAGACCAAGGCACACATGATGGAGCAGTCGCGACGGGAGCGCGGGAGTACGGGAAGGCGCGACGCTCAGTCCACAGAACCACGTGAGATGGACCAGGTAACGTGATCCGGCAGCTTCCGGTGTCCAGGCCTACAATGACATTATCGACATTCTGATCTCACGAGTACGTATTCAAGTCTTGGTATCTGCCAGCGGGCACGTATATTGCGTCATTTTAGCAGCCGGCTCTCCAATGCCCTTGCTTATATCGTATACGCTGAGATTGTTGGCCAATTCGACACGTCTTACCACGCACTGCGTATGTGCCTGCAGCCTGCTTCTGCTGACAGGTCGCCTCGCCGTCTATTTTCGGCGGTATTCAAATGCAATACCCATGCGGGGCGAACCTGGCGCCTGCATGACATCATCTCACAACGTGTGGTAATCAAAGGACGCCAACAAACTGCTTTTGCGAAAACCATGTCCACCATGAAACAAGATCCTGCAGCACCCCCATTGTTGACAACTCAAACAGGAATGGCATGTCTAGCGGGTCAGTGATGCAGGGACTGGTGCCCTGCTGTGTAAGTGTGGAACTTGCGAAGATGGGGCAGCAAGTCATCTGGTCGCATTGTCCTATCGGTTCGCAGTCGGCTGACCAGATTTGGGAGGGCAGCGCTGGGATGCGCAGATCTACCCGCACGGCGCAGAAGCGCACATGGCCAGACCTTCTAGACTGATGAGACGTATGTGATGGTGTTCGATCATGGCGTGGTTTCGCATCGCCATCGATACGCTTTCATTCGCACGGGCAAAGTATATCGAGTCAGTTGTCGATTAGCATTGTATTTGCTTTGGCCGCGGAACCTACTCGGCATCGGTCTGGGCCGTGCAGTTGTCCGGCGGAACTAAACAGATGAGTGAGGGGTATGGCGGAAGCGATGTTCCTTGAATGTCGATATGGAGCGAGGGATGTCAAGGCAAAAGACGGTATCAGGCGGCTGAGGTCAGATGGCAATTTGGGCGGTAACAGCGCTGGGCGGGGAGAATACAAAGAGAGGTTGAGGGGTATGCTTGAACCCCCTCCCCCACAGACACGATAACGACGATAAGACACCCTGGAATATTCTAAAGGATGACCTTGGACGAACCGGGAGATGGTGTGTGGACTGATTGCCCCGTGAGCTGCTGTGTGCGGAGTTGTGTGGGAGGTGTTCAGATGATTGAGGCGTCATGGTGTAGATGACCTACTAGCTATTATGTCCTGCTGAGCTCGGGGACTTTCACATGCAAAAAGGAGCGACATGAGCAATCGATAACACATGGGCGGGAACGTACCGCAGTTGGTGCTAACGATGCAGACATCGCCTGTCTACCCGCTGCGAGACATTGGCGTGCCCTGAGTGAACCTTCTAGTCGGCGCTGGTGCAATTGTGCAGCGCCTGCGCCAGTGGCGTTGGCACTACAGCCGCTTGAGAGAGAGGCCATGTCACAAGACCATGAACGGGCACCGCTATTCCACAGAACTCGGTGAGCAAGTCTTCGGTAACCGCCGCTGACGGAGAAGGGGGGCCAGATCCATGCAGAGACAGACCCAATCAGTGCGCCACTCGCCTTGAAAGGCAGTTGCAGTGAATTGGGTTTCTCTGGCAGGTCAAGCGCAGGGTCAGCTAGGATGTGGAGCATGCGGGATAGTCATGTTTGCATTATTGACGGCGGTCAGACTGCGCATAGCGTACGAGGCGAAGATGGAAGATGACGGAAGCGGTGACTGTTCGACCGGAAGCGATGTGTAGAGTGGTATGGGATTGGGCGCTGCTGTGACACGCTGGCTGGGAATTGGGCGCCCAATGGTAGGGCAACGGTGGGCAGTGGTATGCAATTCGGTACCAGACAGATGCAATGGCAAGAGGCCAGTCACAAAGCTCATCAATGGCAGCAGGAAACGTGTATAGTCTACTCATGACGAGACAATGCAAATGTCGGGGATGCATTGAGTCGGCCCCGACTCGTGCGGGCTAGCCGGGTTTGCATAGACGAAGCGACAAGTAATTGCTCAGCAACTGTGCAGCTACAGTGACTCAACTCTGACTGCGACGAGCCCATTGCTCGCTCCATGTCCGCACAAGCTCCGCCTCAGGCGTCGCCCTGCAATTGGCCGCTCTAATTGGAGCCCCCTTCGTCTTCCTTCTATTCACTTCTTGGCCGCCCGCATTCGTCAGCTGCCGGCCGCGCGCAACGGGCGCTCCTCATATGGATGATGCCTGGCCTGGGGGAGGAGGAGAGCCTGGCACGCGCCAACCGCACACCCTCTTTGTCTGGTTCGCTAGCACATGGGCCGCAGTGTCTCAAAGGCAGAGTCACACTGGCCTTGTTCGCAATCCTGTAGCCTGCTGAAACCCCGACGACCTTGGTTGGTGCTTCTTATAACGAGCCCGCCCACCCCGTCTGTTTCGGGACGACTAACCTCCCATCCAATTCAACTCGTCCTATCTCCGCACTGCCAGTTCGCAGCTAGGGTTACTAATTCATCACTGAACAAGCTGGTCTAAGCAGTCGGTCGGACCATTCTGCCGGGTTCCACGGTCACGTTTGCGCCTGCTCGCACCTGACGATATAACTGTGGCGAAGCCGTTTACTCAACCAAGGCTGCCTGCCACAGCTTCCACTCACATACCTCGTACCAATTGAAGCATCCCCCCCCTCAACCATTGTTCGCATTACCAACGCAGCATTTTCTTGCGGCTGCCTGGACGCAACCAAGTAGTCAAATACCGCTACCGCCCCCGACGTTGCGCTCTTACCAAGGACAAACTTCCCACACACCCACGCAATGGCAAACTCGCCCTACAAGACGCCCCCGAGCAATCGACTCACCGTTTCCTCGCTCCTCTCGCCCCCTGAGATGAAGCGATCAGAGTCGTTTGGCACATCAATTCCGCCTGCATTTATTCAATCGCCCTTTTCCTCGTTCAATTCAGGAGCTTCCAAGTCCGCCAACAGCCCCGACATGACCCTCCAGGCAGCAGCCGCGCACCGCATCGCCTACGCCTCTCCGCCAATCTCGCCATACGACACACAGGCACAAAAGGAGAACATGGAGAGCGCCGACGAACAATGCACGCGGGACCCCCAGCTGTTCGCTCCGGTCGATGCAGCGGCTCCCATTGCTGATATGCCGCTGTTCCCCGAGGAGTCATCCGAGTCAGCCTCGCAAGAGGCCATCACCGCACACATGAACTCCAAGGATTACGCACAGCTAGAGAGCAAGCCGAGTCGCGCAGACTACGAATTGACCGCCACATTCGTCTCCAATGTCTTCGCCTTGGCCAAGAAGGATCCGAAAGCGTGGTGGGCTCAGGAGCGACGCTTCGACAGCTACTACGGCAAGCCATCCGGCGTGCAAAAACGCTCACCCTTGAAGAAGCTTGCACCTGCCCCATCGTCGCGGCCTCGCCAGCCCAAGGTTGCTGTTCCCCGGCTGCCTCCTCGCACTCCTCGCGCCGCACCCAAGGCCAAGCGCACGCCTCTCACACAAATCCACGACTCTTTCGACACGACCATGACCACCAACACCACCTCACCAAAGTCAGCCTCTCCTAAGCCTTCCCGACCAGCCACCAATCGCGACGACTCCGACTACAACGCGATTCCAGATTATTCGCCACCACTTGATACGCTGCCCAAGGGCAACACCAAGATCCTCAAGGCTGAGTGGAAAGGGCAAGCACTGTCACTGGCCGACGATCCCGATCGTGATCTTCTGCACGAGGCTGAGTTGAACCTCGCTGGCACGCTCCGCCTCAACTGCGCCACGTATCTTACGAGCAAGCGACGCATCTTCCAGGCTCGCATCGAGGCACTCAAGATTGGCAAGGAGTTCCGCAAGACGGATGCGCAGCAGGCGTGCAAGATTGACGTCAACAAAGCTAGTAAGTTGTGGCAGTCGTATGATCGTGTGGGCTGGTTCAATCCGGAGTACTTTCGCCAGTATCTCTGAACGATTCGCATCGCAAACATGGGATAAAGCATACGGCACCCCTTTTCTTTATTCTTTTTTTTTTAACGTTTTCCTTTGGTTACGATGCATCAATTTGTTCATCGCATCTCGCGGCTCAATGTTCGAGTCCGCTTTTCTTGGATAAGACTGATATGAACAACACGGAGGGGACTCAGGGTTGTCTTCCTCTGGCATGATTTACGATGGGCGTTATGGATATCACTGTTGGCATGGATAGGTGTTTGGGACTGGGCACTGCTCTCCCACGGCGTTTTTGGGCTTCTCTACTATTACTTTGGTTTTATTCCACGGCATGCGATACCCCTCAGCTCACACCCGTTGTCGCCGCAAATGCAGGCTTTGTTATGAATTGGTAGCGATAGATCAGAATACAATCATGTTAGCATCATGAAGATGAACATGCGCCGTGCATTGAAAGTGATTACTGCAATCTCTGCGTGGAAAAGCCAATTGGGCAGAGTAGTGCGCATTTGCTCTAGGTGTGTAATGACGACGAGTCCGTGATATGTCCGTGAGAGCGGTTCAAGTTCAGGGTCCCCGGAAGCGGGGACGTGTAAGCTCCGCAGGCGTGCAGGCGTGGCGCGGCCGCTCGCTCTGTCACTAATTTGGGACAACGGCTTGGCCGACCTCAAACCCGCGCGTTCTCACCAACTCTCTCCGGTGACGACCGTACAATCACTCCCTCCACCAGTCGACCGCCGAGTCGCGCGGATACACCACCATGTCGCGAACAGACCAGGTCGAGCATACCGACTCGATAAGCAGTCAGGACCCTAACCGCGAAGAGCCGAAGAAGACGAAGAGCAGGAGGCCGCCGAGTAAGAACAGTCCTGTGCGCGCACACATGTGCGCATAGTATGCCGGAGGAGGATGTGCTGACGAGGGCAATAGATACTGCGTTCAGGCAGCAGCGTTTGAAAGCATGGCAGTAGGTGCAAGGCACGGAGACGCATTACCGTCACGACTGACCGCGCAACAGGCCCATCTTAACGCCGAAGACCGTCCTTCCTCTCTTCTTCATCGTCGGAGTAATCTTTGCGCCCATCGGTGGGCTGCTGTTGTATGCTAGTGCGCAGGTACGAAGAGCCAAACGGTATGCGTGAACACAAGGGCGTCGATGCTGACAACCTTTCCCCCCTCCAGGTCCAGGAGATCTCAATCGACTACACAAACTGCAACACCACCGCGCCCCGCCAAGACTCGACCAACTTCGACCCCACGGCCGAAAACCAGCTCGAATCCATTCCGTCCGGCCGAGTCTCCTCGACGTTCAAATCGAATGCCGACCCAGCGGCCATGTGGGGATGGGGACGCGAGAACTACACGTTTGAGTCTGGCGTCTCGCTCGAAACAAACGTGTGCATCCTGAGCTTCACTATCCCGGAAGCCATCAAGCCGCCCATTCTCTTCTACTACCGCCTCACAAACTTTTACCAGAACCATCGCCGATACGTCAAAAGTGTTGATATCGACCAGCTTAAAGGCGACGTCCGTAGCGCGAGCGATCTCAGCTCAGGCGACTGCTCCCCACTCGATAACGACCCGGAAACAGGCTTGCCATACTATCCTTGCGGCCTCATTGCAAACTCCATGTTCAACGACACTTTTTCCAACCTGACGCTCGCCAATCCCGCGGGTGGATCTGATTCTGCTAGTGGTCAGAACTACACCATGACGGTTGAAGGGACGAGTTGGTCGCACGAAGGGGATTTGTATGGCAAGACGAAATATAAGCCCGAGGATGTGGTGCCGCCGCCGAATTGGCAAGCACAGTATCCGAATGGGAGGTATAATGGGTCCTTGCCGGATTTGCACACGTGGGAGCAGTTTCAGGTTTGGATGCGGACGGCGGGGTTGCCGACGTTTAGTAAGTTGTATCAGAGGAATGATCATGATGAGTTGAGTGCGGGGACGTATCGGTTGAAGATTTATGATCGTAAGTTTTTGGATCTTACTTATTCCTCTCTTTTTTCCTTCCTTCCTTCCTTCCTTCCTTTCTTCCTTCCTTTGTTTCTTTCAAAGACAAGACACTAATGTTATGTGTGTATAGGCTTCCCCGTCGACAAGTACAGCGGTACCAAATCTATCCTCATCTCTACGCGCACCGTCATGGGCGGCAAGAACCCGTTCCTCGGTATCGCATACCTTGTCGTGGGCGGTATTTGCATCTTATTGGGAGCGGTATTCCTGGCTACGCATCTCATTAAGCCGAGGAAACTTGGTGATCACACGTACCTTACCTGGAACAACGATCAGCCTAGCACTGCTACTACGACGGGTAGGCAGGGTGGTGCGTAGACGGCATGCTGATGCTGGATGCTTCACGCTGTGGATCATTGCAGGATCTTAGTGTTCTTTTTTTATACATTGGTGATTCAATTGGTATCGTATTGTACGCATATCATAAGCTTTCTGGGGCGGGTTTGGAGTTGGGGTGTTTTATGAGCGCGAGGACTAGAGTATAGTCTGTTCTCCATGGATATTATGCAATTCTATCATATCATATTAGATGCCTATAAGAAGTTCCTAATGTGAGTTTTTCAATAACGCAGAGCATGCGGCAATTTTGCCTCCACCGACGTCAAAGTGGGAAACACAACACTCTGAGTCTCTACTGAGAAGCTACTCTTATCGTGACCCATTTGCATTATCCTTTATACGTTGCTTAGGATTGGGGTAGTCGTGATCGGATCGTGGAAGGCTGAGCATATACGGTGATCGCACAAGGCCCCTTTAAGATGTTTTGCTGACCATATTGGACAGCCTACTCGTGCTAAAAGTGCATTGCTTGAGGTGTTCTAACTTGGCGAAGAAACTTTGTAAAGTTGCCAATGCGCTTCGAGATGTTATTGCAGGAAAACTGCATGATGTGCACCAGCACGAATCAGGACGCTCTGCACAATGATGCGTTGTCAGCTCTGGCCGCATAGCCTCAAGTTGTGGCACATGCAGGCTGCGCCTTGTGCCTTAGGCGCGGAAGATGCAGCCTGCCTTAACAATCACTTCTCAACAGCCAGTCTTCCCCAACTCTGTCTCGTAGCATCTACAGACCGAAATTCCTTTCTTGAAACTTATCAGGCTAGTTTCAACACTCATCCTAAGCCCAATAGCCGAGATAACCACGCTCTACAGAAGCGACTCACCATGCGCAACTGATCTCAAAGAACCTGCTTCGAAGCTCCAAATATTCTCGCTATCGTACGATCAAACGAACATACACACGTATCAATGCGGCTCCTTCACATCACAAGCGATGGAAGGCTCGATTTCACGAAGGACTTCATCCGTATCAAGGATGCTCCGCCATATGCAATTTTATCGCATACTTGGGGGGAGGAAGAAGTGCTCTTCGAAGATCTGAAGAATCTTGATGATTTCAAAAACATACCTTTACAGGAAAAAGAGGGATGGAAAAAGATACACTTTTGCGTACAGCAGGCAAAGCGTGACAAATTGGAATATTTCTGGATAGATACCTGTTGCATCGACAAGGCAAACTTTACGGAACTCTCGGAAGCGATCAACTCAATGTTTCGATGGTATCAAAATGCAGAAAGATGCTATGTCTTTCTTGCAGACGTCAAGGCAAACTCTGTCGACATAGATAGAGGTTCATCTCTAAGATGCAAGGCAGCTTTTACAGCCAGTAGGTGGTTCAAAAGAGGTTGGACGCTTCAAGAGCTTCTAGCCCCACATTCCGTTGAATTCTTCTCCAGAGACGAAGTACGTCTGGGTGACAAAGAGTCTCTTAAGCAGATAATACACGAGACTACAAGAATACCTATCAAGGCTCTGTCAGGGAGCGATCTATCCGACTTCCACTTTACTCAGCGGATCTCTTGGATGGAACATCGCAAGACGACAAAGGAAGAAGACGGAGCCTACTGCCTGTTAGGCATTCTTGGATGCAATCTCCCACTGATCTATGGCGAAGGTGAAAAAGGGGCACAGAAGCGGCTGTTGAAAGAGGCGAGCGAAGCTTTCGAGGACGGCAAGAGCGCCTCCGCAATCGAACTCAAGAAGCTCACCAGGATATGTAGCTGGCTTTTGGCACCTGATCCGTCCGAAAACTACCACAAAGCGCTCAAGCTGCGACAGGCTGACACTGGGCTTTGGCTGCTAGAAAGCGCGAAGTTGAAAATTTGGAAGGAGAGCGCAGCGTCATGGCTATGGCTACATGGTATTCCAGGATGCGGAAAAACCATCCTAAGCTCTACGATCATCGAGCACCTGCTACAGTACTGCCAAGATAAGTCTCATTGCGTGACAACGTACTTTTACTTTGACTTCAACGATGCGGAGAAGCGAGATCCGGTACTCATGCTCCGCTCATTGTTACGCCAGCTCCTTCAGCGTTTGAACAGCTTACCGAAAAGCGTTGACGCGTTGTATACGTTCTGTGGAGATGGACAGCAACCACCAACACTGCATGCACTTTTGGACGTAGCGCGGAAGGTGATACGACAATTCACGCATGTTTATATCGTCCTGGATGCGCTCGACGAGTGTGCACAACGCCCAGAATTGATGGACATACTTGAAACAGTGGCTCGGTGGGAGCTTGGAAATGTGCATGTGCTATTGGCGAGTCGAAAAGAGCGGGATATCGAGATGCACTTGGAGAACTACGTCGAAGAGAATGACACCATATGCCTCCAAAGGGATATAGTAGACAGAGACATATTACGATACGTCAAGCAAAGGCTGCATGACGATAGAAGCCTAGCAAAATGGGGCAAGGATGCCAATATCAACCAAGAGATCGAAGCAGCACTAATGAGTGGAGCTCATGGAATGTATGTCTATGCGCCCAGTCTTCTTGAATCTACAACTGACAGGAGTGTAGGTTTCGATGGGCCGTATGTCAGCTTGACACGTTGGTAAAATGCCGCAATCTAGCGATGCTGCGCAAGTCACTCGCCACCCTACCACAAACACTGGACCAGACATACGACCGTATTCTTACCGCAATAAGAGAAGACGACTGCGTCTATGCGATACGTATCCTACAGTGGTTAACCTTCTCTGCGAGACCGCTTTTTATCGAAGAAGTTGCCGAAGTCGTCGCTATCGATATTGCACGCGAACCAGCGTTCGACCGTGACGAAGTCCTGATAGACCCACAAGACGCACTTGACATCTGTTCTAGTCTGGTAAAGGTCGTAAATACATCTGGTCGACGGATTATCACTCTCGCGCACTACTCAGTTCAAGAATACCTTGTGTCAGACAGAATCAAGCAAGGGCCGGCGAAACAGTACAGCATGAACAGAGTTGAATGCTCAAGAGCAATAACGAAAGGTTGTTTAGCATACTTGAATCATTTTCGGCAAGCGATCTCTAAAGAGCTTCTGGAGGTTTCTGCGCTCGCGGAGTACTCCGCGGAGTTTTGGGATGTCCACTTACAAGAGACAGGAGACGGAATGGAAGAGATGAGTCAGCTGGCAGTAAGCTTATTGTTGGCGGACACTCCTGCATATCTCACCTGGATACGATTATACGATCACGACGATACTGCACGAGGTGTGAACCTTAGCCAAGTGGAGGGAAGCACAGCTGCACCCCTTTATTACGCAGCACTAAGAGGCTCGAGTACAATTACAAAAATCCTGCTAGATCATGGCGCCGATGTCAACGCCCGTGGAGGGTACTTAGGTACTGCACTACAAGCAGCTTTGGTTAATGGCCACGAGGCCGTAGTGAAGCTCCTGATTGATGCAGGCGCCCATATCGTCGTCCCCGGTGGACGCACCGGCAGACAATGGCGTCGTTCCCAACGACACAGCAGGGCCGGTGGTAACTATCACGACTCCCCTGGTCAGCCGACAGTCCTCCGTTGGATGCGATGACGTGTGCATGTGTCTCCAGTGTCCTCCTGCATATCAGAAACCTACTCGGAGTCTGGCCAGTACCACGAAGTCCTTCCGGACGCGGTTCGTCTTTGAATGCATGTGTGCCGCCGACAGCGTAGCGTCCGATGATGATCAGAACCTTCGTTGGCAGCTTCAACAGCGATGCTCCATTTGGTGTACTCTCTCCTACCCCAGCCTACTACAGTGATGTAGTCTAAGAGTTATAGTATAGACATAAAGAGTCCAAAATCATACAACGCTTTTGATCTCTACAGAGTCTTCATTCAGAAATTGATGTAGGCCTTGCGGTAGGGCACAGTTCTTAGAGTATATTCTACTTTTCCCTACTACAATAATGTATGTTAAGATTTATAGTATAGATTTAAATAATTTAGAAGCTTACAATGCTTTGAATCTATATAAGGTTTTGTATTAGAAGTCAATGTACGCTTCAAGGTAAGGCACAGTGTCTGTGTACCTGTTTCTGTCACCACACTATCGTTTCTCGCCAGCTAGCGTTCTAATTGCCGACAAGAGCGCCTTAGGTTTGTACTGACTCAACCTCCGGTATTGACTCAGCCATGGCATATATACTAAACCGGTACGCTTACTTGGCAACGACGACAACATCCTATGCCCCGTGATGCTCATCCTTATCAATGCTCTCCGCCATAGCAACGTCAAAGGCGGCAACACAATCGCAGATTTCCTCGCCCATGCTGCCACTCATCCACTGCAGCGAATCGAATGGGTCAATCCAGTCCTGCCCGTGATATCCCACGTCACCGTTGCTCATACCGTGTCCAGGGACAAGCCGATGAAAACGTCTTCTGCGAGTATGATCTTCAAACTAACAACGACCATAGTCGATTCTAACGTGTTCATTCGATCGCATGATCTATGTTATGGTACTACTGAAGATCTCCTTAACATCGTACGCGATCAACATATGAGACTATCAGATATTAGTGAAGAACTTAACCACAATGGCGCATCCGCAAATGGAAAGCTCACAAAGCGGTATACGGAAAACCACTCGACACAAGATACGTGGCAAGAGCGCGTCAATTTGCACGAGAGTCTGGAAGCTTACAATACTTTCAGTATATATAAGGTCTCGTCTTGAAAATTCATGTAGGCTTCAAGGTGAGTCATAATGTCTCTGAACTTGTGTTATCTTCCTCTTGTATGCGGTGCCAGAAATAGTCCCACACCTGTCTGGATGTGTTGAAACGGCAGCTAGCGTCGGCCACATCGGTGGTACTAAGGGACGACCCCAATGTTGAATAGGTCATGGTCAGTTCGGCGGGAAGAGCTAGACTGTTAGCTATGCGAGACAGGAGCGCTCTAGTGGGATCACTCTACCGGGGTGCAGAAGTATTTGATAAGACGAGACCGCTTGAACTTGCAGCAATTATCATTCTGTCGGATGAGGGTTTCAATGTATGTATTAGGTCTAATGAGCTGACTAAGATGGGAAACACCCGCTATATACCTCGGCGTTTGGCTTACGATACCTGCAACTGACAATATCCCTCCCTTGTCACCACTCTACCGAAAGGTCCGGTGCTCTGATCTAGTCGTGATCAGACCAAGAGCTTCTAGCACTGGTTCGTACTGCTCGAATGACTTGCGCTTGATGGAAGTGAGCCGGTAGACATGGCCTCGCTTGTGGAGTTAGATGAACATCTCTTGCAACGGGTGATTGCTCGGGATGGTGTTTGTCGGGTTCTTAAACTTATCGAGTGGTCCAAAGCACTGTATGGACACCTTTGCGCGAGTTGTAGCAACGACGGTACGGGGTAATTTCCAGAGATGACCAAGAGCACCGGCCATATATACGCCGGCATGAGCCATCCTCGACAGTGATATGACGCCAGCGAAGTCATGTCGACACTGACCGAGTTCCTGTCCTTGCCCATGAACGAGTCGATAGTCACGATATCGATGTCGGCAAGGCGTTGGGCCAACACTGGCTGTCGTCGTGGCGGGGCTTGTGCAACAGCGCCCTCGCGCTCCCGCCGGAGTACCTCAACCTGCGCGGTGTACGGTGTGATAATGATGGATGCTTGCCTTCAATGTGGGCCATGCGGTCGACAGCATCCTTCAGCACTGCGCAAGCAGTCCCTAGTGAGTATGACGAGTCAGTCACGCCTTAAACTGTAGTGGCATCCAGTCTCAAACACATATCGGGCGGATGCAGTAAACTTGGGAAGTTCAGATGTCGGCTTGATGCCGGAGTCGCACATCTGCGGGTTGTTCAGGTTCTTGTAGATGACCGACATGGGATCATACTCCGTGAGCTCTTTCCATGCTTCAACAATAGATTCGACTTCTGAGTCTACGCCGGAGCTACGAATGAGCATGAAAATGTATGGTGAGTTCTGCATAGCGATGCGCAAGTCATCGCACAACTCGGGCATCTGCGTACGATGGGTGAGAACATTGCTCGTGCATGGAAGCTCGTTGTGTCGGAAGCAGATGAGGAAGAGCTTGGCTCCAGACCTGAGGCTACCATACAGATTCTTGAAATAATCCTGTTCTGTGGCCTGTGGAAACAACTTGCGCAGGGTCGATTCCCAAGTGCGGTCGGAGACGTCAAGGACTTTGTGCGATGGTTTGTATACGTCCAAATCCCAGGCTTCGGCACCGTCATCAGAGAGCTTTGGAACGCGAGCGTTTCGGTGAATCTCCATCATGTAATCTTCCCATTCGTTTTTAGGAGGGAGCTGGTTGGTCGATCCGATGAACATGCGAAGCTGAGCATGCCAGTAGTGGGTGAAGTATCCCGCAATCTCGGCGTCGTTTGCTCGGCCAGCCTCTTCCAAGAACACTGCATGCGTCTGACGGACAACGTTGAATGAGATCTCTGTAGCCACTGACGACGTAGTGCACATTACGGCTGGGAGACAAGAGCAGAACGCTCGGCATGATATTCGCCACATTTGCTGCTGCCTTCTCCAGCAGAGCATAGTGTCCGGTCTTTGCTGCAGACTTGACAGCACGCTTGATGTCATTGTCCATCACGTCTCCGTTCATCAAGAGTTGTTCACGAGCACGGAGGATCGGGGTCAACTTGTCCTCGAGGTCTGTAAGCTCGCCGCTCGTGAACGTTGCGAGCACTTCTGGAGAGCGTGGAAAATCTGGGTTGTTGGCGAGCTCTAGGATATAATTCGCAGCAGACCCGTCAACTTCTTTCATGCGACGGTTGCAGAGTGAAGTATCGCTAGTGCCGCGGTAGTGAGTCAGATAGGCTCCCAAGAGACTAACAGGTAAGCCGTCGGTCACCTCGATGTTTGGATTGTAGTAATAGGGCAATTCCTTCTCATCCCGATCGAAGAATAGGCGTGACATAGCGACAACGGCATCGATCTCTGAACTTGAAGAGTGGATGCGGAGGACGAGTTTGGGAGGCATCTTCATCTCGTTCATCAACTTGGGGGTGACAGTACTAAGGACACGGTACACCTCGTCGACCGTATCGTTCTGGATACCGCAGAATGTGATGCGGCCTGGCTGTTTGGTATAGGTCTCTGGGCTGTCTTCCTCTGGCTTTGGAGGCGCGGGATTGTCTTTTGGGTACGAAGGCTTTGCCTCAGGTTCGACTTCAATACATGCCTCCTTCGCAGCTCGCATGGCTGCTTTCTTGATCCTGTATTCCTTGTATGCTACTGCGATAGTGAGAGCCAAGTAAGACTTCCCTGATCCTGAGGACCCAATCACACATGCAGTGTTCTCGTAGAGACCGTTGTCTTCCATCTCAAGGAAGGCGCTCAACTGGTAATCGCGGAGGTATGTCACAAGGATCTGTCGAGCTTGAGTCCACTGGCCTGCGTCGATGTTCTTGAACAACTCGGAGCGCTTGAGTTGTGTAAAGTTGTTCATCAACAACAGCTCGGTCCCTGCCTTGAGCGCTGCTGCCTTGGCGGGGTATGTATCTCGAAGTTTGTGGGGGACCTTAAGCTTGGAGAAGTTGTTCATCAGCCGCTTACACCCCTTCTCGTCATTGTTGGTGTAGATGACGACCGATTTCTTCGAGTTGTTGCGTGACCAATTACGAAGGACCGATGAGTGCTCCATGGTCGTGAAGTCTTTGACTGTCAAGACCGAGTGCTCTTCACTATCCAACGGCAGGACTGTGCCCTTGTCATGAGGACGTTTGACGGTTACATTGAGCTGTCCAATCGAAGTTGCATCGACGGCTTCAGTAATATTCCCTTTCCACGCAGTTTTCAAATCGATTCCATTTGGATCGAAGTTTATAATGATTGAATCTCCGACTACCAATGCGGGCGACCTTGGATTCTTGTCGACAGAAAGCTGGAGATGATACGCCATCCAAAGTTTGGCTTTCTTGCTGTAAGTCCCCGGGACTGGTACGACGGCGACACGACCAGTGTACGTATGTTTGCCCATAGAAGCGCGCTGCTCAAGAAGGGTACCGAGGCCGACTGATCGCTCGTACTCTTCGAAAGTCTCAAACGCATATCGGCATCCTCGAAAGCGAAGTGTGGGGTAGGAGTCAAGGAGTAGATCGCTGCGAGTTTCGAATTTGTAGGCTGGAGATGTCGGCTTGATGGCAGAGTCGCACATCTGCCGGTTGCTCGGGTCCCTGTAGATGGCCGACAAGTGATCATACTCCGAGTACTGTGGAACCTATGGGCATACAAAGTCAGCGTGAGTCCTACATGCATTTCAAACAGCCGTGACTTACCTTGTACCGTGAGTATGTATTCGTGATGAGTGGTTGTGGTGTGGAGGAAGTGGTAGAATAGATAGAGAAACGGCAGCTTGTGACAGCGGCGATTTGAAGAGAAGTTTGTGACATTAAGAAGGACAGAGAGTAAGAGCTTGACCTTCTCGTAAGGACATGGCCCTATAGGTGAGTGACTGCCAAGACCGTACTAGTCCTAGTTGTCGAGGTGATTGCGAGGGCGCAAGAAAGCTTGTCGTGAAGGTGAAGGTGAAGGTGAAGGTGAGTTCGGCAATTAGAATGCTAGCTAGCGAGAAATGACAATCCGATGACCAGAGGCATTAGTCTGGTCTTGCTAATCATCCTGGTTCTTACGGTTCTGCGGAAATCGACCGTTGAGCCCGACCACACTGCTGTTAATCTCCTCATAGATCTGGCTGTCGGAAAGCGATTCCTTTCAGCTTGCTGCATACATCGGTCTACGTACTTGATACTAAACAATAAAAGGGAAGGCAAGTACCTCCCGGGTATTGTACAACACAATATCTATTGGCGACAGCAGGCAATGTCTCCTCGAGCTTTGACTATCCTGGCGGGCTGTGCCCGCCTACAATAGCCAGCATCGCAGGACCCTGGTTCTCCTGAAGTAATAGCAGTGTAACAAAAATCGATTTAGCGATGATTGATTTGAACGACCGCTACACGAGGTTAGAATCGATTTCTCAGGATAAGTGTGATGGCTCTTTCTCCAGATCGAGGGATCAGTTTCTAATTCTTTCCAGTCACATCACCAGCCCAGGAGACGTTCCACGCTTATCTCCATTGAGGAGCAAACCGATCTCAGATTAGCGTCCGAGCTTGGGGATGCACCGAGCTGGAAGCGAATCCCATTGTTTCCTTCGTGTCACACGTTCTCAGGTCATACCCGATCAGGCTATATTATAGCAAGCGCGCGCCAAGCACGTAAGAAAAAGACTAATAGAATCCGATAACATTCACCATTAACGACACCGACCTTTCACAGCAAGGCCTGAGTCCAGAGCCCTCAGTGCCAGCATCGCATCTTTTAAACATAACTAACCAAGTGTAGCAACCATACATATGGTCTTAGACTTCTAGATCCTTAGTATACCCCGGTGAAGTGGGTTATCACACTCTCTCCTTCTCTGCCTCCTCCAACTCCACAGTCCACAAGTGATATTTTGACCTCGCCCTAATCCACGGCCCATACCGAAAGAACAACCACGGCACAGGCGCCATTGCCAGAGCAACAAACCCCAATATACTACTGGCCCACGGCGTCCCTATTTCAATGTACATCTGCCGCGCAAACAGCGGAAACCCAGCCGTGAAAAGTGACCTCATAACGGCATTAGCAGCCAGCGCGCTCGCAGAAAACCGTCCATAACAATCCGTCAGATACGCATTCGTCCCCAGAAACAGGGCCACGAAACCAGTGCCAAAAGGCACACCGGCGAGAATACAAACTATCCAGTGAGTGGGTGGGTTTGCCGTCCAACCGAACCAGAATAGAGCGATGGGGATAAACCACGCGATGATGACGAGATGAGGAAGTCGAGCTTCCGGTTTCGGCCCACCGAGTTTCTTACACCAAATTCCGTGGAGGACATTTATCCACGGCGACGCGGCCGTTGCGATAGCCATACCTGATCCAATGCCCAGGAGGGACAGATTGGATATGCCTTCACTCCAGTGACGTGTTTGTCGGAAGACAACGGGGTAGGCGGTGAAATCGAGGTACAATATACCCCAGACGAACGCTGAATACAGACCTAGCACCAACAATATAGGTTCCGTGAAGAGCATAAGCCACGGCCGCGTCAGGTTTGTCGCGTACTGTTCTCTAAACGAGCGTCGTGGGGATCCGACGCCATGTTTGCGCCTCTTCCTCTGCAGCAAAACAGGTGCATATGTCTCCGGTAGCAGGAAAACCATGGCCACGTAAACGATTCCAGACACGATGCTCACAATCCAATACAGCCACCTCCACTCCAGGTACTGAGCAATGAAACCCCCAGCAATAGGTCCCAACACCGGCCCCACGCTACTCCCCATGGTAAACAAAGCAAACGGCACACTCCTCTCCTCTTGTGACCAAACATCCGCCAGACAACCCCCACTATTCGTCACAACCGGACTGCCGAAGAATCCACTCAGAAACCTCATCACAAGCAGCATGACCAGGTTGCTACCGACCGCGCACCCAACATTGAATACGACGAACAACCCCATGGTGATTCGGAATACAAGCTGCCGTCCCAGCGTTTCAGACAGCGGCGCAAAGAGCATTGGACCCGAGGCGAAGCCGAGGAGGAACATGGTTATGCCGAGAGTCGCTAGTGTGGGCGTGCAGGTGAACGTGGTGGTTATGCTGGGGATGGCGGCGGTATGGATGCTCGAGGTAAGGGTCACGCAGGTAGTCATGAGAACGATGATGAGGGTTGAGGACCATTTGAGAGGAGTGGACCATGTGGTGGGATCTTCGGAGGGGAGAAGTTTGACTTGTGGTTGGTGTTGGATCGCCGCTGCTTTTTCAACATCGGCTCCATGATTGGTTGGGGGAGATGTGGAGGGCTGGAGGTCTTGGATGGGCAGAGGCACTTGGTACATGTTGCGGTGGAGAGAAGTCAAGATGAAGAAGTAGGTGTTGTGAACTTGGGACTGCGACGCAAGGTCTGTTCCATTCTTTCCTTCTTATCGAAGACTTTGTAGAAAGGTAAGGCTGAGATATTGTAGACATGTCCTACACCAACAGGCTTCGTTTTTGCATAGTTGTTTGACCTAGTCCTCTCGGAGACATATCTCTGTCTAGACTTTCCGGATGGTGAAGCACTGCGGTGCCTGATTGGTTGCCACGAGACTGGCAAGGCAGCAAGGTTTGCCGAAACCGTACATATCTTGGATACATTCGATGGATAATCTGCGGGGCTTCGGATCTCGCTGAGAAAGTTCTACGTCGAGTCATATGTTCTGCAAGTCATACTCGCCCTGGCGTTGATCATAAGGCGTAGAGACACAAAGCATACACAAAATACAGGTCAAGAGACGGGTCGAGCATCCGCGTCATCTTGGCAACGCCCTTTCGACAGAGGCGTTTGTGTAGCGTTGCGGCACTCTCATTGGCGGAAGAATCGCCAACTCACAGAGAAGAGACGACTGCGGTAGTGTAACCGAGCGAGAATGTCGCCGCTCTCCCATTCCCCACACCCTGTACAGCGCGCGGGCACTTGCTCATCTCCCGCCGTCACATGCACGCTGAATTAGTAACAACAGTAGAGTCAATGAGCTAACTTGTGGTTGAAACACATGATATTGGGAGAAGACTAGACGGGTAAACATCTACCCAAAGCAGCTGTCCGTAGACAAAAAAGCTGCCAACTCCAAACACCATGCCATAGAAGAAAAAAGATACCCCCTAATCCTGTAGCTGGAGGATATCTCAAGAGCGATAGGCCTGCTACCCATATCACCCATGATGACACCACACGCCTCGTCCCGAAAAGGAACAAGGCAAACCCATATCAAAATAGATGCAGCGCCGACTCCCCCAATCACCGTCCCATACCCTATTGAATCCTCCGGCAGGTGCGCGTATTCGTAGCTCAAGCAGACCTATACACCGTAAGTACTCCATCCCCTCAAAAGACATCAACACTTTCTTCACACGTCTACACTCCTCCATTCAGTCTCAAGGGGGGTGAAACTTACCGATTACCAGCCCCCCTCCTCCCCGGGAGCGGTGGTGGCACAAGTGGATTCCCATACGCATCTGTCCCCAGCTGCGCCCTGCAATCAGGACAATACCATTTCGCGCGGCGGGAAGGTATGTCGTCTTCTGTCATGTTCATACAGGGGAGGTGAAACCACTCTTTATCGCACTGTGGGATCGTTAGCCAATGTCCACCATCTACCATCTACTTCGCCCTCGCTGCTGTCATAAAAGTGGTAGGGATATAAAACTTACGTTGTTGTCACAACTGATCATCTGCCCGTAAGACACATCATCACAGATACAATACCGTGGCTCATCCGGATCAATCTCATCCGCCGCCTCCACCTCTTCGGAAGCCTCTGCCCTTCCCTCCGTACGTCTGTTGGTCTTCTTTTTATTCTTACTCCCTTGTGCACGCTTGACGTTCGTGACAGTCTTTTGACCATCCTCCGCAACAGTAACTTCGCCTTTCGGAGGCGGTTTCCTTCGCGAACTAGTGCGTGTTGTGGGTATGGCTGATTGTTGTTGTTGCTGTTGTGATTGTTGCTGTTGGGCAGAGGGGAGAACTGCAGGTGGTACTGCTGTACAGGTAGACGCGGGTTGGCTAAAGACACTATGACGACGAGTTTCTCGTGTTATCCTACCTTCTTCGCTGCCAGGCTTGGGCTCTTCGCTTTGCGCTTTGGGCGTCGGCACGTGACCGCGTGCGGATCTTGGACGTAGAGTTGGCGCTGCAGGTGTTTCTGGAGCGGGTTCAGGTACTGGTGTTGGTGTCTTTGAGAATTTTGCGGGGGGAAGAGAAGCCACAGACGGAGTGGGTGCTTTTGGTACGACGGACCCACGTGTTGACCTTGTCGAAACTGTAGCTGGTGCTGTTGAGACTGCGGCTGGAACTGGACTGGGTGCTCGGGCTGGTGCTGGCGATTGCAAAGCTTCTGACATAGTGGGGGATTCTTCGGGCGCTAGTGGTGAAGTTGTGATGGGTGTGAGCTCTGGGCTCTGCTCTTTTGGTACAACTCTGTTAACTTTCGGTGTGCTTGGACCTGCCGGGGCGAGGGGCACTTGTACAGGGTTTCCATTTGTCGATGGCTTCAGAGAGTCTGGGAGGGGCACAGGCGTGTTAGTTGCCGGTGAAGCTACGACAGAGGCAGGGATATCTCGAGGGGTGGAGGCGGTAGAGGCGGGAGTTGGTATTGGGGAGGAGATAGTGTTGGTCGCTGGCGCAATGAGCTGCAATCGTGTGCGCTTGGGCTCTGGAGGCCTTGATGAACTGTCTTGAGTGGCTACGGACGCTTCTCTCGTGGCTTCGGTGGCGCCGTCGGTGGTGGGTGCGGGTGACGTATCGCGCTTGCGTTTGTTGGAAGGATTAACGACAGTTTTCTTCTTTTGGCTTGCGGGCGTTGCAACAGTCGAGTTGAAGTTGAGTTCTTTGAGGCTGTTGGCAGCTTCTCTGATCTTCTCAGAAGCACCTATGAGCTCCTGAGCGTCCTGCATAGCCTTTTGGCGCTGAGATGTGCGATCGAGCTTCCTACCTTCTTTGGTCGCGACAGGCTTGAGACGGATGCTGACTGGACCAGTCTCGTCCTTGGCGTCTTCGTCGACAGGCTCGGTCGGCGGGGGTGGATTGGCTGCCTGTGGACCATGCGGTGCCAACAGGCCCAGGCCCGATGCTGTCATGATCTGCTGTAGCGTCTCAGGCTCCTCATCGAGGAAGTCTTCGCCCGTGGCCTCGCAACGAGCCTTTTCCCTCTCGTAGTCGGCCTCTGTACGGTGCTTCTTTTCAAGCTCGCGAATCATCATGGTCTGGCTAGGCGTCCAGACAGCATTCTTCTTCATCTGCTTGCGCAATACAGCCATTTCATACTCGGTCAGCTTCTTCCACGGCGCCCATTTGCTACCAGGCTTCGCGTCGGCTGGAGGTGGGGCGAGTTGGGCAAGCGCGTTGCTAGTAGAGATGCCCGCAATCGAACTGTGTACGTTGGTGCCGAGTACGCCAGCAGCGCGCGATCTGCCGCCAGTTGTCCTTGAATGTCTGTCCCGGTTGTCCTTGCGCTTCCTGGGCGATATTACGTCGATGCCTGAGCCAATTTCCGAGTCTGACGAGTCCGAGTCACGGCGCATTCGTCCGCGTCCTCTTGGGAGAGGGATGGCCGTCTTCTTGTGCCGATCTCGGGGCCGCGAGGTGTTGGCGCCATGGCGGCCGCCATCAAAGGTCAAGCGCAGATGGGGGGCTCGTTCGTAGTTGCGGTTTATGGGTCGGTGGGCGCTTGGAGAGACTGGCGGGGGCGTAGGATCGCGTGACGGCGGCTGTGGCTGGGCTTGAAGTTTCCTCTTGATGACAGACGAGCGCTGGCAGTGGCGCACAGTGACCTCGTATAGCCGCGAGGCCTCTGTGTAGGCAAACTCTCTCTGGCTGATGGCTTTTTGAAGATGCTGGGCAATCTGTTTGCGCAGCAACACGGGGTCGGGGCGCTCTCGCTCGGCAAGGGCGGGCAGCTTGCCATACTGCACCGTCAGCGCGTGCACATGCTGGACGGCCTCGGAGTAGGTCGAGTCGAGGTCGGCAATCAGCGTCAACGAGCGCACCAGGTCCGAGGGAAAGAACTCGGTATAGTCGAGGAAGTCATTCACCGTCGTCTGAGCATCCGGGTTCGGGGCGGGTTGGGCCATCTCAGGCGCATCGTCGGCTTCAGACATGGCGCATCGCGGGGAGGCAGAGTGGATGGAGGCTTGCGACGCACGCGTCAGACTCTCCAGCCACGCGTCAACCAAACTATTGAGGAGAATCAGCGCGATAGTGAGGGCGCGAGTTGCGACATGCGCTGATAGCGATGGGGTGCCTGCTGGGAGCTTGTCGCAACGTTGAACCACTGAGGTTCGCGCTAGTCCGCCTTGGGAAACATCGCTGCACATCACTCAGGAACGCCTGGGAGAGCCGGGAGCCGCCGCCCCACACTCCGTCTACACCTGTGATGTTATGAGTTAGACGTATCTTAGTCGTATCTTAGTCGTGTATCACTCCCTCCCGGTACGTGAGATTCAAAAGTAGCAGACGCGCTCTCCGTATCATGTCGGAAACAGAGATTCATACACGCTGTCGCGCATCGACAACATCATACTGTGTGCCCTTTAGTTGGTTGGCATAAAGAAGCCTACCCTGTGTGCTCCTACATTGCAAGGCGTGTCTTTTTATCGTCTCTCTCCATCTCTCTTCCACTCTCTCGGTTTTCTAGTTGAGGGTCTCCCCACTGTCATTTCCTGTTTGCTCCTGCCTCGTTTGTCTATCCAAGCGCGGCTACCGTATATCCTCTATCACACTTCCCTCGCAAACACATTCTACTCTATCAAACACTCACCATGGCCTCAGCACGATTACAGCGTCTCCAAAGGTTTGTCCAAGTAGACCTCGATGCCCTGCCAGACCGCCCTATCTCTCCACGACGTGAGTCCAAGCCAGAGCCCGAACCTAATCATGCCAACAGCAACTCCTCTGGCGGTGTATCGCTCAGAAACATGCCTCCAGATTCGCCTGCCAGCAAACAGACCTCACAAAATCGGCCTGTTGCAGCTATAAAGACACCGCCTACCGAGAACACAGAACGCCGATTCGTTTGGATCAAAGACGCTGACAGCTCCTTCAACCCAACCCTGGACTCGATGCGGCCATCCACCGCCCAAGCTCCGGCACCTCGTACTGATGCCGCTGGGCTTCCAGTGTCCAATCTCCAACGTGGCGACCTGGCCTCACCTCGCCATCACTTCACCCCGATCCAGGCACTGGCAAAGTATCCCTACAAGTACTGCAACAAGATCCATATGCAGGACATTGCTTCTGCTTTCTTCGACCAAGGAAAATTCTGGCAGCGAGAGTGGGATCTGTAAGTCTACTTCACCTCACCGCTCACTTGTCATCATGACAGAAGTGAGAAGACATACACTAACCTCACCAGATACTACATTTGGGACATTGAAGAGACTTCCAAGCCTTTCGTTCTCGTCCGCGAAAGCCAAGTTCAAGCATTACTTGCTGAGATCAATAAGCATTTGAAGCTTACTTTGAGAGTCACCGACCAGCAGCGAGAGGAGGTGAGGCTGCATCATTGTGCTATCAGTTGAACACTCAGGCTAACTCTTACTAACAGGGCCTACTCGTGCAATTCCCTGACCACCCACGCTGCCTGCCTCGTTATCTCGGCCGCTCCCAGTCGCGCGAGGACGTTGACAGCATGGCCGGAAACGCCCCCAATAATACTTTCCGTGCAGCGGGAGAAGCTTCCCATCCACCACTGGAGTCACATACTCTGGAACGGTTCAGGCAACTGATGGCGAATTTGGCAGAAGCACAAAAGGCGAAGAGCAAGGCAAACAAGCAAAAGAAGCAAGAGGATCGCATGGCCAAGAACAAGTCGATGCAAGATCAGTTCAAGCGTGCCGGGAGGTATCTCGGTGTTCGTGGCTCAATCCAGGCTTCGTCTTCATCTTCCTCCTATCCGGCAATCGACCCGTCCATGCCAGTTCCTTTCCCTTTTGATCACGATGTCGTTTTTGTGTGCGTCGATGTTGAATCATACGAGAGAGCCCATCACAAGATTACCGAAGTAGGAGTAGCTACACTAGATACTCGGGAGCTCATCGGTGTCCCGCCCGGCGAAAACGGTGCGGCATGGAGGAACAAGATCCGAGCCCGTCACTTCCGCATCAACGAATACAAGCACCTACGCAACACCGAATTTGTCACTGGCTACCCCGACGGTTTCGATTTCGGTGAGTCAACCTTCATTCCCCTCAAAGCAGCGGCAGACCACGTCGCAGCCTGCTTCCATGCCCCCTTCGGAGCCCAAGACGGAGATGGCTTCCCCAGTCATCATGATCCGACTGAGAAGCGCAACATCATCTTCCTCGGGCACGATACTCTTGGAGACGTCCGCTACCTCCAACAGCTCGGCTACGACCCCATGAAGGTAGAACATATTCTTGAAGCTATGGACACCGCAACCATGTACAAAGTCTGGAACCGAGACCCACAGCCCACTAGCCTGGGCAGAATCCTCTTAGCATTCGATATTCCAGGCTGGAAGCTACATAATGCGGGTAACGACGCCGTGTATACCGTGCAGGCCATGTTAGGTATCTGTGTTAAAGAGGCGACTCTCCGTGGCTCTCCCGAACTGGACGATATGCGCAAGCAAGAGAAGGAGAACAGACTCAGAGCTAGGATCGAGGAGGCTGAGCAGAAGGCTAAGGATGAAGCGGAAGGCTGGAGCGATCATGAGGCCGTTGGAGATGGCGGCTCGCCGATTCCTCTTGCTTCTGCCATTCCGCCAGTATCGAAGCCAGTACAAACTAAGGCTAAGCCTGTTCCGCAGTATGATGGCGCTGGAGAGGATCATATTGGTCCGTCTCGTGGCCGTGAGGCGCCTGGTGAGGGTCGCGGGCAGCGTGAGAGGGGAGACCGTGGCAGTGATCAACGGGGAACCTCGAGCGAGCATGGTCAGGTAGACAGTGGCGGTCGTGGCCAGTCTAGTGGAAGTGAAAGATCGAGAGGAAGGGCTCGTAATCTGGTCCCTGGACGTGATCGTGGTCGTGGACGTTCGGGGTTGCTAAAGGAGGAGGCTGTTCCAAACGTGCAGTATCATTGGTGAGCAAGGGGATAAGTACAAGGAGCTGCACGCGTTGAGGCCTTATCGGGCTATGCGGCGTGTCTTTCAGTTATTGGGGTTTCAAGGCCGGAGGATACGATTTAGCACTGAAAATTGCTGAGCATGCTTCCTATAGCCGAATTCGAACATGACCATGACTTCTGACTTTGTCATCCCTTCCCGATCCTATGCTTTACGAGGGCGTCTTCACCCACCCCCTTCAACCCACCCATCAGAGATTAAACCCGTCAACTTAGCAGCCGCTCTCTTTAGCTCAAACACATCCTTGCAAGTAGCGAAAACAAAGCGATCAGGCCGCAGGATAACAAATTGCTTGCTATCCGACTCCCGCCAAATACGATCTGGCTCATAGTATTGCGGCTCTGGACGCCCTTCGCAAAGTGGCGAAGCTGCAAATTCGTGGCCTGTTGCTAGACGGTAGACATTCGAGGGTTGCGTCGGCAAAGTCCAGCTCGTTTGGATCATCTTGGTAGTCTTCAAGAAGAATGTCGTTTCAGCTGCTCCCAACATACCACCTGAGATGCACTCAATATCATTGAGCAGTGGCTGGATGCGATGGAGGTCCGTTACACCATCGATGAAGACAACAAGTTGGAACAACCCCTTTTTCCCTTGTTCGAAGATGACATCGTCGGTGAACCTGACCCCCTTCTTCTCCTCCTTGTCAGCTACTCCCACGCAATACACTTGCGGGAAGTTCTTCCCTCCCCCACTCCCACCCGGCAAGAAGGCCATATTTCCCCTCTCCTGCCACTCATATCTGGTCAACCCCTCCTTTCGATTTCCTTGCTCCAGCCATCTCTTCCAACTCGGCACCAACTGCATTCCCCAGAGATACCAGTCCCTTACAAAGATCTTGAGCGGATCCGTTTCGCAGACATACGCTCCGTTTTCAATGGTAGATGCGAGCGAGTGGTCGAGTTGTTGTTTGCGTTCTGTGTACCAACCTTGCAGCAATCTTTGGTGGTTGACATTGCAAGTAGTAGGTTGTTTGGAGTCGGCATAGGGATGATGATACGACTGGGGAGGCGGTTGGGTCAAAAGAGCAAGACGCCAGGCAAGACCCATTGCATCCCGAAACCCACTCGCAATGCCCTGTCCCCCGAATGGCGGGAAAACATGCGCCGCATCTCCAACGAGCGCCACGCGACCCAATGCCCACTTATTACAGCTCCGTGCCGAGAAGCTGAATGGGCGGCAACGCAGAACCTCGATACAATCCAATGGATACCTTACATACCCATCAACACCATGTTTGCTTCCAGGATGCGTGATGTACGGGTATACCACTTGCTGTATCTTTTCCCGACCAGCCATGTCCATCCCATCCTCACCCTCCAAAACCACGAATTCAAACCGCCAGAGCCGATCGGCGGGCAGTCCGAAACGCCCACACACAGCCGCTCGCTGCGGGTTGCACAGGAATCTGAAGTCGTTGGGGAAGAAGAGGTCGTAGACTTGTTGGGGCGTGTATCCCTGGCGCCACAACGGAAAGTCAGGATGCGTGTCGGAGTTAGGCAGCGAGATCTTCCAGTTTAGAGCGACCCAAGTTTGCGAGTAGGCTGACGAAGTCACTTGGTCTAGGGTGATGCCGCGGGGTTCGAGGTAGTGTTTTCGTGTGAAGCCTGTTTTTCCGTCTGCGCCTACGAGGAATTTACTGCGGATCTGCCGTTCTTGTCCAGTGGGCGAGGAGGCATAAGTGATGTAGGTCCATTCTGCATCTTCTCGAATCGACGTTACTGTTGCCCCTAGTCGTAGCTGGGAGTGTTGTGCTTGCTCCATCTTGCATCGAAGATGTTTCTCTATAGCTGGTTGCTTGTGGCATAGGAAACCTGGGTGTCCTGTTCCTCCTTCAGTCTAGATGCAGTCAGCATGGCCACCTTCTCCCGAATCTTGTCATGGTAAAAGACAAACCGTGTTGTAGTCCATAACCATGAAAGGCTCTCTACCAAGCTCATTATGAGTACCACTGATGAATTCGAACTTGCCCATACCTGTGCGGGTCATCACAATGTTAACACTCTCTCCCTTTCCCACCTTTCCCACGCACACATCAGAACAGCAGAGAAGGGAGCACACAACATACATTTTCCGATATCTGTGAATACCTTGTCATAGATACCACAAGCCTGCAGACAGCGTATGCCGTCTTCGTCTAAAGCGATTCCACGTGGATCTGTATTAACACTTTCTTCCTGTTCAAGGACTATGTTGCGCACGCCGTGTTTAGCGAGGAGGACTGATAGCATGGCGCCTGTTGGCCCACAGCCACATACCACGACATCTGCGGTTTCAATCTCCATTGTGGATGGCATGGCGTGTGCTGTATGGAGCAGAAGGATCTGGTTTTAGAGGTTTGTGTATTGTTGCTTCTTTTCGTTGCTGCAGGAACGGAAAGGCAATCACTTTGTGTTCGTTATACATGAGCAAGACGATCGTGGAGTTGGCTTGAGCGAATGGAAAAAGCGGAAATGTGCGGGTAGTCGGGAGGTTGGTCTTGCGATACGAATGCGAATAGTGTGGATGTATTGATGTAGCAGACTACCTAGGTAGGAGGAGGAGGGCATGACGTACATCGTCCCGAGTTTTCTTGGCTCTGCTTATGTTGTGTTACCAACCCCGCATGTCGCCTGTACATGCGCGGAAGAACGACTGAATGCGAGGCATGAGTCGAGCATGCATAATCATCCAAAGGAACGTGGACGCCTCCACATTGTGATATACCACGATTGTGAAAAACTCGGTGTCTCCAAAATGGTTCAAAGGTCCATCACCACATAGCACACTTTCACCCACGAGTAATAAACACCCAAGATACTCTCATGCTAAAAGTCCGCATCATCGACGATTCTCTTGGGTATTTCCAGAGATCAGCACCCTGTTGTTGCTTGTTGGATAAGCAATGAGGAAAAAGAGATACCTTGGAGACTGCCGTCTGGCTAGTCTCTCAACACGCCCTCAACAATCTTCATAACCTCCACCAACTCCTCGTCCATCATACTCTTCCCCACAACCTGCACGTGCGTCGGCAAACCCTCACAGTCATTCGCGTCATCTGTAGCAAGACACATTAGCCCGGATCATTTCTTTCACCGTCAACAACAACTTACAAGGTGGTTCAAACTTCACTCCCTCTTTCGTAAACTCCGCATCCTTTTCCTTCTCCGCCTTACCCACGCGCAATATCCCACTCGGCCAATTCAACAGATTCACCACCACCGTATAAATCGGTAGACCATACGTATCGTGTTTGGGCGCCACACCCTGGTACCCAGGCATTAAAATGGCGTCGAGTCCCTCCTCCTTCACACTAACATCACCAACTACCAATTGATGAAACTTTTTGACAATCTTGGCTTTCTCGACATTCATATCCCACAACTCGTCCAACGTCGCCTGCCACCCTTCCAATTCCGGAAACGACATTGTAGATAGACTGGGTACCATTGGCTCCCCGCTATCTTTGATGAATTGGAAGGGAGTTTTCTTTGGATCAAGCATAAAGAACTTCCACGCTAGCATCGTTGTATGGTACAGATTTGGTATCTTGTCGTCTAGCAAAACAATTTCATGACCTGCTGCTTTGAGTTTCATAGCAGTGGTATGCAGACCGCGCGCGATAGGGGGATGAAGCGGCCGTTCTTTACAGCCACGGATCAGACCGAAGCGGAGGGGTTTGTTGCCACCCAAAGGCGAGACTACACTCCGCCACGGCACATTGAGGCAGTTCTCATCGAAACGGTACGGTCGTGCGCTCACCACGCTCTTCATGAACAATTCGTAATCACGCGTTGAACGACCACAAGGACCAATCACCACGGGTATTGACCCGGGGCTTCCGAGTCTCCCTACTGCCACGCCACCGGCGAAGGGAACGCGACCCGCAGTCGGCTTCAATGAGGATCCGCCGCAGCATATAGCGGGGATGCGGTTCGAGCCCGCGATATCGGTAGCGACGCCCAAGACGCTTCCTTTCATGGCGAGCAGGGCGCCTTCACCACCCGTGGAGCCGCCGGCTGTGTGGGAGAGGTTGTTAGGGTTCAGAGTGCGGCCGAAGATGTTGTTGTGCGAGTCTGCTGTCATCATTGTTTGGGGGAGGTTTGTTTTCACGTAGAATACTGCCCCCAGTTCATGGAGAACGTCGACCAAGGCTGAGTTGGTTGCTGATGGGGGCCGTGGAATGAACGAGACGTAGCCGAGGGTTGCTTGGACGCCGCGGACGTTGAAGGAGTCCTAGGTAGGGGTTAGTATGAATGGGGGGTGAGTTTTCACTACCAGCCGAGATGACGGAGAGGTAGGAATAGGAAAGAGAGAGGATCAAGTGTAGTAGAGGTAGAAAAAGAGGAAAAGACCTCCACCATCCTCCTCCCTCCACCCGGATTGAGATGAGACTAAGATACCTTTAAACTTATTGGAAGCCCATGCAAAGGACCCATGACCTTGCCCTCCTTGTTCAAAAAATCATCACACTCCTTCGCCCGCGCAATCGCTTCTTCAAACATAATCTCAGTCAAACAACTCACGCACTGCTGTGCGACAGCCGCTCTCTTACAAAACGCCGTCACTACTTCCGTACTCGTCAAACGTCGCTCGGACATCATTCCAACTAAATCTGTGGCATCGTAGTTTCCAGTAATGTCCAACTCCTTCTCAGTCAAGATGCCGCATGTCCGTGGTACGTCCAACACGGAGATGGATGAGGTTTCTGTATATTGTGATGTTTGGGAGGGAGGAAGGAGCCAGTCTTTTGGAATCGCTGCAAAGACTGATTCGCGCTTTGATTGTGCGAGGGTCTGCCAGTCGGCTATGGGCGGTGCCGTGGTCGTGGCCATGGTTGTTAGTGATGAGTTGCAGTCTGACTTGGACTCCTAGTATCGAGCTAGTTCGCGTCAGGACTTGGAAGGATGAGTAGAAGAATGTATTTTTTTGAATCGAGAGGAGCAATAAGCAATAGTGATGGTGTAATACTGAAGACACCCTGGTACTACGCGCTGATGATGAGGGGCTCTGGGGAGCCGGCCGAGGTTCCCGTGTCGGAAATACGATCGGAACTGGGCACGTGGGGAATGTGGGTATAGACTGGGGTAATGCAGCTGCTGTGTGGAGTTGCTTTTTCCAGCATATGGAGCGGACCGTTACTCATAGAGAATCCATGACTTCAATTCCATCAATATCTGGAGTCGAAGGGTACTGCTAAACCTACATAAGCTCCACAATGCACAAGTGAACATGATAATGTAATGTCCGTCTACGACTCGATAATGCCCGCAGTTGAACAAAGGCTGCGCTGCAAGGTTTGGTCCTTGTGCGGCCCATGTTCAATCTCTCCTCCTCTCGCTCCTCTTGTGCGGTGACCTGCTCCTTGTATCTCTCCGACGTCTACGGTCTCTGGAGAGTGACCTTGATCGCTTCGCATGGACGTCAGGTTCGCGCTTGCGCTCTGTATAATCTTCCCTTCGCTTATGGTCGCGGCTTCGCGATCGATGTCTGCGTCTGTCATCGCGACCATCGTCTCTCCGCCTGTCGTGCGACCGTGAGCGATCTCGGTGTCTATGTCTTCGCTCTCTGTCGCGTGAGCGACTCCGTGATCGATGCCGTCGCCTTCGCTCTCCGTCATCGTCCCTGTGTCTCCGCGAACGTTCCTTCTTCTCCCTTTTCTTCGCCTTGTCGTCATCCTCTTCCGCCTTGGCCTTCTCGTCTAATGTGTCTTTGACATCTGCCTGGTGTGCCTTCTCGCCCAGCGGCGTCAGGTTTGCGTTGTTGCGTACCGGAACCGGCAAGCCCATAGCAGCCAGCATCGCGTCCTCCTCAGCCTCCTTCAGCTTGCGCTTCTCTTCTTTGATGCGCGCTGCCTCGGCTTCTTTGGATTCTTCGTCGCCTTTTGCATACCAGTTCAGGTCACGTCCTTGTTGCCAGCGACCAACAGGCGCCATGAGCGAGTGGCCGAGATAGTTTTCGCGTTGTGCATCGTTCTTGACATCTTCCCATTTGAAGTCGGCGCGACCGCCGCTGCGCAATGTTAGTCACAGGCCCCGAGTCAGTTGTAATGAGCTTACCGGCTTCCTTCTTTGCGCACCGTTTGTACGAGATCCATGGTGTTGGTGTGTCGTGGTTGTGCGATGGAGAAGATGGCGCAAGTGAGTTGCGGCCAACACGCGGAGGTGAGAGGCCCGTGCCACCAACGGCTTCATTACCAGCCTCAAAGAGCTTCCAAACACAATCACTCTTCAATCACGACTACCGCCAACATGCCTCCGATACTTCCACCCCCCGACGAGCAAGAGTACGATCAGCCCTTGACAATCGATGGCCTACCGGGGCGCGACCTGGCCGCTGGAAACAACCTCTTCTTCTATTTCACCTCGTCGCCATGGTTCGATCCGGAAGACTGTATCAACATAGCCATCTTCACCAATCTCAACCTCCAGGATCCGGCCAATGCCCAGACTATTATGAACGATCCAAAACTATGGAATCAGCGAATCAAAGAAACACCTAAAGGAATACAATATGTCATAGCAGGTGAAGGGCAGGGCGAGGGTCACCCATGGCTACTTCAGCGGCAACACAAGGCCGAAATCACAAAGGATGATGGCAGCAAGGAGATCGGCATGTTTGTTGAGGGCAACTGGTACACGCACGGAACAAAGGTCCTCATGGCGCCGAGCTTGCTGGACGTGGTGCAGAGTCGATTGCTCACTGTTGCGACTCGCATGGAGCAGATGGCTGAGATATCAAAGAACATGACGCACTGGACACCTGCAACGGGGTACTCGTACTTTCCTCCCTCACATGAAACTTCAAAGGCTGCGACGACGGCCAGTCGAATCGGTAGTCCGACACTGGCGCCAACGGACCCAGATGTTGCAGGCTCGCAGTCACAAGGCGCCGGAGCGGGTGCAACTTCACAGACAACAGACCCACTGGCATCCACCACCGAGTTCTCTGATGCCTTGTTCATGCATTCCCTCAATCTCACAAACGCGTATGGAGACGAATACATGGACGAGAATCCACTCAAGGGCGAGCCGGGCGCGTTTGTTTTCGAGGGCACCAAGACTGCTGTGAGCGCGAGGAACAAGGCACAGGAACAAGCAGCGCAAGCATCTCTGTCTGCACCGCCCGCGGGGCTGAAGATCGAGACTCAGCCGCCGAGCGTGGCACCGTCTGCTGTGGGTACACCAAGAGGGGTAGCGACGCCGACTACTGCGGAGACACAGGGGAAGAAGGGGGCTATTGGTGCTGCGCCGAAGAAGAAGAAGGATAGAAGGAAGAGCCAGGGTGGGCTGACGAGTCCGACTACGCCGAGTGTGCCGTAAGATGGTCGCAAGAACCAGATGTCGTCCGTTTCCTTGTAATGATACCCCGACTGTACACAGGTCGAAATTCACTCACCACTAAAAGCCGTGTTTATCGTATTTGCCATGCGCTTAACCCTGTTCAGTGACGCATGAATCTTGATCCTGATAAGCTCACGTCTAGCCAACCGGAATAGAATGTGCTTGCCATATCCAACGCCTCTCGCTTCATCCCGAACACCGAAGCTGCGAAGTCAGCAACGTCAGGCCTCCAAACGAAAGCTCTATCGACATTGCCTTTGGTATGTAAACAGGTGGTATCCTCAGGTTCCCTCTCCAGACATTTCGTCCCTGTTCCCCGAGAAAAGATGGTTCTTAGAAAGGTTGTCACAACATGCTCTCAACCCAACACCAGTCACCACGAAGCACAAGATACCGTCGTCGACAATCCAAACCATGAGATAAACCCCAGGAAACAACCCCAAGACTTCCTCCCCGTCCCCAACCCAATGCCCAGCTACTGGCTCAAACAACCCCATCCCTACGCCAAACTCCGCACAACACCGCACCTCCCCGTCTCCTGCGACATCGCCATCATCGGCTCCGGAATGGCTGGTATCCTGACCGCCTACCATATCCTACAGACCTCCCATTCCAATCTCCTCCAGGCTGGTACACCCATGCCTCGCATTGTCCTCCTAGACGCACGGGATCTCTGCAGTGGCGCCACGGCCCGTAATGGCGGGCACTCCAAAGTCAAAACAGCCACGCTCACCAGTCTCGCGGATGGCGCTGCCAGAACAGCTTTTCAAGACTACGTCCACCGCACCCACGTGGAGCTGAAAGCACTCGTCGACGCCGAAGCTCTCGCAGCAGAGTGCGAATTCGAATTACGTCGCAGTTTTGATGTGTTTCAAGACAAGGAGGAGTTTGAGGGCGTGAAGATGGCATACGATGAAGATGCGAGGTTAGGGCAAGGTTGGACCAAGAGGACGAGCGTGGTGCCTGGGGAGTGGGTGGAGAGGATCACAGGGGTGAGGGGATCCGTCGGGGCGTTTAGCGTTGAAAGTGCGAGTTTCTGGCCGTACAAGCTTGTGTGTGGAGTGCTTGAAGGAATGGTGGAGAAATTTGGAGAGGTCTTGAATGTACAGATGAATACGGTCGTGACTCGACTTGCCTCTTCCCCATCGACAGCCAATGTTGAGAGGACGTCCCGCGATGCCAGTACCACCACCACCACCACCACCACCACCCGAGTGGTGAACGTCTTAGAAACACCCCGAGGTACTCTCACGGCGAAAAAATTGGTCCTCGCAACAAATGCGTACACAGCCTCTCTCCTCCCTTCCTTCAGCAAGACGATTGTACCGTACAAAGGCATGAATAGTCACCACGCGCCTTCTCCATCCGCATCATCTTCCTCGCCCCATCCAAACCACACCAGCCACGCCACACAATCTCACTTAAACAACACCTACAACATCCACTTCGCCCCACTATCCCCGAAACAACCCACCGGATGTGACTACCTAAATCCCCGCCCGGACGGCTCCATCGTCGTCGGAGGCGGCAGCTGGTTCTACCAGAACAAGCACAACGAGAAATCCGACAGTGGTGATGATGATGATAGATATGCCTGGCTCAATACGGTAGACGACAGCACAGAAACTGGTCATTTCCCAGCAGACGTGTATGCGCACTGGACACACTACATGTCCAACACTTTCCTCAGCCATCCTCCTCCATCATCTTCTTCTTCTCGTTTCGAACCAGATAGTATCTGGACAGGTATCCAGGGTAAGACGAACAATGGTATGCCGCATATTGGACGGGTTCCTCCTCCTCCTCATGACAAAAGAGACAAGCAGCAGCAGCAGCAGTGGATGTTGGCCGGTTTCAATGGCGGAGGCATGGCACTGATTCCCCTAGCAGCCAAAGCAGTGGCGAAGATGGTGCTACTGGATTTAGACTTTGAACATGTGCAAGACGAGTTTGGACTGCTAGAGGGCATGGGCACAGGGGATGCGAGGATGGTGTCGTGATACTACACACACACACATCGAGGGGAAGAGGTAGGGATACATGGGTGGGCAGTGAGTGGCAATGAAATATATATACACACACATATACACATTAGGAAGGGTGGTTGGTATGACAGCAGCAGCAGCAGCACCTTCCATTCCAGCTGGTTACACACAAGCTTATCGGGATTGAGACGTCAGTCTGCGGGAGGACAATGGATAGTAGGGAAACAGTGGTTATGGCAAGACGCAATTCAGCTTGGAATTTAGCCTCTATACGCACACCATGTACGTCGTACGGGTTGATATCTAATTACAAATACGTAAGCTATTAAATCTATAGGTATATATATACACAATTTATCGAGTGAAATAAGAAAGTTGTTTAGTTTAATGGTGATAGTCACCCTCTAGTTGATTGATTCAAGGAGAAACATGCGATCGTCACTGATTTGCAGGAGGACGTAGAAATGAGTGGGTAAATCCCGGATTCCTTTGACTGAGGGAATCTCCGACGGATACGAGTCTTGACTAACTAATTTTCATCCCTAAGAAGCGAAAAAAGGAAAAAAAACATAAACTCCATCCCATATGCCGCTTGCTTGTCCCCTTTCATATTTATGAGAGCCCATCTGCAAGTAAACGAGTTTGACGAAAGCCTTCATCAGAACAAGTTTCTTTGTTTCAGCCGCCCACCATCGCCAACAAATGCAAGAGTCCCAGACAATGCTCAACACCCAAGAAGTAACAAAGGAGAGATACCAAGACGACAAGGTAGAAGTAGCGCTCGAAAATGATGAGTGATGTTCCGTCGTCGGTGAAGTTGAGAGTAGTGGGGTGTACAGCGTACAGGTTATAAGGTTAGAGAGGAGAGAGAGATAGGAAATGGTATCTCTAAACAGCTACAATTTGAACGTGGAGGGTTGAGGATTGGGGGATGCGCATCGTAGGACTCTCGCTACAACGTATTTCCTCAAAAAGCAAAAGCAAAGAAAAAAGGGATAAGAAAAGTTGTCAAGACTACAAGTGGCAGGTCATAGTGCCTTACCACACCCACTCAAAGTCGCCCAAGTCGTCCGTGACCTGGGCGTGATGATCGGCATGAGAGCGCCAATCTTTGCTCTTGTACCAGTTGTCCACCTTTTGCTCCCAAGACCCGACGGAATTTTTGTTCTCGTTGTGGCTGGGACCCCAGTTGATCTGACGCATGCCAGTGCCAGTCCGGCTCCGCTTCCGGGCGGAGGTCGGGGGTTGAGCCGACTTGGGAGACCTCATAGGCTTCGATGGGGTCTGCTGCTGGACTTGTTGCTGAGCCTGCACGGCAGGACTACGACGGCGGTCGCCGAGAGCAGCCCACTTGTCGGCAGCGGAGCGCTTGTTGGCCGGCGCAGGGGTGCGATGCTCCTCAAAAACGAATCCAGTTGCAGCGCTGACATGGTCGACCGCATTGCGAATGCTCTTGGGGGAGCGATCCCTGCTGTTGTGAACGGTGGCAGGGTTCTTGACCTCCGACAAACCGCCGCGAGGGGTCGACACACCTGACCCGGCTTCAGAAACAACAGCCTTGGCCTTGGACGACTTCTGAGCTCCAAAGGAGTGGCAGTTGTTCTCAAGCTCGGCAAGGAACTGTGCGTCATCGTCATCGTCCTCCCAAAGGTCACTCCAGCTCTTTGAGAACACGTCACGCTTCTTACCGAAGACGGAAGACATGCTGTTGAAAGCCTTGGCAGGGAGTGAGCCAGAGATAGGAACGGGCCGAGATCGGGTAAAGTTCATCGACTTTGGCTCGCTGACGTCAACCGACTTGAAAGATAAGCCTAATCCAGAGTCCACAAAAGATACGGCAGACGCGGTATCTGGCTTGACGTCGTAAGGAGGACCACCGAACATCTCATCCTCGTAGATCTCGTCGTCGGGAATGGCTGAGAGCTGACGGAACTGCTGAGGTGGAGACATTGCCAAGGCCTTCGCCCATGGAAATGATCCACCGTTATCGAGCTGAGGTGTTGAGATGGAAGGTGTACGGAGTGGTTCGCGGTTGGCTCCAACAGCGACAACGTCACGCTCCTCAGTGCAGAAGTCATCGAGGCTCTCGTCATCGGTGGTGAAGCTGATGACGCGGTCGAGAGCGTCCTTGACAGCGTTGAGGTCACGCTTCTCGGGGTCGATGGCCAAGCACTGTCGGATGACCTCGAAGGTGTCCTGCGACATGTTGGGGAAGACATCGAAGAGACTCTGACGGTCGAGAGCGAAGTCGGCGTACAGAGGATCCGAAGAAGCAGGTACAGCGAAGGGGTTGCGCTGAAAGAGAATGTTGAGAAGAACGATGCCAATAGACCAGATGTCTGCCTTGGCGGTAGAGTAGCCAGTGTTGCCAGGATCGTACTGCTCGGGAGCCATGTAGCGGTCGCTGCCTACGGCAATCTCGTAGGACCAAGTGTCGGAAGTGGCGAGACCAAAGTCACCAAGCTTCATCGAGCCATCTTGAGTAAGGAAGATGTTCTCGGGCTTGATGTCGCGGTGGTAGATACCCTTGGAATGGATAAACTCGACAGCACCGACAAGCTGCATCATGAAGTCTCGCACGTGCTCAGTCTCGAGAGGACCCTTGCCAACACGAATGGCCTCGTACAGATCGCCATTGGAGCAGAACTCGAGGACCAGGTAGATGTGGTTCTGGGTCTCAAAAGACTGAAGCATGTTGACAACGTTGGAGTGCTCACCAAGGTGGAGGTGAACGCCAAGCTCCTCGGAGCGCTCATCAACAGCGAAAGCAGAAGGGCAGTTGATGGCGGCGGAGCTCTTGGTGATGACCTTGATGGCAACGTTGTCGCCGGTTACAAGGTCCTTGGCCTGGAAGACCATGCCGAAGGAGCCATTGTTGAGAGGGGAGATTGTCTCGTATCGTCCATTGAGCACAACGCCGTCGTGAAGCTGATCGCGCATGCACTCCATTAGGAAGGTGTGTAGTGGAGATGGAGGTGGCTTAAAAGTGAAGCCGGACAAACAAAGGAACAGGAAAGCTCGATATGCGAATCAAACAATGGGCAGACAGCCGGAAGCCCAAAAGCGATGCTCTATCAGACTTTTGGTGACACGGAGTCTTGGGAAGATATCAATAAATGGTTGTAAAGGTGGCCGATGGTTGTTGGATAGTTTGGACCGGAATATGTCGTGAAGCAACAGCGATGGCTGTCGAAGAAACGGAAAGCAAAGTCGTCGGTGATATATGCACAGGAGTCCGTCGACGGAAACAGCAAGGAAATGCTCAAGAGAGTGTGGTTCTCATTTGTCGGTATTAATTGCGTATGGATGGCTCGAGTCAACGAACAATCGGATGTGAGAGAGGAGGGATGGAGTCGTCGACGTCCAGAAAGTAAGAGGTATCGCTGCGTAAAAGAGAAGAGAGTCGTAACACGTGGAAGTGGAGGGTGTCGTCGGTAGGCAGACAGTAGGGGGGTGTCTGGATGACGCGATTGACGGCGTGAGTCAGGTGGCACGGGCTCACGCGGAAGGCAGCTAGCTTGTCGACGAAGAGGGTCTCGAAGATGCCAGTTGTTGTGTTGGCTAAGACGGATTCGGTCGATAGAGCATCAAACGTCTGCGTGAGCAAGCTATTGCGGCGCAGATGGTCTGGCTGAAGTGAGGTGAGGAATGAGGACGAGTGGGTACTCGGGCTAGCTGTCGGGCGGATATCGGGATGGCCAGCAGCGAGCTCTCAGTATCACATCAAATCAGGACGCGGCAACGGCAGCTATGTGATGGAGTATATGAGTGTATAGCGTGGTTGTCGTGTGGTGGTGGTGGAGGGCCAGGAGTCGGAGGTCGGAGAGAGGGCGGAAGGCGGAAGGGATGATGTTGTTGACGTTGTTGACGTCTGAGCTGCGAGCAGTTGCGGGCTGCGGAAGAAGGAACGATGGTGAGGCGGTGGTAATTAAGGCAGCAGCGGATGTTATGATGAGGATGGTGATGAGGAAGCAACGCTAGAGCTTGCGAACAACGACGAGAGCAAAGTGGGTACGTGTTATGGAGGCATCGGGGGTGAGTGAGGTGATAGCGGGCAAAAGACGGCCATGCTGGGTATTAGAGGGCACACCTGGGCAGCGCCAGGAGCTGAGCCCTCGGGACCCGCTCACAGCAAAGCGGCGGTGACCAGACAGGGGTGCGGCATCGGGCCTAGCGCCAGTTGACTAGCTAGGAAGCTACGTGGCTTGCATCGTAAAGCAGCACTACTCGGCCGGCCAATCGTGTGCGTTGCTCGTCTGCCAACTTTCCATGCCCTTCGACGGCTTTCCACCATACTCGTCACTGTCTTGACCTGCTCCCCCAGCCTTTGTCCCTGCTTTGGCAGCAGCAGCGGGTCTCTCGGCATCGCATCATCGCCTTTGCATCACTCATTGCGGGTAACCCCACCTGTCGGCCTTCTGACGGCCACTGTGCTGGCGGACGAATGCTCAGAAATTAGCTATGACGAGCGCTGAAACATCGTCCTTGCTTCACAAAGACGGACGGCGGACAAGGCGCGCATCCAGACCACGACCAACCTGACTACTTGTCGTACGCCAATGCTGGCCTAGCCCCAAGCGCCGCCGTGCTGATCGTAGCCCATCGCAATGTAGCACACAGCTGCCACCTGGCCTGTAATTGGACTCGACCACCCTCCATGCCCTGCCCCAACCAGACTGTTATCTCTTGTTTCGTGATGCTTGCCACTTTATCTGCAGCTATCTTTGCATGAGCCTTGCGGTACTCTGCCGACTACAGAGTCGCTGCTGTCGTGTGCTCTTGTGTAGCCAGTTGTGCCATCCAGGGGCTGGATCTACGCCCCAATACAGCATGACAAGTGTTTCGTGTGCTAGCGGCGAGGCCATTTGGTACACTATTCGGCTGACTATTGACCCTCGACTTCGGCCTCACAGGGTCGGGCGGGTCGCGGCAAACATTAGAAATCCGGGGAAAGCTTGCGCTGCCTTGTGTTGTGACTGTCTGCGCCCATTGCTGTGCCGCACATCAGCGCCGCAAGCATCGCGCGGCTTCAGTCATCGCAGTCGCTACAACGCGCGCTTTAGATGAGACAAAACATATGCATGCCTCGCGGCTCATTCAACCAGCGCATGTTATCGCGATCCTTCCTCGTCCTTCTGTTTGTTGTCTTTGGGGCTGCCCAGATTCCCGAGTAAGCTTCCCACTGCACTCTAAAGGAGGACACGCAGTAGCTTGCAGCAAACTTGCAGCGTCCTGCATCCATAGCCACCCAGAGGGCGTGTTGGACAGGCACTCGACGGGCTACTGCAGGTAACATGCACCGGGCCATTTCTTTGTATCCACTCGCTGTGCCTGTCCCTGGGCTACCCTGGAGCGGTGTAGAGCAACAGCGACAACACATTCTATACCAGCGAATAGTATATCCAACTTTTCTTGCGTTGGGCGGATTTTTGGCACGTTGAGCCGACCTGATCTCCATGACAGGCGGAGTGCAAGTGGGGGCCTGCGGAAGCTATCTGGAAATCTTGCGACATCGAGCATCAACACGCTCGAGTTAGCCAGGAACACCCGTCCATCTCACCATGGTCGACCGCACATACTCCCGAATACACGTGAAGAGTGTGGATATTCTGGGGCTCGTATGACGGTGTGCGCCTCAACGACCAGCCTCATCTGCGATTGTTGCAAGGAAGTCAAGCCAGTCGTTGGGGAAAAGTCATCGTGACTGTACGCATGGCTTCAACCTCCGATGCCCGATGACTCCTAGAAAATTTTCTTCTTGACAGCACGTTCACGGCTGTCAGGCCTCATCTGGCAGTCGCCCTCTAGTCCTCCGGAACCTGTTTACAATTCGCAATAGTCCACAACTTGCCGTGGTAACACATCTCACCGCCATGTTTTGATGTTCCCATCTCAAGCCTTGCACCACTTAGCTCCCAGCCCAGGCACACAAAACTGCAGTTCGCAGAATAGAGGCGCTACAGCAGAGATTTCCCCCCTCACCGCTGTTCACCGCCCTGTACTCAACAACAACAAGGAAAACAATGTCTACCGCGTCCCTCGATGACGCGCGCTGGAAGCAAGCAGAGGTAGTGTTGCTCGATATTGGTAAGTCGCATCGCTTGCTTCTCGGGCCCCGCATGGAACGACTGCGCCAGACTGCAGCCAGCCTCCACCAACCTCGTGAGGCATGCGTCTAGTCAGCAACTTTCCGATAGCCAGCGACAAAGAACCTTGCGCTCGCCTGCCATCCCATAATGTCTGTGTTGCTGCGCTCCCGGGCGCTACCCCAGGTTTTGCTTGCGCCACTACAACTTCAGCCGCCTTGTCCAACTCCAACGCGCGTGCTGACATGAATTTCTAGAGGGCACTATTTCGAGCATCTCATTCGTCAAGGATGTCATGGTAAGCTTTTCCAACCTCGAATGTCATTTCCCTCGCGCGTCCACTTTCCTCTACTGTTCGTCTCGAGGCGCATCTTCCCCGCATCCGTCGAATGATCAACACCACCAAACATCCGTCGAGAATCACGCCGGCCCGCCCTCCCATGCCATTCTGGTGTCACAGTAACTGTCACTCGGCAAATGGAGCAAAGCCACTCGTCGCCTCCATTTCTCGCCTCCCCTGTTCTAGATTGCATTACCGGTGCTGCACCTGCCACTCCAACGATGATCCAACTTCCGTCATCTGTCACGCGACGCCTGGCCTGTGGGGTGCGGTTTTCCCCTTTTGCGCTGTCTTGCTCACAATAGCCGCAGTATCCGTACGCACTAGATAGTCTCACACGACTAGCACGTAATTTGTGGAGCGATGCCGGCTTCCAAAACCTCATTGCGTCGTTCCCAGAGGACAGCAGAACAAGTGCCGATGCGCTGATCGCACATGTGGAAGACCTTACGCGGCGCGATATCAAGGCTGTGTACTTGAAGCAACTACAAGGTGGGTTAAACAAATGAGTTTGTTTCATCGAGGTCAATGTGCCGGGATTGCATCTTGTGCCAAATCACTGCCAACACCAAGCGCCGACACCGCGCCGCTCTAAAGTCGGCTAGCGGGATCGATGGTGGGTTGTTGATTCGATCGGCCAGTCACCACCGGGAGTATTATCGCGATAGTCGCCGCTCTGTTGCAGCGACGCGTAGTGGTGCCAAACCCTCTCCTTGTCAGCTCGACGCCGCTCCAAGAACGATTTTGTCTATCGCACCGCAAGCGTACGGATCTGCTCATCCTAAACGCTACTTGCGTGCTAGAACCATCACGTTCATATGCACATTGCCCTTATCATATCATTGGCATTCAATCAATACTGTGGGCTTCGCCGAAACTAACAACGTGTCGCAGGCACTCTATGGACAACCGGCTTCCGCAACGGTGATCTGAAGACCCCGCTCTTCGACGACGTCGTGCCTACACTCGAGCAATGGAAAACTACTCAGGGCAAAACACTGGCCATCTTCTCCTCAGGCAGTGTGGCAGCACAGCTGCAGTTCTTCTCCTACGTCAGAGACGGTCCGAATGAAACTCGGGACATTAAACCCTTGTTCTCTGCGCACTACGATACCGTGAACGCGGGGCCTAAGCTGGAAAAGGAGTCTTATGAAAAGATATGCTCTGAGTTGGCAAAGGACGTGAGCAAAGTCACATTCTTGACTGACAATATCAAAGGTACGTTTTGGGGGGAGGGTTTTTTGTCACGCCTTACTTTGAATTTGTGAAACAACACACCACCTGCTCTCACCGCCCTAGACCCCACCCCACCTCTTGTCTCGCACTTACTTCTGTCTACCTACCAACACATACCACCATAGTGTGACTTCACCTACATACCCCACATATGTCTTTCATCGTCATGCCGCATATCTCGTCTCTCGTTTAATCCGCTTGTATGCCGGCTGTCTTGTACATGTTCCACGTATCTTCCTGTCACGCGACCCCACCATACGAGTACCCGCAGGTGTTTCATATCCTCACTGCACGTGGCTAGCTCGAAGACGTCTGCAGTACAGCGATACAGTGACTAACACGTCTGAATAGAGGCTGAAGCAGCCACGGCAGCGGGCGTCTATGCTGTGGTCGTGGACAGACCGGGTAATGCGCCGCTGTCGGATGAATCGAGGAAGAGGTTTGCTGTGATCGAGAGGTTGACTGACTTGCCGTAAGTCTTTTTTCTTTTCTTTTCCGAAGCGCTGTAAGCAGTGGAAATAGAGTAGGGAGATGTCGGTGGAGACAGTTGCTGTTCTACTGTTTGTTGGAGTATTATGGGTCAACCTTGAGAGAGATGAGTATTAGATGCGCAATCACAATACTACATTCTTGTATTCCTTCGGATGATGTTCCAGTTGAAACGGTCATTTGTCCTCGTCATTATATTTGCGGGTCTTCAGAAAATACATGGAAAGGTAATTGTATAAGGACGCAATTTTGTCGACTAGAAAAAGAAGCGTTCGGTCTGAAAACGCAGATTCCTCTTACATTATCGTCGGTCGACTGCGAGATCTAACTACATCTCAAAAACTCCACGGCCCCCCAAATCATCAAAAGACTTTCTCTCTTGACTGACCTCTAGTAGCCTGGCCTGGCCTGGCCTGGGGATTGTGTGAAGATAGGAGGATATCGAGGCTCAAGTAGAATTTCAATCTGCATAGGAAGTCCATCACGGCAAGTCGTAGGGAAAAAAACATACGGCAGCTGTAACAAACACCATTTCAAACCGATGGACGGGTGAATGGGCGGGAGATTAACACCAAACAAATCCTGGATCGGTGCTCCCGCCGATGAATGGGGGGAAAGGGGAGCTGAGAACCAAGCTTATCTAGTGCTTACAACTCCCCCAGCCATCGAGATTATGGCAGTTCTTCGGTCCTTTCTTCCTCTTTCTTAGTTCTCCGTTCAGTTGGCGGCCCCCAGGCGTTCGTCTCGTCTCGTCTCGTTTCGTTTCGTTCGTTGGGTAAAGTTTCCTCAGTATCGGAACCGCAAGCAAGCAAGCAAGCAAGCATTTCATGTTCTAGATCTCGATTTCGGAGTGTACTTTTGCCGCGAGTCAGATATGTATAGATATAACACATGTTTTCGTGCGAGTTAAAGTTTCCTAGACGCCGGAAATAGCAATATTGGATACCCAAGTTATCCGTTTCACAATCTTGTCTGTTGGGAATATTTGTGGTATTGCAGAATGCGATTAAAGCAGCGAGAATGCGTGGGTTACGTAGAAGTGGCGTGACGGAGAACGTTCGTTTGTCGTGCTGTCTCTTGACAATATTGCGCGAGATTGCGTTACTTCGTCAACCGTTGACGTATACGTTGTGTGTTGGTCATATGTCTATACGCTATCTTGGTACGCAGACATTTGACTCGAAGAGACTTGGATCTGATCTCGCTTTTCGTAGTAGTCGTTACTTTCGCCCCGGGGTTGTCCCTCTTTTTCATCATACTGTCAAAAAACCGAACGAGAATCGCGTACTGAATCGTCTCGTTTCGTGTCAATCTCGGGATGATGTTGGTTTCGGTCTGTAGAAAAGGAGGTCTTGTCCGTATGGCCCCAAAGTCGACACCATCTCAGCACTCTCATCGCCATCTTCATGCCCATTCATCTCCCTCCTTTTTTTTCTTCTCCCAACTAAACAGCATCACCAGCAACCCTCTGAACCCAGACCACCGTCTCCTCAACCCGACTCAAAAACGGACTATGTCCACTCTTCAGCCTCGTGACCTCGATCTCTCCAGCCGCCTCTCTCACCCCATTAACCATGCCTTCCTGAACCTGCGGCGGAACACACTCATCGTCTTCGCATAATAGGTAGCTAGTCGGTATCTCCTTCCAAGCCGCACCCGTAGCAGGCGCATAGAACGAAGCTACAGCCTGTGACTTGATTTGCTCGAACCAGTATTGTCCCTCGTCCTCGGGCAGGTCACCATAGAAGATCTTTGCAACTTTTGCATAAACATATGGCTCCTGGACGTCCACCCACTCGGGAATAAAGTGGTGAATGGCATCCTGCAAACAGATCCCCTCGTCCAGAATATACGCTGCCATATACCCCGTTCTCATCACTCCACCGCTAAGCCCTTGTGCTTTCCGCTCTTTCTTGCCTAGCCCGACTAACGCACACCCGGAGATGATACCACCCCAACTGTGTGCTAGGACGACGACGTCGTTTCCTGAATCGCCAATGGCGTTGAGTACGAGTGCGCGGACAATGGCGATGTCTTCTGTGAGGTCGGCTGGGGGGTCGGGATTGCCAACGGATGCTAGCTGAGCGGAGTGCGTTGTGTAACCTAGAGCGCGTAGTTTGGTGATTAGGGGGTTAAAGTGGGAGGGTGTGTGCCAGGCGCCTGGAATAAGTACGAGTTCAGGCTTCTTAGACATGGTGCGGACGGGTGGGAGTATTGCTGTGAGAGTGAGAGGTGGGATGTGTAAGGTATGTCGGTCGAGGAGAGATGCATGAGCCGTACTCGATGATTTTCGTAGGAGGATTGTTGGTTGTCTTGAAACTTATAACGGGTGACTGGTCTGAGCGTTGGTCCACTCGTATCTCCCCGTGACTGATCGAACCTTTTCAGATAGGGTATGCGCAGTTCAAGCTCAACATTGCCTGGATGGTTACTGTGAGTTGGGAAGGAGGCAAGCGGTCAGTAATTACTAAGCATGGTGTTGTGGGAGCCAGTCAGCATAGCGACTACGATGTCGTGCTGGACGCCTAGATACGCCCGGGCTGACATGGCCTTGACGTGTATGTTGGAGGCATAGCGCTTACGTGTCCTCACCGTATTGTTGTCGAGTTCGAATCAAAATCTAGGCGGAGCAGACGACGGTAAGACGTGATTGTGAAGGTGAGTACAGTCAGAGTCATGGCTTTGTGCTGCCGGGTACTACAGCAATCTTCCCAATCTTCCCCACAAGGGCTGAGCATGTGTTTCCCGGGACGCTGCCCTCAATTTTATCCTCGAAATCCATATACCTTCCAACGGATGGCATGTTTCTGCTAGCAGAGGTTGTGTCCACATGTCTTTATTTCCGATTCCTCCATGAAACTGGTGTTGACCGTCGCCATGCGGCATGGCATGAATGGCGTCATGATATCAGAAAAGCTGGCGCTGGTCTTGACAGACGAAAGCTGAAAGCGTCGAGCTGGATGCTCCATTGAGGACACTGTTGGGTCTCCATGGCTCAATCTTCTCCCTTGGTCCTCACATAGGATGTGCTTCGGTCGTTGATGCTCGGCTGGTTGTAGTATGGATATCTGCACGTGCGTGCACGATGATCGGTTCGTCACATGGTGTAAATTGGCTGGTTCATTGCGTAGTTCTCGTTCGTTTACGTCCCGTAAGAATACTTCCACTGAGGTCGATATCGGATTGTTGGAGTTCCAAGGTCTTGATCGAAATTGATAGTGTGGAGTGGGGCGGACATGAACTAAAGCGTTAGCGAGGGGTGGTATTCACGATGAGCCTACAGCCAATCACGACTCGCAAACGCCAGGGGTCACTGGAAGGGTATCCTTGTCCACCCAATAGGGGAAAAAGTCACGGTAGGACTAAATGCAATGCATGTGTAGAGTTGTACACGAAAAGCTGAAGCTTGGGTATTGTTGTACGTCTGTCGCCGTCCCCAGGCGATGTTTGCGCCTCCAACGCCGACAGTACCCAGAGTCACGCCCCTGGATACAAACTGAAAGCACCGACTCGCTGCATGCATACCCCTAGAAGAATCTCCACCAGATGAAGACGATGATTATGAAAGCCAACCCGCCAATGGGTCCGTACTGCGCGTTGTTAGCATTCCACAATCTTGACGTGTTCGTATTGCTGTCCACGACTGACCTGTTTTAGCAACAGCTCCCAATTGATGCGCACAGCAGCCTTCTTGTACTTCCTACTATCTTCGCGCAACCGACTCGAAATATCACCCATCCTCTCCAGACTGTCCCCACGGTACAGCAGATCCTCAATGTTCTTGGTCATGACCTTTGTGACGTCCTTGAGCTCATCGTTCAGCTTGTCTAGATTCTGTGTCGCTCTCGCGTCTTGATATGTCTTCTTTGAGCGCTGGATAAAGGTGTCGAACTCGACAAAGGCGTAGGGCCGGCATGTTGGCGAGAGGTACTGATGCGGTTGGTATGTAGTGGTGAATTCGCGGTGGAGATCGGAGAGGTATGTGAAGGCGAGTTTGCGCGGGTAGGACCTGTCGCATATGCAGAGGAAGCAAAGGTCGCCTTCGATTATGTAGTGATATGTGTAGTTTCCGCTCTCTATGCTCGCTTGTTGCTCAGCGTTACGGCTCAGACGGCGCTGGACAAGCTTGACTTTGGCCTTGACCTCATTGAACTCTGCGTCGTTCTGGGAATTGTAAGTTTCTTGAAACAGAATACGCGCATTCTTGGAGGCGGCAGTACCTGTTCATCGTCGACTGAGGCTGTGAGTAGTAGGCCTGGACCTCTGTCAGCGCTTCTGGACCCTAGAATACTGCAGAGTTACTGACCATCAAGCCGGGATATCATCGTGTGCTTGATCATGGTGGCGCTTGTGGGGGTAAAACAATGCCCGATAGTTGTAGAGTATCGCCGGTTTGGGCCAGTGTTATCAACTTAGGCCTGCAGTCGTGGGATTGCGCAGGAAAGGCTACGTGTTGGTGTTGATGATACCAGATCGCAGAAGATGACGATGCGGAAAGGGTCGCGGAAGAGCGCACGGACTCACCAACCCCATTCACACAGCGACCAAGCATGCCGTGACCTCCATGGCTCTGACATCCATGATTCTGAATGACTCTCCAATGCGGGTCACGGATCCAAAGAGATAGCACAAGTTGATGTTGGCATCGTCAATACAGAACGTTTGGTACAACCTCAACTCAACGCCCCAGCCACCATGCCGAATCGCGCCACTGCGCTCGCGTACTCTTCTCGCACCTTCACCCCAATCATTGAGGGGCGGGCGCACTTTCAGCCCTGATGCAAGCAGCTCGCTGTCCTCGGACTTGCGCCTGCCATTCACCAAAATCCAATCGTACGCGCTAGCGACCCTTTCTGAGACGGTACCTGCTCAAGTCCAACACCAAGCCTCTCTATCTGAACCGAATCACAATCATGTCGTTACCGGTGAGGTATGTACCGTTTCTTCACAATGTCCTGAACCGTCTCTTCCAATCCCTAATACAACCTTCACTTTCACTACCCCCACAATCGAAGACCCAGCAACATTTGGCAGCCTGAATTTCGTCTCTCCTAAACCTAATTAACAAGAACAGACCGTCATCCGCCACTCAACTCGACTCTTCACACGACTCGAAATCAACAACTACTTCACCCATAGAAAACACGTCCGAGTCAGGGCAAGAGCGAACTACTATACCACCAGATCCCGAAATACCAAACAAAAGAGCAAAGATGTCTCATTCCATACCAAACTCATCATCTCTCTCTTCAGCTCCCTCATATCCTTTTGAGCAGACCTCGCCTGTTGCCCCAAATCTGCCAAGCCAGACCGCGGACACTGCCATTCCGAGCATAGAGAACAGCTCGTCCAACATAGCAACCAATGACTTTCTACCTCAGACTCAGCAGGCGCTGGCATCTATGTCTGCGCCTGAATCAATGACCGCGTCAACATCCAACATGGGCGCTAAACGCGCACCCAAGCAGAGCCCAAAGCGAGCACGCGAAGAGGAGGATGACGAAGAAGAAGAAGAAGAGGCCTTCGGCACACCACCACCCAAGAGACCAGCCAAGAAGGCAAAGAGACCAGCAAGCAGCAAGACCGCTACAAAGAAACCGGCAAAGCTGAAGAATACCCCCGCGCAGAAGCCTACAGCCGCACCACCACTACTACCCAGCTCGCGCCCATCACGAACCCGCAGAGCACCAGAGCGCTTCGAGGATCTTGAGGAGAAGACTACTTCCAAAGCTCTTCCTGCCAAAAAGGGGGCCAGTAAGGTTTTTGATCCTGTCTATATAACCACCAATTCCTCCAGCCGCCTCGTCAAAGCCGATGTTTACGTAAGTCTGCCCTCAATCTGTCATCACCTCACACAACATATCTCTGACACATCCCAGCACATGCTTCTTGAAAGACCGGCCTGGAACTCTCTTACCGCATCCCAACAATCCACTCTCATCTCCATGCTCCCCGAATCTCCCGACAACGTCAACCTCCTCGCCAAAATCTCTGCTGGAGAAACGGTAGATACGCGACCAGCAGCGTTTACACTAGCAAACAACTGCTTCCGGACAGACGTCGCCAAGTTCCAGGAGGATCTCAAGAATGGTCATTTGGCGAAGACGTGGCAAGCTGCTGCTGAGCAGGCGGTTGTGGAGAGGGCGGCGGGGGAGTATGATGGGTGGAAGGCGGAGGAGGCGGAGGCTTGGTGGGGGCAGAAGGGGATGTGAGGTTACTCATGTCAAATCGGTGGGCAAAGTCGAGCCTCGGCTACTATGGAAAGCTGACTATCTTCTCAAGTAAATGTCGTCTGCACGAGGAAACTATGGAAGACGATAGGTGTCGCGTTGCTGAAGGCTCGGGTTTGAGTAAAGCGAGCGCATGCTAGCAGCGTACTGCAGTACGTCTTCCGTTTTGCCTCCTTCGGTAACCTCTTTTGATGAGTCTGCAATCACACATATGTTCTCCCGGCATCCTTGAAAGTCGGGGAAGTCGTACTTGGCTCAGCTGCTCTACATCATTACGGTGCTAGGGGATGAAATGAAATGAACTTGTAGGGGGATTTCTCAAAAGATTCACACCATTTGCTATTGTCCATTCACGAGACGCAGCGGAAGCTGCGTCAATCAACAGAGTCGGTGCACACTTGTTTCTGAATGCCCTATTTCAACTCCAAACTCCAATTCCCAACTTTCGCCTTCCATAATCCAGTTTCTCCTAGGCAATCAACATCGGCTCACTCTTCTACACTCAAATACCAATTCACCTGGACGGTCACACATTCAACAGCGGCATCTTTACCTAATTCGGTATCTCTAACAGGAACTATGACCTCTAGATTCCGGCTAATGGACCTTCCGGGGGAGCTGTTTGACAATGTCATTGCGCATTACGTACACAGTGTTCCCGTTCATGATGCCTCGGCTACTCGGGCAGTCTCCAGTAAGTTAATCCGAGAAACACAGTTATTGTTTGCTAATACCTTGTAGGGGCATTTGACCAAGCTATAAGCTACCAGATGATCGCAAATCTATCGCAAGACGGCATGAAGGTCTCACCACTCCGCGCGTGTCCGGCCTCCAGAACCACCAAGCCCTCTACTCACGACAAACGTTCACTCCGAATCATCGCCCGTATACATTACGATCTTCACACCATCATTGGCCGCCCCTAGCGCGTGAGCTCATTGGACGACCTGCGCGTTAGAGATGACACGCGCAGAGGCCGATTTTGTGGGGCTTCCTAGACGGCAATTGGCTGTCTAAGTACCCTCAGCTTATACCCTACCGGCTCGAGATGAAAGCCACCCCAACCTCTAAAATCACGCCATCAAGATACGGTACTTGCGATACATCGAGATGGCTGCAGTGCAGTGCCTCGGATGTTTCTGAAATTGTAAATCATTATCATTCCACAGCTTTCGGATTCTGGAGAGAGGGTTTTCGTGGTGGTTTCCAAGCTATCCTGACCATCATAAGAACTATACCAAGGAAAAGAATCTAGGCGATGTCACATGACCGGTCTGACGGGCGACACGCCTCCTGGATGTTGGAAGATGCATGATGCAGCTGGATAAGCGCCACCGTCGTTTTGCAGCAAGTCGGAGAAGATGCAGCGCTGAATAGATAAGACCATACTGGAATGACCTCGCAATCTGCACCTGCCGGACTAGAACGTACACCCATAGGAGCGTGTTTTGGTGATGGACATATAGACTTACCGGAAGTGAAATGGGTGGTCTCAATGTTCCGTTGTGTCAGTGGCTGCTAAAACAAAAATGCCTTGCCGGAAATGGTTAACCACCAAGCATCTCTGGCGTCAGCCTTCCAACACGTTTCAACAGTTCAAGATCTCCCCCATACCCTTGAGGTCAGCGATTCCTCCAAGTTTCGAGGCAAACGTTTTAAGGCAAATGTACTTCAGCCTCGCTATGATATGTCGACGTGGTGCTGGTATGCTAAGACAAATCAGACCTCACGTCGGAAGCACATGCTTCACATAACACGGCTGAGCACTGCACCAGTCACATCTGGCGTTCAGCCCGACCACTACGCACCTGGATACTTACTGCAGCTCTCCATCACGACGCCCTGATCCGTATTATCGCCCGCTTGGCGACAACAGAAATGCGTTTTGGTAGGCCTACCTGTCTCCTTATCTCTTGCTCAGAAGTCCTTGGGAACGTCTAAAGTTTTCCCGAATGAAATGTTCATGACGCTCATGGACGATGAAGTATAGATCGCTAAACATACAAGCAGATGAGCTTCGTCTTATCTCCATCCTATCTCGCTCACCCTCAGCCTCGCTCCGCCAAGACAACGACGATTTGGTGGCTTGCACGCTAGATCATTACTCACTGATCAGAGCATCAGGGAAAGCATTATTGCCGACAAGAGACGCAGAGATTTCACTGGACTGGACGTCAGAACATCAGCGTGATGAAGAAAGACAACGCCGCCGCAAGGACTCTGGCTCGTCATTTGGAAGCACAGGAAGTGAAGAGGTCATCAGTCATAAGGCGCCCATTGGTGAACATAACATAGCATCCCAAGACTTTGAAAACCACCGCTCGATTGGTGGCAGGTTCGAATGGGGAGATTACGTCGCTCTATCTTACACTTGGGGCAATCCAGCGGATAAGAAGAAGATCATCCTCAATGGCGAAATCGTCCTAGTGCAAGCAAACCTTGAAGCTGCTCTACGTGCGCTACAACGAAAAGAACCGATGAGGTCTGGATACAAGATCTGGATAGATGCGTTGTGTATAAACCAGGGGGATCTTGGCGAGCGAAGTCGCGAAGTACGTCGAATGCGGCTGATCTACAAGATGGCTGCTGATGTCGTGATATGGCTTGGGAGTGAAGCCGAGGAAAGCGACAAAGCCATGGATCTGATCCGCATTCTGTCCGATTCATGTAAAGACGGCACCGACAAAGCGCTAGGGGTCAAGCTGCGACGAGACCCTGGATACCTCGAGCCGGGTGCTTGGCTCGCTCTCAGTTGTCTGCTTGAACGCTCATACTGGAACCGCATGTGGATTATTCAGGAACTATGTTTGGGTGGCGCCAACGCTCCAATTCTTTGTGGATACAAGAGCGTGACCTGGAAAGAATTCTTTACCGGTATCTACACTTTTGGGAAATACAACGTCGATGTCATCTTCAACTGCATCGATCGCGAAAGAGCATTGGTCGGTAAGAAGCCCTTCGGCCTAAATAGGAACAAGATCATCCACATTGATATGGAACATGAACGACAAATCGGAGCTGGGAAAACACAGTACATGTGCCTTTTGGATATAGCCAGGAAGTCAGATGCGTCAGACCTGAAGGACAAGGTTTACGGAATACTCGGCCTCATGCCTGGTCCAGTGACCTCATTGATCGATCTGGATTACGCTCGCTCCATTGAGAAGGTGTACACTGAGTTCGCTAGGAACTACATCACGGGAAGTAAGTAGAGATACATGCATCAGGCACCAAGACATCACTAACTGGAGATTAGCACAAAGCCTGGAGATACTGGAGCAGTGCCGATTTAGGGACACGAATCTGCCATCATGGGTTCCTGATTGGAGAAACAAGGAGCACTATCGCCTTTTCAGCGGCACACACTCCACCTACCATGCGAGTGGTACCTCGGTCGCTTCGTATCGTTTCAGTGACGATGGCAGGATATTGTACGCAGATGGCGTCATGCTTGACAAAGTTGACGGCTTAGGATGTGCGTACCTGGAATACGGTACCAGTACGGAGCAACCAGACTGTGTCGTCCCTTCCAACAATGCATTGAATGTCTATGGGTCTGATGGGTCGATGCGCGATGCACTCTGGCGAACTCTAACGGGAAATCGTACTCCAAACGGTCGTCCGGCCCCAGATACCTACGCCGAGATACTGGACTTGCCACTAAGGGAGAGCTATTCCAACCCGTTACCATCACGAGGAGCTAGAGCATTCAGTCGATTCCTGACCCAGAGTGCTTCCCTTTCGGTCGCCAGTAAGAGGCTCGATAGTTATTTCGTGAATCCATCGGATATATTCCCAAAGACAGGTATCGATGCAGTCGAGCGTGTGTGGAGGTTTACGAGAACGCACCGCATGATGACCACATGCAAGGGCAGAGTGGGGATGGTACCACGTGAGGCACGCAAAGGCGATCTTGTTTGCGTACTGTCTGGTCTGGATGTGCCCGTTCTGCTTAGGCCTGGAGAGAACCGAACAGAGCCACTTGTGCTTGTTGGTAGTGGTTATGTGCATGGCATCATGGATGGCGAAGCGATTCAGTGGATGCGAGATGGTCTTTGTGAGTCGGAAACATTCTCTCTCCGATGAGGTGATTCTTTCTCTCTGATATCCCCCATTTCTTGTTGATCGCAGCCAGATGGGATGGAAGAATAGCCAAACTGTAACATACTCAAGTTGAATCCGCTCGCTGCCCCTAGGGAAAAGGATGGCTTTACGATTCCAAGATATCGAACTCTAAATGACCCCCTAAGCACTACTAGACTAGCAACATACGTACTTTACATGGGTCTCTCGTCTTCCTTTCATCTATATTCTCTCTATCGCAGCAGATCCTGCGCCTTCCCATATAGAAGGAAGTTTCAGTAGTAGTTGTAATACAAGTCCTAGAGTTTGTGACCGATCCGTACACACGATAGCCCGCTCCTCAGCACTTAAGCAGAGGTCTCTTCGCCGCTGCGATGTGCTTCGTCTTATGAGCTTAATAATCTATTCTCTTTCGTGCACATAGGCCTATTATTGGATGCAGTTGCTGATTATTGCAATGATGTCGAAGTGCGATAATAGTAGACCTGGGAATTTAATGTAGTATTCCGAATATATGCCATTAGAGCAAAATAACATCGATAGTAGAGAGCAGATAACATACCGAGTGAAGTGTTGTTGTGAGATTATGATTCAACTGCTTTTCTTCTTTGTCCGCAAAGTCAGGATAATAGATCCATTTTGACCTTAAGAATTGTTCCAACCCATATGTTAGTATATATATATATCCAGATCACTTTTGACAATCTTCAGCAGGGTTCGATTGTTCCGGTGGCAAATATCACAATTTGAAAGGATGTAGCGCTTGTAACAGCCATTCCACGTCTAATACTACAGCTAGTCCTTAGACGAGATACTACTTATACCACAGAACGTCGGGTCACGAAGCACATATGCATTATTGTTGGAGGCTTTGGCTTCTGGAATGCGAGGTCTAGAGGTAGATAAGAATCGAGGGAAGATGCAGTAAGACCGCGTCCAGCCCTCTTGAAGCGCACGTGGCTAAAAACCTTCAAACTCAAAACGTCCGGTAAAGTGGGAGCATAGAACGTGCCAGATGTCCACTTGGAGCGCACACCTAGGCATGTCGGATCGAATCAAGCCAGCCCATAGTTAAGCGCCTCGCCCAAGAGCCAGGCCGTGCGACATAACAAACTTCAGCTCGACGGAAAGCGCCTCCAACATTAATCGTTAAACATCCCTGGCGTTGTGCATATCTGTCATACATCTAGAGCATCACTGTGAAAGCCAGGTATTTTGCGTGCACCATGCTCTCGGTAATACTCCGTCGTTGTGTTATCACGACCACACATACCTATGTAGCTTTACGACATCAATTTGTTGTTGACTTAGAAGAAAATAGATTTTGCTTCCCCAGATTCGCTCCACATTCCTGCAGATCACTTTTGAGGCCAGCCTGACGATCGCCTCGCCGAGGCTGGGGGAGCCTTGCACACGCTACAAAACTAGATATGCACTAACACGATCTAATGTACCCGCAGGGCAAGTGTATCGATTTGGCTTCTCGCCTCGCGACGCTACCCCTTCTGGCAATCTGACAAGATTATCGAGATGGTCGCTTGCATTCTCCCGCGTTCAAAGACAATGCTCCTCGGAGGACAACTCTATTTCGCCTCCACTACTGCGGGCAGTGGGAAGGTTTCGATCCGTTCCTCTCTGACTGCTGTGATGATTAAACGACGGCGTACCACCTATCAATTCTGCGGATATGAGCAGGTGCAGAGGGGTCGTTCAACTACGACGTTCGACACCCCTGGCCATCATCGATTACAGTTCACACTACCAAAAATCTGTCTTGACCTTCCACTACTTTCAGGACCCTGAATCGCATGTCTAGAACACATGCAGATGCATCAATCTGGCATTGAGCTCCGCAAGGCGAGACCACCCTCGTCCAGCTAGTGAAGTGGGAAGCTGAGCTATACCTGGGGTTCGAACGCCCTTCGACGTAGAGAACTCGACGGCATGGCCGAAGAATGCTCTCTATCGCCTGGACATCTGCAAGCCACAAGGTCTGGAGCAGCATACTCAGCTGGATACTGACCCTGTATCGTGGCCATCTAGACCCGCTTGTAATGAACATAAGATAATCCTCTCTGTCCCCGATTATCTCGGTATCACAACTGTTCATCATCTCTATTCAATACATCATGCTCTTCAATCCTGTCTTGTCCGCACTGTTGATGCTCGGTACGGCTTCTGCACAGGTCAGTACCAAGTCGTTGGTGACTTGCATCACAAAGCAAGGAAGTAAATCTTCAGCGTCGGTGAAGACGGCGTCTAAAGTCCTTACCATCCCTTGGTACGCCTTAAAGGTCACAACATCCACTCCATCCCGCACTACCACGCCCGCTACTTCTACGATCATCGTCTCCACAACGGTGACGTCGAGCACAACCACGACACTTCCGGTTGAGACCGACACAATCACCACTACGTCTACAGAGATCAGCACGGTCCCTGAAATCACAACGGCCACGATCACTTCTGACAGCACTGCCTACACGACAATAACAATTACTGACACCACTACGATTGCTGCCTCTGCCGGCTTCGTTCCGATTGAGTCCAACGTCCCTAACTCGCAAAAGCGCCATGTCGCAGATGATTTGGCTCTAGAGGAGAGACAAGATTCGCGCAAAGCCAAGCTCTACGTTAAAGATGGCAAGCCCGCATTTGATCCACCGCGCTTTCCACAGTCAGTCAACTGTGCTGGCATTGTCGCCGTCATCACAACCAAAGTAGTCACAAAGACTGCAAGCACCACACGTGTAATCACCGCGCCTACACCACTTGCTACTTCTACAACGACGTTTTCAACATCCACTGTCATCACAGAAACGCCACCGCACGCATCAACAACCGTTACCGTCATCACCACTGTCTTGACAACTAGCACTTCAACATATACAGAGACTGCCACAAACGTTGTGAGCGCGACCGTCAGCATTGACATGCCACAAGCGACATACTACGCTGCATGCGCTGAAAACAACTTGATCTCGACTGTCAACGGTGTACCCATCGATGGAGCGTATGAAGGAAACGGACAGTTCTCATATGTAGGAGATACAGCCACCGCTTACGACTGCTGTGTCGTTGGAATCAACACTCCCAACGCTGCTGGAACCTTCTGGTTCACCCAACCTGGGTCTTCTAACTGCTACGTGATGATCCAGAATAGTGGTCAGTGTACTCCAGATACGATAGCAGGTACCCTCTCGTTGAGCAGCTGGAGATCATGGGTCGTCAGCAACGGCTACTGTGGGTATTGGGGATTTCCGACTCAGTAAGGGAGGAAGATGTTTACGGCAGAGATGTTGCCTCACTAGGCGATTGATAATTTCTATTAGTCAGTAGTGTCAAGGAAGCGACTCTCATAAGATAAGACTTAGATGACCTTTCTGCTCCCAGCTCACCTTGTTCTCGTGTCCCCACCTCGTGAGCTGTCGATCGTCAAGAGGTATTACACGAGCAAGGCCTATTACTCCATAAAACTAGCAAACTAACGAGTCACGGCATAGGATTACGATGCCTTCCATAGTCAACGACATTCGAGGAGATATCTAAGCCCAGTTCGTGGCCACGTCGTACGGCTCCAAACCCCCATGCGACATCCTAAACCCCTTCATGGTGTTTCTCTCAAGGGACTGTCCAGCGGCGCCTCGCACATATCTTCCATGACATGCGCCATTTGGAGGGGTTGGTGATAGCCTGGACGATTGACGGTTGGGGTGGCCTGTGAAACGTCTCCTGCTCAAATGAGAAACGGTAAGAAGAGACAAAGTATAGGTCAGTTCTGGAATCGCTGGGCGTCAGCCGGGCTGACAAACGCTGGGACAACTTGCATCGAAACTGAAGCGTTAGAGTAAAGTAATAATAAGTGTTATCGAGTTTAAAGCACTTCTGGCGTGCCGCGTTGCGCACCGTACTGAGGATTGACTACCAATTTCGCTTGACGAGCATGAGACTTAGGGTTAAAAGCTATCAGTTATGATTAGAATATATAGATTAGATATTGAAAGCGAAGTTTCCTCCAACGAGGTTCAGACGTAGAGTAGGGGTTGACTTAATGTTAAGAAGTGGTTATAAAGTTCCAACGCCAAGACCTCAGCAGTACAAATGAGCAGTGCGAGAAACTTAACAAAACTTAATTAAAATGCTATAAATATCTTCAGCTATGCGAACAATGCAAGCATAGGGTATAAGTACTAATATAAAGGGATTTGTTACATAGAAAATGTAGGTTTCCGTAAATAGACTGCGTTGTAGATTTTGTAAGACATCCTAAAGCAACGCTGTAGTTTGCTCAGTGCTGCCTAAGTTGCGGTACCCGTAGCTTCTTCTAATGCGTCCTGCACCTGTGTAGGTAGTATTATTGCCAGATCCAACAACCGCTGCGCGTACTGCTCTTGCGATATCCCTGAGAATGTCCCGCTTTCTAGCCTTGATGTTAACGGTGTCCTTCTTCCGCTTTACCAGCTTCTCTATTTTAGTCTTCATCCTCTGCAAGGGCGTTTCGTCGGGCAGCGCGAAAGATGTCTATAGTAGTTCAAAGAGTTAGCGGGTGTTCGAAATGCAGGAGATGTGTTGAGTTACTTACGGCGCATAAATCAGGATCAATGATCGCTCTCTTCTGAAGTCATTGATTCGTAACGATGGATAGAGTTCTCGCTTGAGGAGAAGTCAAGCGGAGGATTCCAATCAGGCGGAGGCATCCAGTGGCGCGGGGGGGTCCAGTTCAGCGGAGCAGTCCAGTTGGACAGAGGAGTCTAATCGTTCGAAACGTGATTCATCATTTACCCAAGGAGAGTTTTAAGCGTGACGGTCCCATTCAAAACAGTAGCGATTTACAAGATATATTTACCAACATATCCGCCAAATACCTCGGAAGCCCAGTTCGGCAGAGGAAGAATGAACCCTTGGTCGCTTTTATCCACAAATGTGTTGATACTGTCCTCGGGATCGAGGGTAAGTCCTCTGACGACGAGATGAAGACTCGATACCTCCGAGATATCATCCGGTACGCGACTCGAGGGGAAAGTCACGCGACGTATTCACTGGCGATTCACCCGGAATCCTCTGATAATATAGATCGTCCTTCTCAGCGAGTGGCCAATTTGACAAGCGCCGCTGCAGTAGGCAGCCTCGTAGCAGTCAAGCATCTACTGAAAAAGTATGTAAAGAGTTGGCCTTCGTCCGAATATCTCAATTGGAGCCACAAACAGGGTGGTCTCTCTGACCCTATCGGAGCAGCAGCATCTAACGGACATGTTAAAGCCCTGCAGCATCTACTGACTAAACTTCGGCCTTTGGTAAACCAAAAATCTGGACTACCTCGAGGCTCTCCGCAACACGAGCTGCAGCAGTTGAATCGTCGACTCTACTCCATCTTTTGTATGGCCATTCGCTCAAAACACTGTCCGACGATCCAAACCCTTGCAGATTTCGCTCAAAAGTACAAGATGTCTTTCGGCTTCTATTATGACAGCTATAGCCCAGAACAGGGTGACGAATGGATCAAGCATGCTGTCAGGACTGGTTGCGTCAAGACTTTTCAGACTACCCTGTCTGTGATGATGAAAATTAATCCCAAAGCTTACCATTCACTAAAAGATCACTATCTAAAGTCGGCGTTTTGGTACTCTTGCAGGTTCGGTCAGGGAGACGTTCTTCAGTATCTCATTGTCCAAGACCGCGTCTTACTGCAGAAACATGGCAGATATGGTATGAAGTTGGCTGCTAGACACCTCTGCCGGAACATCATCACCATACTCCTCGGAAATGGCGTCTCAATCAATGATGGTAAGCCCGTTCAGGAAGCAATCAAGTACGAAAATATCTCTATAGTTGAGTTCATGATTGCCCACGGCGCAAAGGTGGATGCAAAGGTAGATGCAAAGGTAGATGCAGTAACCTACACTTCTTGTTTGTGTAGTTAAATTAGCGGAGGAGTTACCGTAGTATCTGGACGGCAAAGTAGACTGCTCTACGAGGCTTGTTAATGACGTAGAAGGTAGCGAGTTTTGGAGGAGTAGATTTGAGGCTGTACTTCATGTGTAGACTGCGGAAACTGTTGCCTTTCTTTAGAAAACCTTGGTTCGCTTCCATGTGAAATTTTTCTGCTGCGTATTCGCGGGGTCTTGGCTGCGTGTGCATTTAGCCTGTCTGTGGCTTAAATACTAGGGTCTAATATGTGCTATAGGCCTTTTGGGTTTGTTCCTCTGTGATTACGGGTAAGTACAGAGCATGTGCGGTGCGGATGCAAGATTCCTATCTATCTGCTTTAATTAAAAGGTCGTCTTGATATACTTCGCTACCTAGGTATTCTTGGAAGCTGCACAGGCATAAATTGTGTAAAGAGTGCAGCTAGCGATAGCTTAATTGTTTAGCACTTTATTATACGTATGATTATTCTTATACTATCTGCATTATTTGCGGCAAAGAGTTATTTTGACAGTGATACCTTGATCGTTACGCGTGTGAGGAGGCTGGGGGATTGCGGCACGGCATGATGTGATTGGCTGTGATGTGGGAATGCGGCACACGCAGGAACTGTTTTGCTGCTTTACATCTTTTTGTGATAACGTCTTTGAAAGCTGCTGCCTGGCAGGATTTTACCGTATTGATGTCGTGATTTAAGACCGTGTCTTCTTTCGTTCTTCTTCACTTACCTTCACTCACATCTTTAAGACTCAGGGTTGGACATTACGACAAACCTACGTATTCTACGACTACAAAACAAAGGATCTCTGCGTCGTTCTCGCTCGTAGAAGTTCCTAACGATGAGCACCATTAAAATTGAAGGCCCGGTCCTCATACTTGGCGGTTGCGGCTTCTTAGGACACCATCTCGTCCGAGAATTTGCTCGCGCAAGCCCAACCCTCCAGATTGTCGTCGTCGACGCAAACACTGAGCGCAATCGAAACGCATCGGCGAACTATTTCAAAGCCGACATCCTCCAACGCGACAAGTTGGCCCAAATATTCCAAGACGTGCAACCCCAAGTGGTGCTGCACACGATCTCGCCCTACCCCTTCGAAGTCAATCATGCACTGCTAGAACAAGTCAATGTAGTCGGGACACAAAACATACTCGAATGCACTAAAGCTGTCGGCACCGTTCGCGCACTAGTATATACATCTAGCTCCTCCGTGGTACACAACCAGCGCTCGCCCATGGTCGAAGCAACCGAGGACCAGCCCGTGCTCTTGCATCCCAACCAACCCGAATACTACTCGCACACTAAAGCTCTCGCAGAGAAGATGGTGCTAGCTGCGAACCGCGAGAATGGCCTGCTGACTGCTGTAGTCCGACCGGCTGCGCTGTACGGTGCTGGTGACAGCATCATGACTACCAACGTCACGCAGCAAGCGCTCAGTGGTCGCGCTAACATCCAGTTCGGACACCAGTCCTACCTCTACGACACGTGCTACGTAGAGAACTGCACTTATGCGCAACTGCTACTTGTGAAAGCGCTGCTTGATGCTTCTTCTTCGGCGCCATTGTCCGCAGACAAGAAGATCGAAGGAGAAGCCTTCTTCGTCACAAACGACGAGCACATTCCTTTTTGGAACATCGCTAGAATCGTTTCCGAGCTCCTCGGGACACCCGTCAAGGATAAGCAAGTAAAGTGTATCCCGATTTGGCTTGTTAGTATGCTGGCGTGGATGGCCTCTTGGCTCTATTGGGTCTTTTCGCTTGGCCACAGGCAGCCCAAGCTTACTCCATGGGTAATTCGTCTCGTGACGATGGAGCGGACGCTTTGTATAGATAAGATTAAGACGAGGTTGGGATACAGGCCACTGTTTACAAATAGACAGGGGTGGAAGAAGTCGCTCGAGTGGGCTGTGGAGTATGTAAAGGCTGACAAGGAGGGAAAGACGGCGTAGGTTCGATGGGGAGTAGGCCGTCGAGGAAATCTTTTCTCGGTTTGTGTTAGAACATAAGTTCTGGGAAATATCAATCATAACACATTTTTCACATATATTGAGAAGGCCAGCATCGTCGATTAGGTGACTCTGTCGAACTCGTTGATACGCGAAAAACCTTGGTTCGTTTCCATGTGGACCCTTTCTGCGGCAGGTCTTATGATTCGAGAGAGGCTCAAAAGGCTAAACCCGCGACCATGTGCTTACTACGCTTCTCAGATGACATATAAAAGTTGTCTGTTTCCTATCATTACCATTCTCTCTTCCAACAATAAACTTACTCCCTCCTTTTCACCAAAATAAAAAAGCGAACGTTTCATGGTCTTCTGCCAGCGGACTACAAAAACTACAAATGTAGTAGACATGTCGTCTTCCTTGTCGCCGAAACCAACGCAAAAAACTGTCATGAGAGACAAATGAGCGCGTCGTATGTATGATGGTTGCTCCCTCTTTCGCTCAAAAGCTCCGACGTATGCTATCCATACAAGAGATTGAATTCTTAACATCAAAGATTTTGGCGAGCCAACATCCTGGATATAGTACCAAGAGTTCCTGATATTCGCGGCGAGCTACGCAAGCTGAAGCTATTTAAGAAACTCTTCTTGTGCTACGTCTCTCGTCATCGTAAACTCACTGCCTTATTTCATATTCAAAACAATGGGAAGATGAGTGATGTGGCCTCCCTCTCTGCCTTAAAACATAAAAAAGACGAGTACATGTGCGAGACACGAAAGGATGTTTCTTCACCATCATACCGAGCAAGTCTCGAAAAGGATTAATCCTCTTACTTCATTACGAATGTCCGCTCTGACGCCAGCCACTCGCGCAGTGTGTAAAACCACTCCTTCCGACCGGTTCCTCTTTCCTTTCAACAAACTTCCTTCTTATCAGAAAACCAAAATACACCTGCCGGAGTATATATGTCTCTGCTTCTCCATCTCAAAGTTCACCAGTTACATATGACACGCGAGACGCGATCAAAAAAGCTTTTCATTCTCTATTTCATGCCGAGCTGTCCTTCCAAACACACGACAACCGATCTATGTTCACCTTTCGGCCCTCAGACCTCATAGCATATAACATCTCCACGGTCTCCGATGTTCCCTCTGTCCTTGTACAACGACTTCTCCTTTACAAAAACCGAAACCTTTAGATTCTACCTACATGTTCTTCTTTGCTCCCCAAAGCTCCAAACACATATCGCATGTGCGAGAGACACCAGAATATCAGTTCGCATATACTGATACCGAGCACTTCTCTCAAAAGTATTTGCAGGATGCCTATATCCACTGCCAAGCACACCACACAAGCGACATTTAAAGCTTCCTCTTCCGCCTCCATCTCTCCTCATCCACGCTCCTTCACTGGCAGTACCAAGAATACAGTGACGGAATCTACATGGTGTGCTTCTTTTTTCCAAAATCTTACTCTTTCTAAATTATGTGGGAGAGACTCTGTTCCGTTTTTCAAAAACCGCAATATCGACTATGGCATGTCTAGCACGAACTATCGCAACTCCTTAGCTACTATCATGAATCTTGCAGTATAAACTGCAATGTCCAGCTCATCGCCCAAAATTCAGGACCAAAAGAAGCTACGAATGTTAACATGTTTGTGGGGATGTGTCGCATTCTAAAACCGTCAACAAAACACCGTATGATCGAGACTGGGTTGCAGAGACCATGGTTCCTAAACATCACACATCCTGCTCACCCCGGCTACCTGACGTTTGCTCTTCTCTTTTCAAAAAATGGCCTTTACAACGCCACGTCGAGCAACGGTCCGTCACCACGGTACAACAATTGCAAGCACATCATCTATGCGCAATATCGGATTACGACACCTCAAACTCCACCACAACTTCACCACAACAACTTCGACCAGAGAAGAAATACAATGATCAAATCATAGGGGTATTTCAATGATGCACCACTGGTGTCTGGTGTCTAACAAGCTATATACCATACTCACTACTACCCTTTTGCCCAATCAATACACATTAATCCCTAATGTAAACAAAGACGACCTTTTTTCCTTCTGAGATCCAGGCGCCAAAAACTCCACGCTTGGTTAAGAGAGAGATAGAGAAAAGAGACAATCGAATCATGACTTCCTTCGTAGTAACAAGACCACGCTTACGGCTCCATGAACCCATTTCCCTTGAGCCCACACTTGGTCTCTAAGCTAAAAGTCTTCTCAAACGCCTTGACCTTCCTCATCGCTTCTACCTTCGCGACCTTGACTCTCGCAACAGGCGGGCTTAGCTTCGTCGTAACCTTGCTGATCTTGGGGATAGCAGCACGCTTCCCATCACCGCCGTAAGGGCTGTTACCAATGCACTTGCCGCTGTTCTTCCACTGAGCATCAGCAGCCGACTTCCACAGCGCCGTGATATCAACTGTCATCTCCGGTGTGTAGTAGAGACGACAGTCAGCCTCCTCGTACTGGAACTGCAGCGCCACACCTGAAGTATCGTTCGCACGAAGACCGTCTCGGGTGTTGACGCCTCCGGCTCCACTGACGGCACGGGAGAAGACGATGTCGCTGTAGTAGTCGTCTACCAAAATGGATTCGTTGAGCGAAGGGTCGAACTTGACGGCATATTGTACGGTCTGCTGAATAAAGCCGAATGCATAGTTGTTGACGCCCTTGACGCCACCAATGGCCTGGATGGGGTTCTTGTTGCTGCGACCGCCCATAGCGATGGTCTTCACGCCCGCCTGCTGCTTCATCAACTCGCTAAAGATGGTGCAAGTGGACGCACAGTAGCCGTCGGTTACGATGACGATGTTCTCTGCTGCGAACTTTGGCGGTCCTGTAACGTTGGCCAGAGGACCATAGCCAGTAACGTTGATGCCGCCAGACACGTAAGGAACGTAGACGTCAGAGAGGTTCCATTGATTTTGCGTAGTGTATAGCTCACCATTAACCTCATGAGGACCGAACTTCTCGTCCCACGAAGAAAATGGTGTACCGTCAGCCTTCATATCCATATGGTAATCAAAGTAAGAGGACTGAGCGAAAGCAATGGTACGGTTGCTGCTGTACTCCCGAGGGAACTGGCTCGAAAACTTGCTTGTGGCCTGTCCGACAAGGTCCAAAGCTTCAAACGCCCTCCATCGGTTGGTACCTTGGGGCTCGATGTCGGGGAACAATTGCTTGAACATGTCATAGCCTTGAAGAATAGTGCCACCACCGTTGGCTTGTAGATCGATGATGAGTTTGGTCTTTCCGTCAGCAAGGGCCTTGGGGATAAAATTTTGGGTGAGCTGCTGGAAAGGAATCTCGGCGGAACTAGATCCGACAAAGTTGGGCACTTGCAATACCGCAACATCTTCATAACCAGTAGCGTCGATGTAGAAGCCGTTGATAAGGTTCATAGGGCCAGCGGCTTGGGGGGTGGGAAAACCAGGAGCTGCGGCGCCAGCAGCAAGAGTGGAGGCCTCCTCTTCGTCTGACTGGGCACGTGTATCGGCGAACGAAGGACCTGCGGAGCCGTAGCTGAACCATTTCTTGGCCAAGTCTTCACCATTAGCGATTCCGCGGAACGGAATAGCAGGACGAGCGTAGTTCTCCATAGTATAGGAAGAGCCGTTGGCGAAGTGCAGAGTTGTGGTGGCACCAGGGTAGACCCAGCGTCCACGGCCACCTCCAGTGAACATACCAGTCCCGCTACCTTGACTACCAAGGCTGACCTGGGCGAGCTCGTAAAAGACGTTGTTGTAGAGAGCATCGCGATCCTGGAGAGAGCCAAGCTGGCTGAGATCCTCGAGAAACTCGCTCGCGTCCTTGTCGTCGATACGAACAACAGGAGACGGTGTGTAGGAGATGTTGTTGTATTGCATACCGAGAACATCAGCGAAGACAAAGACTGCGGGCAGCTGCTCTCCGTCCTCGGAGACTGAGACTAGAGGGATAGGGCGGCCCCAGGTGAAGATGGAACCAACCGAGTCGGGAATGTAGGAGAAATGTCCATCGTGAGCGGATTGGATCAGGGTGTAGAGACTCCAGCCAAAGTCGTACTCATTCTTGTAGTAACCGGCGTCGATGTATCGGTCCATGGTGTCGAGTCCGCCAAAGATATCGACGGGAGGCTGTACCTTCTCAGAGTACTCGGCAGGTGGGTTTTTCAGCTCAGCAAGAGTGCTCTGCCACTCAATGTAAGGTCGGAGTGCTTGAAGAAGTCGCTTTCCTGATGAAGCGTTGAAAGGAACGTCGTTGATGCAGTCCCAAGCCATCTGAGCAGGAATAGTCATTATGGCGGGTTGAGTGCCATCGCCGTAGACGTAGTTGGAGACTTGGGCACATGGTGGAGTGGTACCATTGGCCTGGCGAGCTTCGACCTGGGGTTGAGTCCGCGAGGGCAGGACGGGAGAGGCGACAGCCAGTGATGCAGCGCCGATGGCGGCGAGCAGGGCGGAGCTTTTCATGCTGGGTTGAGGTTGTTTACTGGGCAAGATACGGGGATAACTTGAAGCGAATGGAATGGCCAGACCAGCAATAGCGAGTGTGATGGGTGTGGATGAGGGGAGAGGATGGAAGGAGGGGTCGAGCAAGTGTTGTTTGGCGGGGGGTCGAGCGCGCCTGCTCTATACGCCGTGAGGTGAGAGGTGAGCACGAGGCTGACAGTCACGTGCAGCACCAAGTCCAGAAACGTGCAGATGCAAACGGCCGGCAAACAAGTCCAGGCTGTACTTTCCCTCTGTCCTGGATAAAGTACTCCTAAAGGTCGTGGGAGTGTGGCCTAGGAGGAGTTGGATGACAGCGGAACGGAACAGCCCACAGCCCTCTCTTAAGAAAAGGGAAAATCGACACGCGCCACTAGGAGGTTGGTGGTATACTGGAGTGACGCACCAAGGATCCGCTCGCGTACAAATACTGACAGGCCGGTCCGCATCGTTTGAACACTAACCCACAAACCGAGCACAAACGTGCTTTCGACGCCGTGACACCAATTACATTCACGTCTTTTTCCGCTTCAATATGCGGGGCTTTTCCCGGGATCCATAGAGCAATCATGGTTAGATGGTGTGCAGCAGAGAGCCGCATTTGAGCTAGGGCCGTAGCCTATATGCAGCAAAAAGTATAGCGATTTTTGACACAGGGTCTGTCCGGTGGTCAATCCTCATCATCGAGCCGTCTCGAAGACATGCTTCGCTATCATCAAGTATTTTGTAAATGCCATGATGCCGGATAAGAGAGATAAGAGATGCGCAACCCCTCTTGACTCGTCGGTGTCGTTTTTACAATGTCATGGTAAGCGGGACGACGGGTGGTTGATGTCAAAAGTGGAAGCCTTGGCAGTCTGTGCCTGCAGATCGTCAAGGCGCATCCTAGCCACTCGCTCCACTCCTTCGACGCCCCAATGCATGACCACCTCATCGTCCGCTCAACGACGCGCTGTCGAGACCGGTCACCGCAACATTATTCATCGCGGGAAACCCTGTCGGCGACTCCTGCCGTGTTACGCGGTTCCTTTAGATCTTGTATAGTATTGAAGCTTCACGCGTCCTTACATCCCGTGTAAATTGGGACCGGCTGGCAAATGTCCAGTTTATTACAAAAGTCATGCGCCCCTTGGACATCTGGGTACGATCAACATCCTTGTGGAGCTTTCTGCCTTGCCACATCCGCTTTAAGCGGTGCCGGTGGACCTGTGTCTCGTAGGGTGACACCTTGAACTATGGCTCTCGCGCGAAGTTCAAGCCTACAGCTAGACTACCACTGCATGACGACAAGCCTAGCTCTGTACCTACAGACATAGCAGCGTACGAAAACTAACATCACCAAAACCGTTCGGCGCCCGGTCTGTGGGCCTTACATGCCTGCAAGGTCGGCTCACGTTTCACGTTCCCTTCGGTAGCCTCAGCAACTTGCTTTTTCCGTCATGTCCCGAGGTCTGTGCTAAGCCAAATCAAGAACGTCACATTTTCTTCCGGCTAATCGTGGGAACTAGGAGCTGTCAAATCTTGGTTCAACTACAGCACGATGTCGTCGTTGGACGCCTGTTTTTACAATCCTCGGCGAGAACGATCGGGAATATGGGGCTGGTGGCAAGAGCAAGAAATGTTTGACGAGTTTGAGAGGAGCATAGCCATGTGCACAGCACCGGGAATGCAGATGGTGTTCGGGATCAAGCACCATCCACAAAGCTTGAGCGTGCGAAACGAAACGCAAAACTAATGCATCCGCCAACCACCTGCCCTGTCACCACTGCACCAGCCACTACACTAGTGGTACCTGAGGCTGGTATCCTTTTTGTCCATTAATGTTTCTTCTCTCCCATATTTATAGTCGACGACACACCTGTTGCACAAAACGATAGAGAAATGCGGAGAACTCGTTTTACGATGTAACTGTCGCATGGCTGTTGCACATGTTTTTGTGATGATGGGAAGGTGATTAGCAGTTGAAAGTACGTACCACCAAGGGGGTTCCTATTTCCAAGACCTCTCTTCATGTTGCGTTTGAGTTGATCGTCACGTCCACCGATACTACGACGGGAATAGAACCTGCCAGATCTGCGTCTCCAGGCTTCTTGTCATGGAAATTCCCAAAGGAGGCGGATCTCAGATGAACAAACCGTTTGTTCAATCAACAACGGATACTGCGGCGCTTTTATCCCACTAGCTCTCGCCCTGAAGGCTCCTGATTGATGTAATACCTCCAGGCTGGAAGAGGACGCGACCACGGCCATTGCTATCAACCCAACGCTCTCATTGCCCCTGGAATGACTAATATGTACTCTCATTCGTGACCTCCAAACAGATTAACACAAGCAGTCTTCCAATCTATCGATCGATCATTACACACCACAATGTAAGCCACCCTATGAAGCGCAAGACCGTCTACGAGGGGACAAATACACAAGCCGCCCATGGCTAAATTCTTTGATAGGCTGAAGAAGAGATTTGATATGCCTGCGGCGACTAACAAGCGAATAGATCACTCGACTCCATATCACATCTAGCGTGATTGTCATCTGTATAAATAAAAAAGGTCGCACGTCACGAACCATGACTTCCCTCTG